TTTTGTACCCAACCGTGGTGCCCCGGGAAATGGTAGACCCTTTAGGTAGGTGGAGCTCAATGGAAATAAGTTAGTTCACTGGAGACGTGTCTTTGAAGGGACCTAGACCCTTCCTGTATTTGCTTCCCAGCTGCTATAAAGTGAACAGATTTCCTCCACCGTGTGCTCCTGCCATGATGGGCCACAACAAGCCCAAAGCCAAGTGACCATAGACCGAAACTTGTGCAACTATGACCCAAAATAAACCTTTCCTACTTTAAGTTGATTTGTCTCAGGTATTTTGTCACAGCAGCATAAAGCTTCTTAAAATACTACCATTCTGGTGGATGATATTAGTAATGGGGGCAAGCCATGCAGGTGTGGGGCGTGAGGTATATGGGAATTCATTATACTTTCAGTTCAACTTTGTTCTGAGCCTAAAATGGGTCTAAAAAAAGAGTCTATTTTAAAAACTTGATGCACAGGAAGGAATATGATCCTTGTTATATTTTACTCAGAGAACTGCTGCACCAGCTCTGGCTTGTGGGCAGAGATACTGCCAATGTGCTGAGGGTGACAGAACACAATACTGAGTGACATCATTGCTCTGCTGGGTAAGTCATTCCGGGAGCAGCCCTGCCTCTGAAGTTGTCGTGATGTGAGAAAACAGGCTTCTCCTTGTTAGTTTAGTTGACATGATACAAGTCTTCTTCACCATTTCTTGCTCTGCGCTTCCCCTAGTCTGCTTTAACTACCTCTGGAGTTTCTCTTTTATGCTAGCTCTTAACTATATTCAGGAAATATATTCGTTAGAAAAAGAAAGGCAACCAAAAAGTTAAGAAATGTGTCCTCCAGAACCTTAACTGAGGATCCTGGGTCTTCTGTTTCTAAAGTCAAAAAGCATTTTAATGATGTGTGCTCTCTATCTTCAAGGAGCTGATTCACTTATTTACTTTCCCAGCTTTATTGAGGGCTGATTGACAAATAAAAATTATACTTATTTAAGGCATATACAAACAGGGCTTTCTGATAATCTTGTAAGTTATGTATTCCCTAAAGTTTACATGTTGGAAACTTCATTCCCAAAGCAACAGGGTAAACAGGTGGTGTCTAATAAGAGGTGATTTAAGTCATGAGGGTTAAGTCCTCACAATGCATAAATGTATCATTGGAGTAGACTATTGTCTTGTTATCAGGATGGTGAGTTCCGCTCCCTCTTGAGCACTTGCAATTGCTTCCTCTCCTCTCCTCTTTTTTCTCTCCCCTCCTTTCCCTTTCCTTCCCCTCCTCTTCTCTTCTCCTTTTCTGCTCTCTCTCTCTCTCTCTCTCTCTCTCTCTCTCTCTCTCTCTCTCTCTCAATACTCATACACATTAGAAGTAATCAAGACAGGAAGAGATATATATCCCTCACCAGAATGGAATTGGCTGGCATCTTAATCTTAGATTCTCAGCCTCCAGAATTATGAGAAAATAAATTTCTCAAGTGGAAGTCACTCAATGTTTGAGACATTTTTTTTAGTAGCAGCTTAAGCATATGATGTTTTAAATGTAATCTGCATGAATGGTGGGTTTGTGAGGGATTTTTTTTTAGTGTTTTTATAAGATAGTATTTGTCTGTGAGACTTTGATATTTTCTGCCTGTCCAGACTGTAAATTCCAAAAAGAGGGCTGCCATCTAAATTGCTTTGTGTAATGTCATAAGGAGGCTTTTTAAAAAGAGTTTAGAATGATCATTATCATTTCTCAAAAAAAGCCAGAGTTCACTCCCATATCATAATGTGCCTTGTCAGTAGAGTATGAAAGTCCTTTCCTCTCTCTCTACAACAGGACACATGCCAATTAGAAATTCACATGAACAAGTCTCAGTATCACTGGGTGACCGGAACTGTCCAGCAGCCTGAACAACTGCAGGATGTGAAGCAAGAGGAGTCAAGGCGTCTAGGACCTCTGTGGATGCTCAAGTCTCTGACACAAAACGAAGTAGTATTTGTATAGAACCTAAACACATCCTCAGATATTTTGAAGCATCTCTAAATTACTTATAAAACCTGATACATCGTAAATGCTACATAGATTGCTCTTTATATTGCATAGTGTAGGGAAAGAAAAAGTCTGTACCTGTTCAGTACAGTTGCATTATTTTTCAAATACTTCTTTGTTTGGTCTCCCTTTTTATTATATTTATTTTCAAATATTTTCAATCCAGGGTTAGCTGAAGCAGTCATGCATATTAAGCACTCTTCCTATAGTATCTCACTTCATCCTCACAGCAACACTGTTATTTATCAAGATAAATAACATCTTAATGACATATTTTTATTTTATTTTATTTTATTTTATTTTAAAGATAGGAAAGTCCAACAAAACAAAACAAAGCCAATCAAAACAAAGCAACAAAATTGGTGCAGAACATCAAAGCAGGATACTAGGAAAACAATAGCTACCATAGTATATCTTATCGTCACAATAGTTGTCCATTCCATCAAGTATAGCAGAATCAAACCAAAAACAAAACAGAATAAAATAAATCAAAACAGAACATTGAATAAAGCAAAACAATTAGATCAAAGCAAAACAGTGAGCACAATATTGGATTTCAAAGACAGACAGAAGGAAATCCCTCATATTTGCTACACTGCACACTGTCATCCTCCCAAGAAATGCTCAGACCGCTGGCCCCAGGCTTGCAAATCAACCAGACAATACAAGCATTTAGATGCTTTATATACCTTAGTTGCTATCAATTCATCCGTCCTCCTAACCCTAACTGGTTGCCCATGGGGAGGGGCGGTGTTTATTCTCAGCCTCTGCTCATGGGAGGTGCTATCAGACTTTTCTCTTCCTGGAACCTGCGCAGCTTGTGCAGCTTACCAGAAAGCCTGGCTAGGTGGCTTTTGAATGAAGTATTTTTAAAAATTAAAATTATGAGCAACTATTTTGCAGATAACAATATGCAATATAACAACTATTGTTAAATTCCTATCACTTTGTTTTGAAATCTAATGTTGCTATTGTTTTTTGTAATTGCTATTGTCATTTTGCTTTTGTTGGTTTTGTTTCCTTTTTTACTTTTCTGGGTTTTTTTCCCCTTTAAAGTAAAATTTAACAAATTAATGCAGAGGTAGGTATGATTAGTCTGACTTCATTCATTCATTTCTTCATTCATTCTTCGGACCTGGGAATTGAACGCAGGGACTCACACATGCTAAGTATACAGTCTACTGAGTGCTGCTCTATAGCTCCAGTTCTGAGCATTCCCACTTTAAAAATAAGAGAGTTGAAAGACAGGAAGGTTAAATCACTTGCTTAAGGCTGAACGTTTTTCCTAGACTTTATTTCCTCTAAGGGTAAAAACAGCACTGAGTTTAAACATATTGGAGTCTGAGACAAAAGGTAAAATATACCCCCTAATAGGTATGCACTTATCCAACACCCTTCCATGACCGGCGCAGCCCCCCAATGAGACAGGAGACGCTTCAGGTGGTAACAGGAACTGCCCCTTTATTTACGCGGGCTCTGGTTTATATATTCCGCCGTGACCAATCACAGGCTGCCACGAGGAAGCAGGGCAGGAATGGGACGCAGGCTCTGGCTAATATATCCAGCTGTGGCCAATCAGGGGTTGCCACAGAGTCCGCACGCGAATATGGAGTGAGCACGAGGTGCGCACGGGGGTGGCTAGTTTAGAGAGGGACGTAACACATCGCGGAAGCTGACGTGGTCTTATCGTCCAGGGCGGGGTGTGTTGAGCGCCTGCGCCCGACACTCCCATATTCAAACTCAAATGGAAAAGGTAGGTAAAAGTACTACAAACAAATAAACACACATGGCTACATTCAAATCCCCACATTCACATGCCATTGTCATCTTCATAAAACCACTGCAATGGCCTCTGCCTGAGAACTGTTAGTTCATTAGGGAAACTTAAAGGGGAGCTTGGAACCCAGACCCTTCCTTTCTTTGCTCCCAGCCGCTATGTGTGTAAGCAGGTTTTTCCCACCATGTGCTCCCACCATGATGTGCCACTACAGATTCAAAGTTATAGAGCCAAGAAACCACGGACTGAAACCTGCAACACCATGACCCAAAACCAGTTGATTGGAAATGGCTTGTTTCATTTTTTTTAAAATGTAGAGTCATAAACAAAAAATAGCCTGTCATTTTCAAACTTTTTGGTATTTTTTCATTATGGACATTTGCATTAATTTTAATTTTAAAAAATATTGCAGTAAAGAAATAAAAATAAATTTTAAAAATATTGCAGTAAGATGGTATTAATCTTAATTATTCAGTTTCTGGAGCCCTTTCAAATTCTATGCTTGAAAAGAATGGTTACTCTAATCCACTCTAGCCTTCTACAAGCTGCAGTTTCAAGCTGCAGTAGGAGTGACCTGCTAAAACACCAATTTGTCACTAGAATAAAATGAGCTAGTATTCTTAAAGTGCTGACTGGCATTACTGGCACATATTAAGTGCTGTAGAATGCTGTTCAGTAAGTACGTATCATGCTATTCCTTGTTAAAACCCCTGTTAGGATCAAACGAAAACCAAGAGAAAGGGCCCTCTGGTTACCTACTGTTAAGGAACCTTGACAGGGTAGGACCCTAATGAATGGTTTTGAATAAGTAGGAAACTTAAATACTGTCTCGCCTAAGTTACCGGCCCGAGTTCGCACGGGTGAACAAGGTTAGAATTTATATGACATTTTGGCTTTGAATCCATTTCATCGCACTGACTGCCCCTCCTCTCCCTGAGGCCAGTCACTGAAGGGCTGGGAGGTGAGAAGAGCGTTTCAGGAGCTGGAGAGCAGAGTCACACAGAGACACGCAAAGCAAAGAACCCGTGTCGCACGCGCTGGCCTCGGCCCAGAAGGGGCATTTGTCACGTGTATCCTGTCTGGCCAACCGCAGCCGCACCCGGTGGCAGGAATGCGGCCCCGCCCGACTCCCGCGCCGGCAAAACCGCCCTGGCCCTGGGTACTGACGTCAAAGATTGAGGCGCCTCGGGGCCAGACGCTAGGGTGGCTGGGCCCAGGCACTGGCCTGCAAGGACACGCCCCCTTGCCGCTGCCCTGCGCTGATTGGGCCCGGGGAGTCTCTGCACTGGTTTTCGGAGGCCGGCGGAGGGCGGTCTCGACACGCCTCCTTCCCTCTGCCGCAGCTGATTGGTCCGCGGAGTCTCCGCGTTTGACTTTTTGGAGGCTCACCGGCGCTCTCGGTACGGCTGGGGCCAAGGATTGGCTGGCTGTTCCGGGTCTCCGAGCGCTTTCTCTGGGGAACCGCGGCTACTGTCGAAGCGGCTGCGATCGACGTGGTTTAGGCTGGCTCGCGGCTGCGTGTGGCCCGCCTTGGGCAACCAGGTAAGCAGGTCTGCTGCGGAAGCTGGCCAGTGAACAGCTAGAGTCCGGGTATCCCTGGAGTACACAGGACAGATCTACTTAGGGGCAGTCGTTCTGCAGAACGGCCTCATCTGAGCCCAGAAGACCGACCAGTACTGGCCATGCCCATGTTTCCTCAGCCGAGGTATCCTCTCGCAATCCTGGCACCTTTTCGGTCGGATACCTGAGCTGCGTCTGCCCTCTCAAAGGCCCTGGAAAGGTTGAGGTGGCAGCATTTTAGCTTGATCCATCCCGATTTGAGGTCTGTCAGAGCTGCCCGTTAGCCTGGTGCGTTACCACTGTAACTACCTCCGGTGGAGTGTAGAGAATCCTGAGGCAGTATTGTGACGCCTGACTTTGGATCCCCGAGACTTCCAAAATCTGCAGAAGACGACAGAGGGTTCTGAGAGGTTTCAGGACCTTCTGGGACCCTCTTTTCCCTGAAGACCTCCTTAGCTATCTGATAGTAACAAAAACAGTAGTGACTGAGAGCATGGACATTGGGGTCAGATCACCTGGATTCATATCTCAGTATTCATCATCTACTTTCCTATGACTTTGGGCAAGTTACTTAAACTTTCTGGGCTCAGCTTTCTGGTCTCTAAAGTGGGCTTACTAGCGTCCTCTCACACCAGAGGTGCAATGATCCTGCTACCTTGTATGAGGACTAAAATACCCTTTTGAAAGTGCTCTTGTACTTTCTGCGCTTGACATGCCAAACCGCCTCAGACTAATCCTAAAGCTTTGATTTAAATGTATGCTGATGAATTTGTCTCCCTTTGCCTTTTCCCAAGACCGAAAGCCCCTCTTGGAGTTTGCTGATGACAGTGATAATGAAAATGATCATAATTTTATAGTCCCCTTAGCTAACAGCCTTCCCCTTATATCATTCATTCATTCAACCAATATTCAATATATAAAATGTCTGTTCTATGACAGGTAGTAGGATGAATGCTCCTATTATATACTTCAGCTTCCTTATTCCATGAAGTATTTTTCTTCCACTCAATTTTGATGATGAGCAAATAGAGGCAGGAGAAAACAAGACTTGTTTAAAATCATCCAGTTAGCAGAGGCACTGCCAGAATTCAAGGTTCTTGAACTACTGATAAAAGTTATTCCTATAGCCGGGTGTGGTGGCTCACGCCTGTTATCCTGGCACTGGGGAGGCTGAGGCAGGAGGATCATTGTGAGTTTGAGACCAGCCTAGGCTACAAAGTGAACTCAAGGCCAGCCTAAACTGCATAGTGAGACCCTGTCTCAAAAAAAAAAATTATTCTTAGATCTTCTAATTTATTTCCTGATCATGTCTGAGAATTGGTCTGAGGAAAAGACCCAGTTTATTTATTTGTTGTTTTTTTTTTTTCACCTCCTGGAGCATGGATTTTGAGATCCAGTGGCATCTGGAGCCCACCTGCTCATTTGAACTGGGCTCTCAGTTGAGAAGCAACAGATTTTGGCTGCTGTCCAGTGGCAAGTCTGTGCAGAGTAGAAGGCCAGGCCACAACTGTTGATTTGGGCCTTGGGCCAGAGCCTCCAGTTATTTTTCTAAGAGGCCCTTGGCCTCTGATTACAGAGATTGTTGCCATCACTGAGGTTACTCAAAGGGATACACTGAGTGGAAACAGGAGTTGTCTAGCTGATCCAAGTACTCTGCTTCTTATGGTGGTTGCATTTCTGAGACTCCAGTGATATATTACCTAGAATGGCTGTTCAAACTCACTTCGTATGTTGCAAAGAATGGTTAATTGTACCATATTTATATATTGAAAATTCATTGCTGCTTGAGTCACTTTTTAAATATATTTTATGCGTATTATACGTTTCTTCACTTGCCTAATTCAAAGCAAGTTGAACTTTGTCATTTTTAACATTTGATGCTTACTTCAAGTGTTCATTTTTAACCTAGCCAGTCTCATATTGAAGAATTTTGCAATTAGTCTTTATTCATTTGTGTACAGACCCATACTTACTTTGTTATACGTCAGCACTAAAATGAAAGACCCACTTGTAATGGTTCCTGTGTTATACTTTCCATTGTTCAAGTATACACTGACCTTCCTGGATTAAGGTCTTGACCAGGAAAGTTGAAGGGGAAGTAACTATTGAACATACTAAATGAGACAGGAGATGTTTCTTTTGATAATAAAAATGTTTGATTCATTACTTCAGTTTTCTAAAAATTTACCATCTACTCCTACATATAATCCACCTATTTTTATTCCCAGCTTCACTCTACTGCCTGGATTTCAGGGTAGGATACAGAGCCAAGAGTGAGGGGCACTGAAATTGGGAAGTGCCGAGCCCTAGGGACTGTTTGCAGAGGCTGGGTATGATTCTTCTGGATTTTCTCTCCCTCACCCCCTACCCCAGTACTGGGAATTAAACCCAGATCCCTCATGCATGCCTGGCAAGCACACTACCAACGAGCTATTTCCCCATTCCGTTTTATTATGAGATAAAGTGTCACTGGGCTGGCCTTGAACTTGTGAGCCTCCTCAGACTCAGGACTAACTGGGAGACTGTACCCAGCCCACAGAGGTTTGTTGGTACTTTGTACTGCGGTTATCTGTAAACTGTCCAGTTAAGGACTTGTGGCCCTGGCAGAGGTTGCTAGGACTTTTCTATCTGGAAAGACAGCCCTAAGCTAAACTATTTGTTCCTTCAGGACAGCTGCTGCTATATCTTTGTTGACATTCTTTCTCTGGGTGAGAGGGTTTACTTGAGTCTAAGAGGAGGTACATCATCCCTTCTCCTGCTACCTGGCCAGCCTAGAAGTCTACTCTGGGCTTGATCAATAGGATACTTTAGAGAAGAGTTTCCTGACCTAGTTTCCAGGGAAGATAGAGGAGAAAGGAGAATGGGCGCTACCTTTTGGGAGTTTCCTAGTACCTAACTAGCCAGACCTGGACCCACTTACTGTTCCTAGGGCCAGATAGACAAGTGACATCACCCTCCCTCTGTACAAACCTAGCCTCATCATGGAATCACTGGCTCTCAGCACCACTGCAAGCCCTCGGAAACTGTCAGCATTCACCTGTTCTGGAGCAGTAAGAGGAAAACCAGCCACCACGGTGCCTGAGGCCTGTCCTCAGGGAAGTGGCAGAACCAGGACAGGACCCAGCTTCTGACTTAGAGAGCATTGCTTTGTGCTGGGTTGGGGTGCAGTTCTAGATTTCCTTTGGGGAAGCTGGCGATTTTTCTCCAGAGTGCTACTAGTTCCTGACGGGCACAGTCACTCAGTCAGCAGCCTTGATACTGGTGAATGGACATATTCCCTTACTCCTCCCTCACCATCATTTCTACTGGCAGAGTACGAGGTAGGAAGAGTGAAGCATTCTTCATGGAAACATGAAGAAATGTGCTCGAGCTTCTTGGCTGTAAAGACAGCTCAGCACATTAGCTATTGGGCACAGTCACAGAACAGCCTGTGCTCAGCTGCTAGTCCTCATATCTGCATCTCAGCTTCCTTTTGTACCTTCGTTCAGGGAACCCAGGACCTTAGCACTGAGCGATACTTTTTTTCCAAATCCATTTTATTTCAAAGAGAATAAAATAAAATTTCACTGAGCAATATTTTGACACAAGGTCTTACTAAGTATCCCAGATCGGGCTCAAATTTGTTGATCTTTCTAACTCAGCTTCCCATAATGCTGGGGTTACAGGCATATTCCACATATCTGACAAGAAAACAGTGGGGCTCCTATGCTACAAACTGGGGCAGGATGAGTGCAGAAATTACTGGAATTAAAGGGTGGTTTTTGAAGTGAGATACAGGGACAATGGAAGGAGTAATAGTTCTGGGAGTTGGAATAGGGTGGAGAGATGATTCACTCTCCAGAAAACAACAAACTACAGCAAGGGTAAGGGTTGCTTTTGCAAGTGGATTGTGGAAAGGAAACTGGAAATACTTTTATCTGTGCTGATCGCCTCTTTTACAGCAAGTGTGTAAAACATGCTTATTTGAATATATTTTGACTCTCCTTGGCCCCCTTTTGCATCCATCTCTGGCTGGAAGGAGGGCTGGCTGAGGCTCCAGGGAAGAGCAGAACCTGCCTCTTCCTGTTGTTTGGGTGGGATGGGAGGAAAGGAAGGCAGGAGCACAGGCTGTTTTCAGCTGGCCATGGCCCACTGCTTGCAGGAAATGGAGAGTCTACATCACATCCCTGACCAAAGTACAAGGGTCAGGAAGGCCAAAAAAGACAGGCATGTGGCTGGGGATTTAGCTCAGTGGCATAAGCACCTGCCTTGCAAGCAGGCGGTCGTGAGTTCGATCCCTGGTACCGATAAAAAAAAAAAGTCATGTGCATTTGTTTAGCTCTTATTGGGTGCCCAACACCACACTAGGCTCTTTGAATTGCTCCTACATTACAGAATCCCCATTTTACATTTAAGGAACCAGATTCAGAGAGGTGGGTAACTTGCCTAGGATCACAAAGCCAGGAAAGTGGCAGAACTGGGATTCAACCCCAGCTTTGTACTAATACCAAAGTCCTTGGTCTTCCCAGTCTTTGGGCTCTTTTTCCAAACTGTAGCTTCTGGAGATAATGATAAGGTGGGAGCTTCTTATGCCTTTAGCATTCAACAGAAAAATATCCAGAATTAAAGGAGATAATTTCCATCTGTTGGAATGACAAGAGACATTGACCCAGGGGCCTAACTGCTCCTGAATTTCCTTACATCAGCCTTTGTCCGTGATAAGATATTCTGACCTTTGTAGCCTTCCTTTCTGCCCATCAATGGGATCTAGACCTCCTGCCCCAGTCCCTTGGACTGTGGTTAGATAGGATTGCTCTGTTTCACAGCTTGCTATGGATTTGATTTATCCTTGAGGTCTTAAAGATAGGAGGTAGGAGACCCTTCAATTGAGAAACAGAACACAGCTTGAACATCCCTAATCTGAAAACCTAAAATGCTCCAGAACTGAAACTTTTTGAGTGCTGACATAAATCAAGTAAAAATTTTTCCACCATGAAACTTTGTTTAAATAAGAGACTGAAATGAAAATATAGCATAAAGTTACCATTGGGCTGTATGTATAATGCATATATAATACAGCAATCCATGTTGTGTTCAGACATGGGTCCCATCTCCAAGATATCTCATTATGTGTATATAAAATTCCCAAATCTGAAAAATTCAGAATCCCAAACATTTTGGATGACAAATTACTGAAACAGCATATGGTTAAATGCTGAACATTATGTCTTATTACTTTTCTTGCTGAGACAAAATGCCCTGTACTTACACATTCCAGGAGGGAAGGTGTATTTAGCTCACAGTTTGTAGAGGTTTCAGTCCATAGGCCCTGGCTCTGAGGCAGGGCGGTGTGGCAGAGGGCATTACAGAGGAGAAATAGTTCATGGTGTGGCAGGCCAAAGGCAGCAAAGCACCAAGCCACAGAAGTGACACTGCCTTCTTTGTCTCTTTATATTCTATCCAGACTACAAGTCTACTGATTGGCGCTGCTCGCACTCAGGGTGGGCTTCTGTTACCTATACGTGGAACTATGCTAAACCAAGGTAGTCATCACACACCCATAACTTTAGCGTCACACACAGTGGATCCAGCCACTTCCAAAAAGCCCCACTATGAGCACATGAGGCTTTGGAGGGAAAAACATCTAGATACAAGGAGTAACGCTTCTAAACACTGTCTTCCCAGCACCCCTATGAAGTGAGTGCTAGCACTCAGCACGCAGCAGAAGTGGGTTTCCAACCCAAGGCAGCCCACGCCATACCCCAACTCTTACCTCTGTGTGAAGAACCTATGTCTTCACATCAGAAGTGTCTGATTCTAGTTCAGTTGCACAACCATGTGTGGCAGATTGGAAAGTAAAAATACCACCTCAAAGAGCTGTTGTGCTGATGACACTTCATTGATGGAATCTGAATAAAGCTCTTGCCCTCACCAAATCTGAGCTGTTACTGTGCTTCCTGGTATAGTATCTGCTTGAACTGTAGAGCACTTTGTTGGTACTCCTGGTTCTGTGCTTACACCTGGGTTGGTAACCATGAAGTCATTTAACCTTTCCAAGTTGGACTTCATCTGTAAAATGGGGTAAAATGATGATTTTTACAGTTGTTGTGAATCAAATAATACTGATGTCCAACACATAAGCATTGTATTATCAGCTTTCCTGATGCTGTGACACAGTACCCAATACTCAAAGGAAGAGAAGTTTATTTGGACTCAGTTTTTAGTGGATTCAGTTCATGGCAGAGTGGAGGAAAGGTGTCATTTAGGGGAGGAGAAGGGAGGAGGGAGATGCTGTACGCCCTCTAAAGGTCCCCATCAGCCTGCCCACTCCAACCAAGCCCCACCTCCTGACAGCACATTCAGCAGCAGAGCTCATCAGTGGATGAGTAGAGTGCCATGTCTAGCTCCTTCCAAACAAAACTTTTAGGGGATATGTTACTGACTTAATTAACTTGAGGGGGACAAGGTTTCACTGTGCAGTTCAGGCTGGCCTTAAACTCACTCTTTAGCCCAGGCTAGCCTCAAGTTCATAGTGATCTTCCTGCCTTAGCCTCTCCAGTGCTGGGATTAAAGGCACATGCCACTATTCTTGGTTTAAGGTACATTTTAGAGCTAAACAATTTTTTTTTAAACTAAAAATTTTTTTTAGAACTAAACAGTTTTAAAAAGCACTTAATGAAGATTTGTGGTAATAATTTAATTTCTCCAAGGTGTCCTGGGAAATTAGTCATTTTAAAAATGAGACACCCCAGTTTGAACACCAGAGGCCCTGTTAGCCAGAAACCCCAGCTTTTGGAGGGCCTGTTCAGCACTGACATCTCTGTTTCTGTCCTCAGAGCACTACAATGGGCACCCCAGCCTCTGTGGTGAGTGAACCACCCCTCTGGCAGGCTCCTGCTGAGGCCCGGGGCCGCAAGCAAGCCTCAGCCAACATCTTCCAGGACGCTGAGCTGTTGCAGATCCAGGGCCTGTTTCAGCGTAGTGGTGACCAGCTGGCCGAGGAGCGGGCCCAGATCATTTGGGAGTGTGCAGGGGACCCTCACGTGGCAGAGGCCCTGAGGAGGCTGCGCAGGAAAAGGCCCCCAAGGCAGAGGCCCCCGGCACCATCACTGCATCACCGCAGTCCACTCAGGTGGGTGCCTGGGGCGTGGGGGCTAAGTGCTGGGACACAAGCGTGCCTGCTCTGCCACTTCCTGGCTGTGTGACCTGGGGCCGCATCCTGGTCTTATTGTAAAGTGCCACCTGTTGAGGTGCTATGACATCCACAGTGCCACCACGCGTTTGGCACCTAGGACTGCTCTTACTATTGGGATAGTACAATCCTGTGAACTCCCTGGGAAGAGATGCCACAGTCTTAGCAGCATCTTCTTATTTTGCAGTGATTCTTGATCAGATGGGAGTACTGTTTGGGAGAAGAAAAATTCTGTTTATTTGTAGAATAGGTAACATTCAAAAGTAAGCCTAGTCTTGGCTGCGGAAGCAGAGAATAGGACACAGGAATGTGCCTACTACAGAGGTCTCATGAGTTACAACTGTACCTTTACAGAGCATCTCTGCCTGCTCTCTCTCATCATCCAGCGTTGCTTAGGTCACTGCCAGACCAGGCCAGGAACCCAGCTAACTATGAAATCCATCTCCACAGGTTACTCTCGGGCCTCCATTCCTCCACTGTCTTCTCTGGGCTTCAGAGTCAGAACATCAACCTGAATAGGTCATCAGGTCTGGGGTGGCAAATCTGCTCAACTGCTTGTATTAACTCCAAGCTGATTAGAAAGAAGTCTGCTTAAAACACTGGTTTCATACATGACCAGTGGTATCTGCCATGAGTACAAGAAGGTGAAGACATGCTGAGTGTCACATGCCCTCATTTAGTGCAGCCCGTCTTAGTCAAGATACCAGAAAGTTTTGCCTCATCACACAGAGACAAGCCCTGGTCTCATTTCACCCCAATAGCATGTTTTATAGTTCACCATAAGAAGCTGTCCTGGTCCCCTTGACGTCAGCTTGTCGTATTCTTGTTTCCAGCAGAATCCCGGTGCCTTGCTCTCCACCTGCCAGCCCACAGAGCAGTGCCACAGAGACAGCCTCCAGTGAGGAACTGCAGAACTCCAGGACAGGTGTCAGGACCCGGCGAAGCTGGAGAAAGCCCAGCCCCACAGCCTACCTTCACCAGATCAGACACTGACCCAGGGAAGGGGCCAGGAGTGGCAGAATCTTCCCTCAGAATCGTGGGACTTTTGCTGAAGGGTCTGGGGAGGGGAAGAAGGGAACTCGGAAGCAGCGGCCCTACCCAGGTAAAGGAAGAGGCCAGCTCAGGACTGTACTTTCCACTGAGCCATGCACTACATGGGACTCTGTCACCAGAGTAAGGAGACACCGTTGACTGCTCCTGGCTTAGACTCTCTTGACCCAATACTATATGAGCTGCATATTTCCCTGGGAGTCACGGACACTCAGTATCTCACCACTTCAGTCACTCACTAATCCACTGGCTACTGTTGTCACGCACAATCCAGCAGCCTGTCCCACATGCCCATGCCATCAGGCCAGCATGGAGAAACCACAGTTTAAGTGGAAAATAAAAGTATTTGATTCAAGAACCCTGTAAATCTGTCACAGAAGGGAAAAATGCAAACAAAGGCTGGAGGCAGAAGCGGATAGTTCCCTGGGAAGGGGAAATGGGACTCGTCACCCTGTGGCCTGTGCACAGCCTCCTCCTGCAGATTGCTGGCTCAGGAAGGGAGAAAAGGGAAGCAGCTGTGTCCAACCTGTCTTTATGGGCCAAACATCCCAAGGTAGGGCAAGAATGGACCAATCATTCTTAAATACCAATACTAGCCTAGATTCTCCATAGCCTGGAAACCTTGAGGGGAAGGTTTTTTTCCTACAATTTTGGCTACACCTCAAAAGCTAGTTAGCATTCCTTTTCCCCACCCCTGCCCCAGCCCTCCTACCTGCTTGATTATCCCAGTACATTTCAAAACAAGCCAAGGTTCTGTGGGCCTGTGCAGCACTGGCCATAGCTGCCCTCTGGCGGCCAAGAAGAAAAGTCACTCCTACCCAAGAAAAGTCACTCCTACCACATCTAACCCTGAACTCCTGGACCCCTAAACCCATGGAGTCAGGGCAAATACGAGTACCTAGTAGGGAAACATTTCATAAAAAGAAATTAGTATTTCTTCCATAAATATTCATACTAAGAGGATACATATGAGTAAAAAATAATACCATGTCAGTACAGGCTCAGTTCAGATTTTGAAGTTAACTGTAAAAACACTGAAGTTTTCAGAGGACTGGCTCTTGGGAAAGAGGACCTGAGTGTTTTTATACATGGTAAGTGACCTCAGGAGCCATGTCTCTGCAACTTTATGGGAACAGATTTCTTTGTACTTAAAACTGCATTCTAAGCTGAGCATGCTGAGGCAGGAGAATTACAAGTTCGAGACAAGCCTGGGCTACCAAATGAGTAAAGGCCAGCATGAACTGCACAGCAAGACCCTGTCTCAAAAAGACAAACGACAAAACCAACAAACGAAAAAACCTGCATAGTACTCTCTTTGTATTCCCCCAAAAAGAACTGGACAGAATGTCAGAATTCGATTTATTATTCATACATTTGCATTGATTTAAATACATTACATACAGTTTCTACAGTGCATTAGAAGAACGATAAGGGGCAGCAGCACTCAGCCCAGCCTCCACTCCCTGATGAGGGGGACAGGCCTATGGCTGGCACAATGACGGCAGTTCTGGGAATGCTACCAGAAGCCTGTCCCGGCACATAGGGTCCTTGGGTCCTCCAATATCCAGATTCAAGGCAACCTGAGTACAGGTTTCAAGGGAGAGAGGAGACGGGCCGGGAAAGGATCCCCAGGCTCTGGATGGGCTCCCTCTTACATTGGACCCCATGTCCTCCGGATCACAGAGCTGATCTGGAGCAGGACAGGACAGACACAGCTGGTGAGACACCAAGGGTCTCTTCAGGCAGGGAGGTTTGCCCACAGGTCTCACAAGCCTGTCTTAGGGAGATACACACGCCCGGCAACCTACTGACTCCTGCATTCAGAAGGCAAGATTCCCTTACACACGGTGCCCCAGGCCAGAGCCTAGGGAGGCTGGATGGGATTGTCAGGGCAGGGCACAGGGGAAACAGTGACTGTCCACAGCTACACACATCCAGTGCTCAGGAACTTCATGTCAGCTGGGGGAAGCCCAGGCCAAGCCAGCTCCTGGTAGCTGGAATGATGGGAAGAGCCCTGGCCCAGGGGTTGGGAAGGCTGTAAGTCTCTGCTCTTGTCTCCTGGATAGAGGAAGCCAGGAAATTAGGGGACTCAGCCACAGTCCTCATTCCCTTTCTTTGGTTGTTTTTTAAACCTTCAAAATACTTTCTTTTCAAGGCTGATTGACCAGTCACAGGGTAACAAAAATGCCAAGTGTCCGTAGCATATGAATGCCTCAGCTACAGGGGCACCCCTTTCACTCCCTCCTGAGGCCGCTCTTTGCTTTGGTGTCGAAAGGACTCAAACACCTGGCAAGAGGGGCAGGTGAGGGAAAAGACACATGGAAGCAAGATGTACACTGAGCTGGACAGGCACTATGGGACAGAAGGCCTCTCTCCTTTGGGCCCTGAAATTCTCAAGAAGCCATGAAAAAACCAGCCCTGGGCAAGAAGCCGGGGAACAGAGGAACAGGAGGCAGAATACAAGTTCTGTTGCTTCCAGGCAGCAGTGATAGCACATAAAGAAGTGCAAGGGTCGGATATCCAGGCCCCTCATAGAGACCTACTCCAGAGCGCACACATACCTAACTCAAAAAAAGCTGGGGAAAGCCAGGCATGGTGGCACATGCCTGTAATCCCAGCACTTGGAAGGCTCAGGCAGGGGGATCACTCGAAGTTCGAGACCAGCCTGGGCTATAAAGTGAGCTCAAGGCCAGCCTGAACTGCATAGTGAGACCTTGTCTTAAAAAAAAAAAGGTTGGGGAAAAAGTACTTAGAATAGAAACAAATTAGAGAACTATAGCTAAGGACTCAAGAAGCAAGCCTGGGATAAAATCTTCTATAGATTACTTATAGCTCCCAGCATACACTAGGCCATGTGATTCTCCTTCACATCCTGGATTTTGACCACCTATTAAAACAGAACAGTGGAGCATCCCTGTAATCCTAGCACTAAGGGAAGCTGAGGAAGGAGCATCACAAGTTCAACTTGCAACTCAGCGAGACGGTATCTTAAAAAATAAAAAGGGCTGAGGATATAGTTCAGTGTAGAGTGCCCCTGGTTTCGAGAGTTTTGAGCCTCAGTACCAGAGGGAAAAAAACCAAAAACAGAACCGGTAAGATTAGCCCCTCCCACCTATGCTTGAGTGGCAGGTAAACTTCAACAGCGAGGAGGTCCTGCAGATGTAGGCTCTGGGGACTGCAGTGCAAAAGCTGCCTGCCTTGGGAAGCCCACCACCACACCAATGGGAAGAGTAGGGGAAGATGTGGCAAAAGCCCAAAGGAAGTGTGGTTTCTGTCTGCCCCAGCACGGTGAGCCACCAAGTAGTCCTCTGACACATCTGTTCCTGGCAGTGTGCAACTCCTCTGTACCCAAATGTGTGGTCTAAGAAAATTTAGGTCTGGATTAAAGGTTTCTGATACAAGAGGCTCTGGCTTCTGCTACAAGCATTTAAATCTGTGGCTTTTTTTTTCCTGATGCAGAACGTAACAGGGAATTGCAATGGATAGGGTGTCAGGGATGGAGGGACTTTCCCAGCCTGCCATTGAGAGGTACCAGAAGGGAGTTGCTCCTCCTTAGCCACCAAGCCTCCTTATCTGTAACTGCTGCATCCCCAGCACCTGGCAGGGCTCAGGAGCTCACCCAGCCGCTGGCTGTGCTTCTCCCTGTAGGTGGGAAAGCCCTGAAGGAGATGGCGAGCAGAGAGGGAGGGCTCCAGGACTGGCACAGGCGCTGCCCGCCAGCTCCTTTGGCTTCCCGCACCTAGGTGCCTGTGCACACCTCACAGAGGCTCGCTTAGCTGCCTCCAGGGCTACCACCACGAAAAGAAGGGCTTCCGACTCTGAAAGCTCTGGGTGTAGGACTCGCTGGCAGCCCGCTGGTGGGAACGGGCCGTCTCGACGATCACAGGCGGCATTTGGACAAGGTGCAGGGGACTCTTGTTGTCTTTCAGCGCTTGTGTCAGATTTAGAATCTGCAGTAGAAAGAAGATGGATGAGAGAAAGGCAAAACCAACAAAAATAAACACATCAATGGAAAATCAAGAGAAAAATCAAACAAGTAGGTATTTACAACAGTAGAAATATAAACGGGCATGAAGCAGAGGAAACCTGTCTAGTTATTTTAAAAATACAAATAAAGCTGGGCACATGGCACATGCCCGCAGTCTCGGCTACTCAGGAGGCTGAGGAAAGACGGTCACTTGAGCCCAGATGTTTCAGACCAGACCAGTCTGGCCAACATGGCAAGTCCCCATCTCAAAAAAAAAGAAAAAAGAAAAGCAGGGCATGGTATACACATGTATAATTCTATCACTCTGGGAGGCTGAGGCAGAAAGATCACAAGTTCAAGCCCAGTCTGGGCAACAGCAAGAGCCTGTCTCAAAAGCAAAAAGAAAAAAGGGCTGTGGATGTAATTTACCATGATGGTCCTGGGTTCAGACCCCAGTATCACCAAAAAAACTCCAACCAAAAAAACAGGAAGAAAAGGAGGAGGTGAGGAAGAAGAGAAGATGGAGCAGGGGTAGGCAGGCCTCCTAGTTATTTGCCTTTCCAGTGAGTAAAGATAAAGACTGCAACCACTCAGAGGTCAAGAGAACTCAAAGAAACAGGCATTCATTCTCCTTGGCTATGGAGCTGGAATACGGCACAATCTTTCAGATAGGGAAGCTCACAATAAAGCTTAAAAATGAGCAGACTCTGACTCCGCAATTCATCTTGGAGAAGTAGGAAAGTAATCACAGATATGCATAAAATATTTAACTTTTAAAAATACAGTATTATTTGTAACAGTGAAAATGATTTGTTAAGGGATCAGAAACAAAAAGAAAGAAAAAATCAAAATATATAGAAATAAATGTACTGGCATAGAAAGCTGATCACAATGTTGTCAGCTGGAGAGGAAAAAAGGAACCAGTATTAGATTGTGCCCTTACCTTTTTATCTTATCTGCTTAGACAAAAAAAAATCTGCACATTGGCAGTGGTCAAACATAAGACTTTAGGAATTATAAATGAGTTTAAGTGTTTATAGTTAGCTAGATTTATTTTCTGATTTTTCCATAAAGATGGATTTCCTGGGTTTTGCTGGTTTTGGGGAGCTGCGATCAAACCCAGGGCCTCACACATGTAGGCAAATACTGTACTGCTGAGCTATAGCTTCAGCCCAAGATGATGTATTTTTTTAAAATTTTATTTAAGGAGAAAAAGAAAAAAAAACAGAAAAAAGGTACAAGTTATACAGAATTTCAAAAAAAAAAATAAACAGTAGGAAACCACCAGTTAATTGATTACTTATTGTCATCTTAGAAATAGTTGTTCAAGTTACAAAATTAAAGTATATAAAGTAAACATTCAAACAGTGAGACTGAAAACAGTTCTGTTCAATGATCCAACAAAAACTCAGTAATATGGTATCTATCTTATACGCTTAAATATACATGCAGTTATATCCTTTAGAGCACTTTTTTTTCCTCTTTTTTACAATGACAATTATACATTTTGGGTTTTATTACTCCCACAGTTCTTATTACTTTTTTTTTGAAGAGAATAAAACCAAATGTGACATAACAGAGTGAGTCAAATCAAAAGGATGGACATAGTACATGATGTAAAAACAGAATATAAGATGAACAACAATGGTTACCATAATGCCTCTTGCTATCTTAAAAAGAATTGCCTAGGTGCTGGGAATTTAGCTCAGCTGCATAAACACCTGCCTTGCAAGCAGGTGGTCGTGAGTTCGATCCCCAGTACCGATAAAAAAGAAAAAGGAAAAAAAAAAAAAAAGAATTGCCTATATCATCAGTTATAATAAAATTGAACTTCGTGTACTGTAGCATCAATCATATCAAGACAATGTAAAACCATTCAAGAGAATGACGTACTACAGGGTATTTAGAACAAACAGAAAATGAACAATGGTTTCTATCTTATCTCCTAAAGTTTTTGTTAATATTACCACATATAATAAAATCCAGTAGATACATCATGTTAAGACCGATGGAGACAGAAGAACAAAAGCTTGTTGGGACTTCAAAACAAGATGACATTAAATCAGCACTAGCTATTATGATGTCTTGTTTTCTCCAAAATAGCTGTTCCTACCACCCAACTGTCTCTGCCTCATTTCTGTTAAGCTCTTTTTCTGTCATTAGTTGTCAGTTTGTCTTCATTTCGGTTTCTGCTTCATTCATTGTGGCCTCTCTGCCACTATTTCTGGAATCTTGGTATTTTTCTCTTTTAGAATGTTCTGCAGTATTCTCTGTAGAGTTGAATTGGTGGTTGTAAATTCCCCTAGTTCCTCTTTATCCTGGAAGCACCCTGTTTCTCCATTAATTTCTAGGGACAGTTGTGCAGGATATATCAATCTTGGCTGGAGGTTATTGTCTTTCAAAGCTTGAATTATTTCACCCCACGCTCTTCATGATTTAATGGTTTGTGCGAGAAGTCTGCTGTAATTCTAATGAGTGTTCCCTTGTAAGTGATCTGTTTCTTGTCTCTGACAGCTTTTAATATTCTGTTCTTATATTGGATTTCTGGAATTTTATTATATGCCTGGGTGTAGTTCTGTTTGGGTTGTAGGTGGCTGGGGTCCTGTATGCCTCATAGATCTGAGTATCTTTACCTTTTCCCATATTATGGAAGTTCTCCTTGATTATTTCTGTGAATAGCCTTTGCAGTTCATTTGTTTGTATCCCTGCTTCTTCCTTTACCTTTTTTTAATTTTTATTATTTTTTCCTTTACATTCTTAATTCTTAAGTTAGAGATCCTCTTATCATCTTCTAGCCTTTGTGTTGTTACTGCTTGTTTCCTTGTTATTTTTAAGTTTTTCCTTTCATGCTCCCACATTACAAATCTGTCCTCCAGTTCAGATAATCTATCTCTAGTTTCTTTCAAGCTGTTATGCCAGCTTTCAATAGAGTTTTTAGTTTCCTGGTAATCTCTTTGAACTTGCTTCATGTATTCTACATTTTCTCTATTTTCTCCATCAAACAATTGTCTTTTTTTCTGTTCTTCCATTCCACCATTTGTTTTTTCTTGGGAGGTGCTTAGCATTTCTTTAACTATTCTCCTTATATCTTGCTTTACTTGGTTAAATACTTCACTTTTGAACTCGTCTATGAGGTCCCAGAGATATCACTTTATGTCTATTGGTGCCATGCCTGATATTGCAGGTTTTCTGTCCTCATTCTCCTTTGCACTGATCTTTCTGGATCAGTGTTCTCAAGATTGGGGACTGAGGACCCTTTCTTGTTGCTCGCTTTTCCCATACTTTTTGTTCCTTCCATGCAAGTGTGTATATGAGGTCCAGTTTCTTTCTTTGTTGGTTACCGTTTGTTTGAATTGTGCCGGCTAGGTGTTCCCACCCACTGCAGTGTACTAGGGAGACACAGACCTGGGCAGCCAATGCTGGGCCCGCCCCTCCAGCTCAGTCAACCTGCTGAAGGCTTCACTGCGTTAGGGTGCACTGCCAGGCACAAGGACCTGCTTTGGGCTTGCCTACTGGGTCTTTGTCCACAGCGTCACCCAGGTCAAGCGCTCCCCACCAATCCTGCTTGAGAGAGGAATATGTGACTGAAGTCACTGCAGTATCCTGTTCCGGCTAGTCTGCCCGGTCCCAGAATGTCCTCTGTTGGAGCTTCCTAGTCTATAGAAGGGTCCCCGTTCCTCTCACTCACCGCAGGTTGATGCAGCTCTGCTCCCTGCCAGCTCTGCTCTCAATTTGGCTTGCCGATTCCTGCTCTCAGAGCTTTCTCGTCTCTATCCCTGCTGTGCTGATTCAGATGCAGCAGCGACAGCAGGAAATTCAAGCTGTGGTTTCCAGCTTCGGCACTGAGACTAGCTGTTTCAGTCGTAGCACCGAGATTGCATTTCCAGTTGGTTTCTCTCAGCTTAGTTCATTCCTGGGTCGGCAGGGTATATCTCCCCCTGCTTAAGACTCCCCACACCACACCATTCCTGGAATCTAAGCTGGCTATCTTAGAGAGCCTCCATAGCTGCTGTTATCTATCCACCATGTTCTCCCGGAAGTCTCAAGATGATGTATTTTTTAAAAAGCCAACATTTCAGTTGAATTCTCTCTCAGAGGTTATCTATCAATTTTTCTATCAATAAAAATTTTTTAGCATGTGCTACCCCTGGGGATTGAATCTAGGGCATACTAGGTGAGTACTCTACCACTAGTCTATACCCAAGCCCAAGAATTTTTTGTTTTTGTTGTTTTTGCATACAAAGTCCTACACAAAGCTGCCCAGGCTGGTCTCCAATTTCTCATTTTCAGCCTCTTAAGTAGCCGTTAGGAATATAGGTATGTGCCATTGTGCCTGGCTTCAGTAAAATTTTTAATTTGGGTTTTTTTCTTCCTGTACTGGGGTTTGAACTCAGGATCTTAGCACAGAGCTATATTCCCAGCCCTAAATAGGAAGGAAGGAAGGATGGAAGGAAGGATGGAAGGAAGGAAGGAAGGAAGGAAGGAAGGAAGGAAGGAAGGAAAAGAAAGAAAAGGAAAAGAAAGAAAGAAAAGAAGGAGAAAAAAGGAAAGGGAGAGAGAATGAAAGGGAGAAAGGAAGAAAAATATTAGGGGGTGGGGCACAAGTTCTAGGTCTCTAAGTTGTCCAGGCTGGGCTCCAAATTGGGAGCTCTCTTGTGTCATCCTCCCAGAATGCTGAGACTACAGGTGTGTACCACCATGCTTGGTTTAAATTAGATAATTTTACAGAAAAGTTGCAAAGATAGGCTACTGGCTCAGCTAAGCAAATAGGATCATGATTTTTTTTCTGTTTCATGTCAGGTTTTTTTTCAGGACAATGTGTCATTTTGCTCTGGGGTATGAAAGCAGTAGACAAGGCAAATATGTGAATGGTAAATTACACACTGGGAAGAAATGGATGTTATGGAACAGTAAAATATAGGCAGCAGACTCTCTGAGGTATGTGAAACTTGCTTCAAACTAAACAGGTTCAGGCCAGGCATGGTGGCGCATGCCTGTCATCCCAGCACACGGGAGGCAGAGGCAGGAGGATCACTGTGGGTTTGAGGTCAGCCGGGATACATAGTGAATTCAAGCCCAGCCTGTGCTACATAGTGAGATCCTGTCTCAAAAAACAAAAACAAAATAAAACAACAGCAACCAAAACTATACAGGTTCCACCCCGTGTGTTTGTCATTTTTTTTAAGTGTGGCAGTAGGGAGTGAACCCATAACTTTGGGCGTGCCCAGCACAAGCTTCACCACTGAGTCACACACACGGCCCTGGATGTTTTGAAAGATGAACAGCTAAACGTGCATGATTAAGCAAACTTACTGATTCTCTGAGAAGCCACCTGCCTGGCTGTGCAACCCCACCTGCAATCTGCCACCTGCACTCCCTAGCACCAGTTAAATAGGTTTTCAAACAGGTGATGTCTCCCCACAATGAAGTAACATCAGATTATCTTTTGGGTTGATTCCTTAGAAGTTCTCCTTCCCTTACTCCTGGCCAGAACACACATTAGGTCTGCCCTTGGTTGTGTTCTCAAACTGCAAGTTCGATTTCAAGTGTTTCCTTTGCTTCTGTTACAGGCTGATGTATCCTTGGCTGAAAATTGAAGATGCCTAAAGCCCCTGTGAAGACAGTAAGAGGAAGGGTAGAGAAAAAGGTGAAAATGCACTACTCTCAACCTCCCCTACACCTTTTGCCACAGTGGATTTCCACTCTAACAGAGTATAAAAGCAGGGCTGTTGGGGCTGGAGATTTAGCTCAGCGGCATAAGCGCCTGCCTTACAAGCAGGCAGTCGTGAGTTCGATCCCGGGTACCGATAAAAAGGAAAAAGACAAAAAAAAAAAAAAAAAAAAAAAAAAAAGCAGGGCTGTTAAGGTGTTGGCCAGGGACTGAGTTGAGACTGGAAAAGATGGTTCAATGTGGGTATGTAAAGCTGGGGTGCAAGTTTATTCTTTTATACTGAATTCTATAATATCAGATAATGCCAAGCACCTTGTAAGGTTTTCAAAAATCCTGCCAACCTAATGGGGTCCATACTTTACTTGGGAAAGGTAGGAAGATCATGTTATGGGCATCCAGGCAGCTGCAGTTACAGCAGCTCTTAGAACCTCTGACGGCTAGATGTAGTGCACATGCCTGCAACCCCAGCCCTTGAGACTCTGAGGCAGGAGGACTGTCATGAGTGAGGCCCATGTAGCCTGCTTAGTGAGTTCAAGGCCAGCCTCAAACTTAGAGATCTTGCTTGAAAACAAAACAATAAACTTCTAACCACCTTATTTCCAAGAAACATGACCTCTGCAAGCCCAAGAGGTGCTCTCACCATTTATTTAAATGGTAACTATGGCTAGGAAGACTCATTTTTTAAAGATTTGAGAAGCTGACTTTTCTGCATGTAAAATCAGCAGCTTAATAACTGACACATACTGATTCAGTACACTGATAGTAAATGCTAATCTAACTGCTTTGAATAATTTATCTTATAATAACCCTATGAAGCTGGTACTATTATTAATCCCATGATACAAATGGAGAAAGAGTTTAAGTAATTTACCTAAGACCTTTTAAGGCAGAGCCAGATTTCAAATTCAGGGACTCTGACCAGTTTGTGCCCTGATCTGCTGAGCCATGCAGCTCTCTTTAGGAAGACTTCAAAATGATAAGCATGATGCCAGTACCCTACATTCTCCAAACATATTCTTCACTATTCTTTGAAAGACAGAAAATACCCTGAGTTTCTGCGGCTCCCTTTGAAAGTGAGATAGAGAAAGAATATATATATAATTTATAACTCGAACAACAAAATTATAACCACAATCAATATCTGAGTATCTACCATGTGCCGGGCATTCTTTTTACTTAATACTAGGCATACATTATTCCATGCAATCCTCCCATCAATTGTGCAAAGTATTATTGAAAGTCTCTCCCCCACTGAAACTCAGTTCTCAGAAGTTTCTCTTTGATTCTGCCCACTCTACCTACCTCTTAAGTAAGTTGCCCACTGAAGCCTATTAATTATAGATTAACTGCACACTAAAGGTAGCTAGGAATGCACAAACCCTCCTTCCAAAGCACTCCCCAGTTCCAAGTTATAGGAAGTCATCCTTGGAGTGGGTACTTTGGTCAGACACACTGACCAAAGTAAAAAACAGACATAATCACTTCAGTCAATACAGAAACCATGATCATTTAGGTTTTCTTTAGATCTCTGGACTGCAACTGTTGCTGACCTGTGTGAAGGAATTAAGATATACACAGCCCACACTGCAGCAGAGGCTACTTTCTGAAACACTGGACAACTGAAGTACCCACTTATTTCAGACACACATACCTCCCTTAAGAACCATATAAAATTCTCCCTTAGAGCAAGAGGTGAGATGGTCGTAAGAGGAAAGAGCGTACCATGTTCCAATATGCCAGCTGGTTTTTAAGAAAGTTCTTTCTTTCTCCATCACTCAGCCTCTCCATTCAACTCCATCACACAGTAACTAACTGAAGTTTACGTGGCAACGTCATTATTATCCTATCTCTATCCTAAGCCAGAAAACAGGCTCTTCCCCAAAGCCACAGAGTTTCTAAGTGGTACAGTGGTCTGATGCCAGAGCCCAGTTCTTAACTACCAACAATATACGGCCTGCCTTGAGCAACTTAAGGACAGAGTATTTACCTACAACTTACCCAGCACCTGGCACAGTAAGTGTTTCACCAAGCACTGGATCCCATGGAAGAGGTAGGGATTAAGAAGGGCTACCTTTCCTCTCCCATGTGTTAGGGTAGAGTTAAAACATGTATGGTACAGACTATACATATTTGAACAGACTATACATGGTATGAACAGGATTTAAAACTCAAGCTTTACACACCAGCAACATGAGCATCTCAGCGATATTCCCAAAAGACACTGGAAGACGTCCCAGACTTTACCTGTCCCCGCATGACCGCAATCTGCTTATGGAACTGGCCCCTGTCAAAACCAGGATCTTTCTGCAAAACAAGGGCAAAAGATCAGACCTGTGTGAATACCTCATAGAAATCCATTTTCTCCTCTAGTCAGAAATCTTGTAACAAAGAAAACCTACATAAGGCTTACGGGACTTGTTGAAGTCAACTAGCATCCTAAGAAAGCCCACTTTTACAGATGAGAAAACAGAGACCAAGAAGGCATCTTGTTTTCCAACTCAAACTCAGAGCTCTGTGAACACTGCAGTCAGGTGATGCACCCTCAGTATGATCATCACAGCTGCCCACGTTCTTCAAAGGCATTCATATCAATGCTGCTGTCCATGTGTGAGAACCCTGCCCTATACTCAGGTCAGACGGGTCAGCCACTTCCTCTTGGTTTGTGTCAGCAACTAGAACCATTAGGAGCCAGGTATGGGGATGTAAGCCTATGATCCCAGCACTCTGGGAGGTTGATGCAGGATGACTGCAAGTTTGAGCCCAATCTGGGCAACTTATTTAGTGAGACCCCGCCCTAACATAAAACAGGCTGAGGATGTAGTCCAGTGCAAAGGCTCTAGGTTCAATCTCTAGTACTGAGGGGAGAGTTAGGGATGATTTCTTCCATACAGTAATCAGTTGAAGGTTCCCAGGCCTAACCTTAAATAGTTCATACAGGTCCTCCTCCAAGTCCTTCACAAAGTTAGGGTCCGATATCTTCGGAAGAATCAGATCTTTGATCTCCTGGGAGAATGGCACTTTGGCCTGGGGCAACCAGGCCCAGTAGAAAGGATCTGAAAAGAGGAAAGGGCAAAAACAAAATGTGTTGGAAAAGTCCCTCCTCGTTTTTGTCTTCCGTCTACCAGGAATTTTCAAAGGGAGAATCTCCCTCATAGACATACACAAAAAACTAACAAGTGTTGTTAACCATAAAAGTTACATGACTAGTCAGTACAAGCACCAGGATTCAACCCGTGTTTACCTAATCCTGCAGCTGTTTCCTAGATGTTATGTGACCTTCTGAGATACAAGCTTACCCCAAAGCAACTGCTTGCCACTGAGACACTGAGAAGACCCATCTGAAAACAAGGACCAGTGTTGTAAAGGGGGCTAGTGACTTCTACTTACATCTTTCTCCCTTTCCGAAAGCTGCTCATTGTAGGGGTAGGGGATATCAACAAGGAAGACAGGGCACTGACAGCAGCTTATCTCAGGTAAGAGACTGAGATACAATGAATCATGAAAAGACAGGTTTCAAAACAAGTAAGACTAAAAAGTAGAGATGACAAAAACTCATGTTTGCATCTCTCTCTCTCTCTCTTTTTTTTCCCCCCTTGGGTTTTTGAGACTTGGTCTCATACGTAGTTCAGACTGGCCTTGAACTCACTATGTAGCCCAGGCTGGCCTTAAACGTGCAGCATTCCTCCTGCCTCAAGTCTCCTTGAGTGCTGAGGTTACATGTGAGCACCAAAACCCAGCTTCTTTATGCTTCTGATTTCATTTTGTTTGGTTTTTATAGTGCTGGAGTTGAACCTTGCACATGCTGGCCCTGAGATATACCTCTAGCCTCCTATGCTCCTAATTTCTTTTCTTTTTTTTAAATGCTCCTAATTTCTAATAACTCATATGCCTCTAGTGACAATACAAGGAAAAAATTATGACAATAGTTTACATTACAGAATAACTGCCATGTATTAACCATTGTGTTAAAGGTCTGAGCTGCACTATTTCACTGATTTTTAGAATAATGCTATGTTGAAGATATTTCAATGACAAGACAGAGACTGCAAGAGCACAGCCAAACCAGTGGTCTTGAAACTTACAAGCCCTCCAGGAGTCCGGATGCTTCAGTGGGAATGCCAGCCCATTGTCAATGGCAGCCACCTTGATGACAGGCTCCTTCACCACCACCCAGTCTGTATCCTGCAGAGCAAGGAGAGACTGATTACTGAAGGAGCCCCTCGGCCTCAGGCAAAGCAATACATCCCTTCCTCTTCAGATACCTGTCCCCTGCAACTTATCACCAGGAGCTACCCTCCAAACTGGTTTCTGTGTTAGCAAAACCCGGCACACTGATGGCACCTCTAACCTAGCTTATTCAAGGTTCTCAGGGTCCCCTTCTTATTTGTGGGAAAGAAGCAGTACCCTAGAACTGGTCACAGCCATTGGTAAGGATAATGACAAACAAAGACAATTATAAGCCATTCCTCCTGCTGAAAGGCTATGAGACTCCCAGAGCAGAAAAAAAGAAAGAAAAATCTGTATTAGTTGGCCAAGGTCCTTTGGTGTGGACCTTGTCTCAGACATCATTTCATCGGTAATGACATTTTCCAGGGAGAAAACAAACAACAGTTGGCTATTCTTGCACAAGGCAGTTTTGTTTTCCTGCATCAGTGATTCATGAAAGAGGAAAAGACACAAGCTGAACAAAATGAGTGGGCAAGCCACCTAGGACAGGGACACCCATGGATACTACAAGGCTTTAGGTTTTAGGTTCACTGATGTCATCATGGAACAGGGATTGTAGTTCTAGCACATGTATATTGGAATCTCCCTGAACTACTTTTAAATAATGTGGGATCCTGGCCCCCATGATGCCACATACCTATAATCCCAGCATTTAGGAGGCTGAGGCAGGAAGATCCCCATGAGTTTGGATTACAAGGCCAGACTTAACTACTAGTGAAATTCTGTCCCCAAAACAAACCCTAATTAATTAATTAATTAATTAAAATAAAATAATGCCAGTCATGATGGGACATGCTTGTATTCCCAGGAATCAGGGGGCTGAGGCAGGAAGATTGCTACAAGTTCAAGGCCAGCCTGGATTCCATAGTGAATTCAAGACAAGTCTGGGCTACATAGCAAGACCCTGGCTCACATTTAAAAAAAAAAAAAAAAACAAAACACCTCTAGATGATGATGACTCTCTTTCCATGGGAAAGATCTAAAGAATCTGTACATGTAGATGGTACTAAAGACTGAACTCAGGGTCTCACCTTGTTGGGTAAACACTCTGCTGGTAAGCATAGCTCTTCCACTGAAGAATGCAACATCTAATAGCCAGTATTATAGAAGAAAGCAAACTCCTCTAAATACTTAACCCTGGGCCACAGGCGTAGCTCTGTAGGGAGTGGTGGAGCCTAACATGTGCAAAGGGCTGGATCCCATCCCCAGCACTACAAAACAAAAATAAAATCCAACCTCACTCTCCTCCAGGTAGCCTTCCTGCTACTTTTAAAAGACATGCCGATAGGGGCTGGGGATTTAGCTCAGCAGCAAAAGCACCTGCCTTGCAAGTAGGCGGTCGTGAGCTCCATCCCAGGTACCGATAAAAAGAAAAAAAAAAAAAAAAAAAAAGACATGCAGATGGAGCAGCAATGGAAAAAGGTGGTAGAAGATGAGAGAAACCAACGCAAGCAAGTTGCAGGAGAAGCATTCTCTAAATCTATATTCCATGAAATTGTGGTCTATTGCGAAGAAAGTACCCCACTGTTTAAAATCACTAGGCCAAAAGAAACTAGATAGGCTCATCTCATATAGTATTTCTCAAACTTTTCTATACTTCTGTGCCATGTGACGCTCAAAGGAACACAGTACATAAAATGTTCCAATTTTACTAGACCTTTTCCTCATGCTATTCCTATCAACCTCCGTCACTAGGATGTTCTTTAAAAATACAAACTAAGGAAAACTATATCAATTAATTTTCAACACTGTGCTTCCCTGATTCTTCTGAACTTATGTCACCTAACTATAAACTTACAGGGCCATTTATCTGTCTGGTTTGCTCTTTTTTTTCCCCTTATTTTTGGCAGTACTGGGAGTTGAACCCAGGGGCTTCTATGTCCCCAGACCTTTTTATTTTTTATTTTGAGACAGAGACTCACTAAGTTACTAAATGGCCCGAGACGGGCTCTGTTGGGAGCCGCCGACACCGGTCGCCTTACTTGGCGGACGTAGGGCCTGTGGGTGGGAGCGGAGCCTGAGCTAGATTGCCCCTCCCATCGAGTGAGTCAAGTTGGCGCCTGCTTCCTGCCCCCTGATTGCGCTGGCGACTTAAACAACCCGCTCTGTAAGATAGTCTGCCTAGCAACAACTGATGTTAGCCAATCAGCCCGCATCGCGCGCTTTGAACTGATTGGCCACTGTCACCCTATAAAAGTGAATGCCTCTCCCGCCACGAGACAGGAAGCACAGAGAAAGCACAGAGAGAGATAGAGAAAGTCCACCGGCGAGAAAGGGCTGGTGGCAGAGTGGAGGCCTCGCGGGGCCCACGCGGAGATAAATAAAGGCAAGGTTGCACACCGCCAGACTTTGTCGTGTGTCTTTCCTGCCGGCCGGGAGCGACCCCGACATTTGGTGACCCGCACGGGGACTGATCAACCCCGAGACACGGCGGTGGTGTGCAACGCTCCAGCGTGGTGCTGCCGGACAGGTGAGTTGGGGATAAGCCTGGGCTCTGGGTGGCGCGCACCTACAGGGCTTTTAGACTCCCCTCAGGCTCACGCGTAGGTGACGGGTTCTTTAAGTCACACGCGGTGAGTAACAGCCCTTAGAGGTTGAGAATGGGTAATTTACCGAGCGCAGAGGCGCGGCCCTTGGTAAAGGCCCTTAGGAAGCTTTTAAAAGCTAGAGACCTCAGGGTAGGTCAAAAAACACTGGAACTATTCATAGTAGAGATAGATAGGGTGGCTCCCTGGTTTTTACCCATGGGGCATTTAAACCTGCCGTCATGGGAGAAGTTAGGCGGGGACCTCGCCTCGGCGGAATTGGGAGGCGATATTTCGCCGGCTATTCGCCCCCTGTGGGAAATGATACATGCGTGCCTTGACTCCTATGCCGAGTTGCGCCGTGAATTGTGTGCGTGCGCCGCTCGAAAAAAGCAGAGAGAGGAGAAAGGGCCCCCGAGCGCTCTCTGGCGGGGAGGAGATAGAGAGCCATCCGCTCCGCCCTGGAGCTCTTCTCCAGAAGCGGCTCCCCGCCGAGAGGCCGCTACAGGGAACCCTCCCTTCTCTCAGCCGGCACAGGAAGTGACGCCCCGTTCCACTCTGTCGCGACCGCAGTCCTATGACGTTGCGCTGCGGGGCGGACGGTATTTTTATGGGCGGCTACTCTGCCGAGCAGGCTGAGAAAAACGCCGGTCGAGGAAACGGGGGCTGGGGATTTAGCTCAGCGGCATAAGCGCCTGCCTTGTAAGCAGGCAATCGCGAGTTCGATCCCTGGCACCGATAAAAAAAAAAAAAAAAAAAAAAAACGAAAAAGACCAAAAATAAAAAAAAAATAAAAAATAAAAAATAAAAAACAAAAAGGGGGAGTAAGCCAAGGCCTGCCTCCAAAGGCGCGGTTATCTATGGCATGACAATGGATGGGCCCGGATCCAGTGGTTAGCTGGAACCGAGGCGCGGTTTGTGTTTTTCTGCAGGAATTGGGACGAAAACCACTGTGGGTCCCAGAGAGGTTGACGCGACAAGTCCCTCGACTGAAGATCAGGCCTGTTCCACCAGAGGCCAACCGCAGACCCAACAACAAGATGAGCCCTAAAAGAACTGCAGGACAATCCCTTTTTGGGGAGCCTGGAATGGCTTGCTCCCCTATGTTTTACCATTGTTAGGTCCCCTGTGCTCCTTGCTTCTGTTCTTACTTGTAGGACCATTCTTGCTCCGATGGGTTACATCATTTATTAATGGGCGCCTTGCGGCGGCCTGGCGTCAAGTACGCCTGGTTGCCCATGCGGCCCTGGCAGGAGCCCGTGATGGGCACAATGACCCCCAGGCTTACGCATGGCTCGCTCGACTGGCCTACGACTGGGTCTAGGTGTGGCGGGTCTTCCGCATTCCTTCCCTAATGACACCACACAGCAGGGTAGGTGAGTCAATGACGGGTAAGAGCGTGCCTCCCCAGCATGACTCGACCTAAGCCAGGCCCTACCCCATGGCGCACAAAAGCCGCTGGATTACTAGAATCTGCCCAGATCTAGATGCCTCTCCGAGGGGATCACACGGAGGGGCATGAGTGCATGCCTATGTGCATCCAGGTTCCGTCCAGTTCACTCCTGGCCCTGGAAAAAGGACGAGGGTCTCAAGGCCTTGGCAGACCCGGGGGCGGCCGACCAGGGTCCAAGCCAAGGGCCTACGGTGGGCCTCAACACAGGGCATAAGCCTCTGCACTCGATCCAGGGCGGGCTGCGATGCATACATTCATTCAAAGTAAATAAAATAGGGGGAGATGTTGGGAGCCGCCGACACCGGTCGCCTTACTTGGCGGATGTAGGGCCTGTGGGTGGGAGCGGAGCCTGAGCTAGATTGCCCCTCCCATCGAGTGAGTCAAGTTGGCGCCTGCTTCCTGCCCCCTGATTGCGCTGGCGACTTAAACAACCCGCTCTGTAAGATAGTCTGCCTAGCAACAACTGATGTTAGCCAATCAGCCCGCATCGCGCGCTTTGAACTGATTGGCCACTGTCACCCTATAAAAGTGAATGCCTCTCCCGCCACGAGACAGGAAGCACAGAGAAAGCACAGAGAGAGATAGAGAAAGTCCACCGGCGAGAAAGGGCTGGTGGCAGAGTGGAGGCCTCGCGGGGCCCACGCGGAGATAAATAAAGGCAAGGTTGCACACCGCCAGACTTTGTCGTGTGTCTTTCCTGCCGGCCGGGAGCGACCCCGACAGGGCTCAAACTTGCAATCCTCCTGCCTCAGCCTCAGAGAGGTGGTGGGATGAAAGGCACACACCCCTATTCTTGGCTTGTGTGTTTCCATAATAAGTATATTCTTCTCTATCCTCTTATCTGAAACACAGAAATCTCTTACCCGAGAGCTAGAACTATCCATTGGACAGTCATATTTAATCAGCCAATTGTCGTTGCCTCGATCTGTGAACAGAAATACAAAGTTAGAAAAACGTAAAAGTGACCTTTAATTTTAGTAATGATAGACTAGGCACCGTGGACAAATGAACCAATCTTCTACTGAGAACAACTATAAAAACTGTATAAAATATTTTTAAATATTTGAAAGACACTGTTGATTTTAATAAAACCATAAGAATTTACGAGTCAAGAACTGGTAATTACGCATAATGAAACGAACAACTACTTTGAAGAAAAAGAGACACTACAGTACCCAGTGCTGATTCCGTAGCGTCATGATGTGAAATCCAGTAATACTATTATTCTTTGTTCAGAGTGACGTTAGTCTGTTTTGTTTTGTTTAATTTCAACATATGTGAAGGTATGGACAGCTATTTTGAAGAGAATGAGAGACACGAAGACACACTGTGACTTCCTTATTGTCTGGTCTTGAAGACCTAAAATGCCTTCATCATCCTGTTTGGATCAGTTGAAAACAAGAGACAATATGATAGTGAAGATCTTTGGTTGTCTTGCTTTGAAATCTATGTCTCTTACGTTGTTTTCTTATGTTCTGATTTGTTCTGTTTTGTGGTGATTAATTTTACCCTTTTTTATTTTTTTTTTTTTTGTCTTTTTCTTTTTTAATCAGTACCGGGGATCAAACTCACGACCACACACTTGCAAGGCAAGCTAAATCCCCAGCCCCAATTTTACCCTCTTTAAGTAAAATTTAAAAAACAAAAGAAGAACTGGGAAAGAAACTCCAGAAAGATGGTCCAAGAGTTTGGGGTTTCTTTTTTTTTCCCTTTCTTTTTTCTCTTTAAATTAAAAAAAAAAAAAGAGTTTCTGATTTCTTCTCCTCTAAAGTATCTGCTGATTCGGGAAGATGTAGCTAGAAACTGAGAAAAACACTGTAGAGTTAGAAAGACAAAAATTCTACTCCAATCACTGATTAGGGGTGGGAAGACTGCTAAATCATTCATGCTTTGAGATGAGATCTAAATGGATATACCTTGACTCCCCTTTAAAACCTGAAATTAAATTGACCCTGTGCTGCTAGTACCCTAGCTGCTTGCCAAAAGCAAACTTCATCCTTTTGGCATAATTTATACCCTAGACTGTCAAATATTTCTACAATTTCTGATAGAAATTATTTGACAATCAAAACTAACCAGGTATAGAAAGGTACAAGATGACATAAGCAAAAACAGAGACAAGAGAAAATTAAAACAGTCACTATAATTTCCCATACAAGGAAATCTCTTACTTAGACTTTAAAATGTTCAAGATAAAAATAATTACATTTAAGAAGATAAAAGGCAGAGAAGAGGAAAACGCCAGAGTGGTCATTGGTAGTGAAATTAAGCCTCTGCAAGATTCAGAATCCAGACACAGCCACCATAACAACTTGGTGAAGTGAGAAAAGTACTGGGAATCAGGAAGAAACAGATAGAAATATTAGAAGCTACAGAAAAATTGGAGAGATGGTCCACAATGCTGAGGGGCAAAAATGGAACAATGTGGACTCTGATTCATGGCTTGTGGGGAGGTGAATCTGTTTCCCCAGAAGCTAGGTAAGCTCCCACGGCTCGGAGATGCAGGGAGACCCAGTGGCAGAGCACACAGTTGTTGTGAGCTGCAAACTTAGCAAAGGTTTTACTCCAAAGGGATTCCTTGCCATGAAAGGTAAGAGCCGGAGAGGAATTTCAGGGTGGGCACCCCCATATCACCAGGAAATAATTAATCAGGTGCTATTTCAGGAAGGGGCTAATTATTTAAATCTGGAACTCAGAACAACAACAAAACTTTATTTCAGGGCTCCCAGAACGGCTCTCCCACAGTGACTGGATGAAAGAAAGCCGTAAGAGACAGCCTTGGACAGAGACTGAGCAGTGATATAGAAAGAAAGAGATTCATGGAAAAATTGAACACAGGAAATCATAGGCCCCCCCACTCCAGTTGTGCTCCAAAACAGCTGGATTTGAAAGTGCCAGCACAATATGTCTTCAAACCCTTTCCTGATCCCTACATGCAGCACAGATCTGAGGTCTGACTGCCTTCTGTGTCTACAAATCAGCAAGAACATGTCTCAGGTGGGCACTACCACAGCCTGGGGTAGAGAGAGAGGCCTCTGAAATAGTGGGGCACCTCATGCAGGTTGTTAGGCTAAGCCAAAAAAAGCTGTGTCTTGCTGGACTCCAAAACTGTGGCTCCCAGAAGGAAAACACTCATTCAAAACTACAGAGATATTTTTTCTGTTTTTAGACTTTTTATTTTTTCTCTCTCATACTTCTTTCTTCTTCACCAGTTTACAGGCATTTGGGGATTTTCCTTTGTTCTTTCTTTCTTTCCCTTACTCCTATTTTTTTCTTTCTCCTTTTAATTTTTTTCTATTTTTATTCTCTATATCATTTTTCTTTTTTCTCTTACCTTCTTTTCTCATTTTTTCTTGTTACCACTGTCTAACTCTACAGTTACTCTTTTACTCCACTGTAGGATTCTTTGACTCATTCTTCTCTCCTCCTTCTGTTTAATTTCTCTTCTTGCATTCTCCCAGTCCCAATCCTCTGTATTTTTAATAGTACAGACATTAAGCTTTATTTATCTGCATTAGTTAATTCTGTTACTACTATTAGATTCTTCGCTATCACTAGTGGAGGTATAGTTATCAAGCTTAGTAGACATCTGCTGTCTGTAATACCTGGTTTATATTAGTGTGTGTACTATAACTACAGATTTCTGTTATAAGGTTAAGGGTGGCACCTTACTGGTTCTAACAGTATGTAAATATACAGTTTGCCTTGGACAGTATTAATGTTTCTGACTTAGTACTGCCAGAGTTGCACAGTTATTGCTATTAATAATTTTCTCTATATGCCAAAACCTGGATTGCTTTTGTGGGATTAACAATGCTAAAGTCCATTCTTGGAGAACACACTGCATCTACCCTACCAAAGGAACAGAAGTGGTCAGACGCTGGGACACAAGCACAGGGTTACAGTTAGGCATTCCCTTCCTGAGTGCATCACTGAAAAGCAGACTAATTAAACAGATCTCCTTCCTAATAACAAAACCTTTCCATTACACACCAATGCAAACCTAGGTACAAAACAAAAGCCAATAGAAATATGAGAAGTCAACAAAATGTCTCTTAACAAAATGTCTCTTAAAACTCTCAGTTCTTCCAAAGTTGACCCAAAGGGTATTGAGAGACAAAAAGCAGAGCAAAAGGTATAAATTATTTGAGAGGATAATAGAACACCTTAAAAATCAAGTCAATAAGGTACTCTCTGGGCTCACAGAAGATACAACTGATCAGTTAATGGAGATATATTAAACAAAACAACCAACAAGCTTACAACAGACATGAATAAAAAGCTAACTGGGCTAAACAAAATGATACAAGACATGAATGATTCGTTTAGCAAAGAGCAGAGTCCATGAAAAGGTTCTAAACAGAAACCCAGGGAATTAGGTTATAATGAAAGTAAGCACAGCAGTAGTGACCACGGTGAGGTCGAAATATCAGAATTAGAAGAAGAATACTTTCAAAGACCGGTTACAGTACTCACTTTTCTCTCTCCCTTCTCATCTCCCATTATTTAATTTTTCTATCTGCATTCCCTCACTCACAACCTTCTATAATCTTTTTTAAAATTTTTTATTTAAAGAGAAAAAAAAAACAGAAAAAGGGTACAATACAGAATTTCAAAAAAATAAACAGTAAGAAATCACTAGCTAATAGATTGCATATTGTCATCTTGGAAATAGTTGTTCAAGTTACAAAATTAAAGCATGCAAAGTGAACATTCAAACAGTGAGACTGCAAACAGTTGTGTTCAATGATCCAACAAAAACTTAGTAATATGGTTATCTATCTTACACACTTAAATATATATGCATTTATTTCCTTTAGAGCACTTTCTTTTCCTCTCTTTTTTACAATAACAATTAGACATTTTGGGTTTTATTACGCCCACAGTTCTTATTACTTTTTTTTGAAGAGAATAAAACCAAATGTGACAAAACAAAACAGAGTCAGTCAAAACAAAGGACGGACATAGTACATGATATAAAAACAGAATACAAGGTGTTCAACAATGGTTACCATAATGTCTCTTGCTATCTTAAAAAGAACTGTCTGTATCATCAGGTATAATAAAATTGAACAAAACAGTACAGAACAAAACCAATAAAACTGAAACATTGGAGACATTACAAGACTTCAAAAGAAGATAATAGTCAAACCAGAATGAGCATCATAGTGAATCTTATTGTCTTCAAAGTAGTTGCCTATACCCTCAAACTTGATACTATCAAACAAAACAGAATAGAGTAAAATCAGTCAAAACAAGATGGTGAGAGCAATTTAGGGCTTCAAATCAAGTTAACAGGAAATCAAAATGGTTACTATAATATATCCTATATTTTATTTATTTTTCCCTTAATTAAAAAATAAAACAAACAAACAAACAAATAAATAAGTAAATAAAAAGGAGATTGAGATAAAAGAGGACATAACAACACAACAGCACAGGTCAGGACAGAACAATTTAAGCAACATAGTGTTTCACCACAAGATAACCTGACATAACAGTAGTTACCACAGTGTCTCTTTCCTTGAAATTTAGATTTTATAAAATGATTTATGTCAAATATGGTGATCATGTGGTATTTAAAATTGATTTTTGTATGCTTAATTTTTTGCATTACATGAATAAATCAATTTTTTTGGTAAAATGTAGCTTTTGTTGACGATTTTAACATCATTGTTCATGGGGATATTAGTCTATAATTTTCTTGTAGTGTTTCTGTCTGGCTTTATTTTTAGGGTACTCTGGCCTCATAGAATGCTTTTTTCCAGGTTCCTATGGCATGGAATATTGTTTTCTGTCAGCTGATTTCTAATGTGTATACTTTTTTTTGGATAAAATGTGTTTCTTTAATATTACATATTGTTGGGTTTGTTTCTTGCATCATTCTGCTAATTTGTGTCCTTTGGGGAATTGAGACCTTTCACATTGAGGGGGCTGGGGATGTAACTCAGTGGTATACTGCTTGCCTAACACCATACCCAAGGCCTTGGGTTCAGTCACAACAAAACAATAACAATAAAAAGCCATTATCAAAAAAGTAAAAAGGCAACAGAATGGAGGGAGATATTTGCAGATCATGCATCTGATAAGTGATTAATATCCATAACATATAAGGGTCTTAAAAATCTCAACAACAACAACAACAAAATAGGCTGGACATAGTGGCACACATCTGTAATCCCAGCACTAGGGGATTAAGCTCAGAGGATCAGCTGAAGCCAGAAAATCACAAGTTCAAGGCCAGCATACATTATGAACCGAGTGTCTCAAAAATAAAATAAAATCAAACACCAGAATAAACAAATAAATTTAAAAAACTGACTCAGAAATCACTAAAGGCTGTGTGTGGTGATGCATGCCTGTAATCCTAGCACTTTGGGAGGCTGAGGCAAGAGGATCACTATGAGTTCAAGTCCAGTTTGATGGGCAAAGTAAGTTCAAGGTCAGCTTGAACTGCATAGTGAAACTATGTTTCAAAAAAAAAAAAAAAAAGAAGAAGAAGAAAAGAAAGAAAGAAAAAAGAGAAAGAAATGAGCAAAAGACTTTAAGAGACATTTTTCGGGGGTTGGGGGTTTAGCTCAGCGGCATAAGCGCCTGCCTTGAAAGCAGGCAGTCATGAGTTCGATCTCCGGTACTGATAAAAAGGAAAAAGACGAGAAAAAAAAAAGACACATTTTTCCAAGGAAGATACACAACTGGCCCAATAAACATGGAAAGACCTTTAATAGTACTATTCATTAAGGAACTGAAAGTCAAAACTATAATAAAATATATCAACTGATACTGATCAGAAAGGCTCCTATCTAAAAACAAAGCAAAACAAAAAACTGGGGCCACAGGGTTGCTTTGTGGTTAGGAGTACATGTTTAACATGTGCAAGGTCCTACACCATCACCAACACCTCTTCCAAAAAACCCAGGGAACAGAGTTTGGGCAAGGAAGTGGATTATGCACCACTGGTAGGACCATAAAATAGAAGAGCCACTGAGGAAAACAATATAGTTGTTCCTCAAAAAATCACAAATAGATGGCTGGAGTTTTGTTTTGGTTTTTTTTTTTTTTGTCTTTTTTCCTTTTTATCGGTACCGGGGATCGAACTCACAACTGCCTGCTTTCAAGGCAGGCGCTTCTGCCGCTGAGCTAAATCCCCAGCCCCAATGGCTGGAGTTTTAGCTCACTGGTATAAGTACCTGCTTGGCAAGCATGAGGTCATGAGTTCCATCCCCAGCACAAATAACAAAAAAATTACAAATAGAATTACCACATGGTTCAGCAAATCCACTCTGGATATGTATTCAAAAGAACTGCAAGACAAATCCTGAAGAGATATTTGTCCTATCCATAGCAGCATAGCAGCATATTATTCACAACTAAAACGATAAACAACCCAAATGTCTACTGATGGATGAATGAACACTCAAAAAATGGTACACACATAAAATGGAACATTTCTTAAACAGGAAGGAAATTCTGATATACACTACAACAGGTGACTGTTGGAAACACTATACTAGGTGAAATGAGAAAGGCTATACAATTTCATTGAAGTACTTGAGAGTAATAAAAAATCAGAGACAAAAAATAGAATTAGCTAGTTTCCAGAGTCTAAGGGAAGAGAAAAATGAAGAGTTATTATTCAGTAAGTATTGAATTTCGGCTTTTTAAGATCAAGAGAGTTCTGGAGTTGGATGGTGGTGACAGTTACACAATAATATGAATGCACATAAGACTTATGAACTGTACCATTTAAGAATGTTTAAGACAGTAAACTTAATGTAAGGTATATTATACTACAAAATATTAGAAAAATATAGCTCCAATAAAGCATGAATTTGTTCCTGATATATGTAGATTCAGTCAGGTTAGATAAATTAATGTTTTTCCTAACTTATAGAAACTGCTGACAGAAACAGACTGGTGATAAAAACAGACTTTAATCAAATTAATAAAAATTAATAAAAGGTCTATAATAAATGGACTAAATCAAGTTAGTTGTTTAAATTTGAATAATTACTGCTCAAATTAAATATTATTACTATTCTACCAATTAATAAATATAATAATCAACAAACATAGCTGAGCATGATGGTATATATCTATAATCCCAGCACTTGAGAGGCTAAGGCAGGACAATCACCCCAAATTCAAGGCCAACCTAGGCTACACAGTGAGCCAAGGCCACTATGAGAGTGAGACTGTCTCAAAAAATAAAAAGGAAAAACAAAAATCAATGAATTTATTTATTTCATTAAATTAAAAGAAATTTTATTTGTGAATATTTTATCAATAATAAATTCCCTAAATTTTAACATGGAAATCTTACAGATGCCCCATTGCCTGTATATATAATATAGTATGCATTTATAACTGATATACCACAAATTAGTTATATTACAATTTTTTAATATTATTTTATTGTTTTCCTTAAGGAATTGTAATACGATGACATTTGGACTGCTAAATCAGTGCCTTTCTTTGTACTATTTTAATCAAAGGCCCCCGAGAAGGGACATAAGCTGCCCAATGAGACAATCATGATGTGCCACTGGTAGTTTAAGCTGCAGGAATAATCAAATTCAAGCCAGAGCTGCCCACCAACAAAACACACAAGTTATGTTGTGAACAGATTAAAATTGTACCAGAGAATTTTTTTAATCAATGATCTACATATCTACCTCAAGAAGTTAAAAATAGACAAAATGATCTGTGATAGACCATGATGCTGTACAAATGACTAGCAAGTAAGGTAAGCAAGTTCTTCGTGATGTTTTGGAAGAGCCAGGTGTCTCCCATCTGTGACCAGCAAAGAGACGAAAATAAAATGTCAGAGCTGCTCTAGGCCTCACTACCACTGCTAACTATCCCTGAGTATCTGGACAGAGCTTATCCTGGAGCTTTGTGCTCTCTGACACTCTCCCTAAATGTGACTAACAGTCCAATATAAGAAAACATTCTTCCTGACGACAGTGCATCTGACTCCCAATTCCTGTATGCCTGCCTCAGCACAGTGCGGCGCAGCACACAGAACCATCCACAGCTACTCACCAGTGTTGCGGATAATGTAATCCAGCACTACCAATCGCTCAAACTGCAGCAGTAGCTGTCTGTTGGTGTTCTCAGGGAGAGGCTCTGCTTCAAAACGCCGCAGCCAATAGTCTGCATCTTTATAGCCCTCCACAAAGAGCTGGAATGAACCGACCTGCAACCAAGAAGGAATAAAAGCATTTCCCTACAGTCCAAGTCCAAAGACCATATGGGTTAGGAAGGGACCCAGTGAAAGGACCACACGACAGACTGTGCATGTGCCTATCTTCAAGTCTGTGCGCAGCTTGTTTTCCTACTTAAATGACTGTCATTGTCTATCAGCATCTTGATAAACGACCCATGCACAGTAAATACCTTTGGAGGTAGTCCAATGCGGTTAAAGCGCTGCCCAACTTTTGGCACCTTCTCCAGTGCAAGCCGCTTGCCCCTGGACTTCACTCGGTCAATGGCACTATAATTGAAGGTTTCACTGGCCAGGTATACTACCTACAGTGAAAGAGAAGAGATACTCAGGTTAAAGTTTAAGGAAACAGATCACTATGGGACAGAACAGACAGAAATTCACCAACACTGTTCCTTTTCCAGGACACAGAGAAAGAATATACTCAGTTTTCCTAGCAACTAGATTAGGGACTGTGGATAGTTGGACCAATGGAATGCTGATACAGTGAGGTATGTACATCCCTTCCAGACCTGGGCCCTAAGATCTCCATGATCTTTAGTTCATATTTCTAAAAATACACTGCTAGAAATGAAGAGCTTTGAGACAAAAAAAAGTCATACCATGAAACAATTTCAGATCCCTTGTCAATGCGTGAGCTGCTACACAGACATAAGCAAAAAAAAAAAAAAAAAAATCCTACTAAATATACTAAGCCACTGAGATTCAGAGATCACAGCAGCTAGTGTGAACTACCTAGACTAACAGTCACCTCCTGCGTTAGAAAAAGAGGTCAAGGGCCTATTTTCTTTCCAGATAGAAAAAAATTGCAATTTACTCTATAATATTTTGTTTCTTTTAAATTTTGTACTTAGTAAAATTATTCATACTAAAAATACTGTAAAACAACCACACATCGTGGTTCACATCTGTAATCCCAGCACTTGGGAGGCTGAGGCAGGAGGACTGCTTCAAGTTCCAGGCTGACCTGGGCTACAGAGTGAGTTTAAGGCCAGCCTGAACTGCAGAGTGAGATCCAGTCTTAAAAAGACAAAAGAAAACAAAACTGTTAACATTAAAATTGTTTTTTGAAAAAAAAAATTGTTTTTTGTTCTTCAGGGACTTCTATATTCATGCAAAAACTAAACCCGAATATTACACAAGAAACTAATAATGCCAATAGCATATAGGAGTGAACAGAGCCTGAATGACTTTTTTCTGTTGACTGCTTTGTGCCTTCTGATTTTTATACTAAATATATGCACTGTCCATTTTTTAAAAATGTAGTGGCCATCAACGTTACTTCAGTGTCAAACTGTGGTGACATCAGGTAAACCGTATGGGCATTCTTTTTTTTTTTTTTTTTTTTAATTTCAAAGCAAGTCAATCAGAGGCAACAATGGTGTACACATTGTGCACTGCCAACCCCAAATCCTTCACCCAGAGCACAGAACAGCTGCATTCAACTGTCCCAACAATACCGGCACAGATTTTTCTTTTCAGCCAACTCAAAGAAATCAGTAGTACAACTATCTTAATTATTTTTATATACATATACAGACACATGTACATGTTTTTTCTTTCAGCTTGTCACTCTAATGAAACAATACGATGTTTATACACATGTCTCTTTTTATTTCACTAATGAGTATGGTCTCAAGGTGCATCTACTTACCTATAAAAATGTCCAGCTTGTCATTCTTTGTTGCTAAATAGTACTCCACTATATAAAAATACCACATCTTTTTTTTGGGGGGGGGGGGTACCCAGGATCAAACTCACAACTTTGCGCTTACCAGGCAGGCACTTATGCCTCTGAGCTAAATCCCCAGCCCACTGAAAATACCACATCTTTTTTTATCTATTCCTCAGTTAATGAGCAGGTTAGGTTGTTTATAATAAAATCTGGTTATTATAAACTGTGCTGCTATAAACATGGGTGCACCATATGTGCATTCAAATCATACTTACCACTTTGTCTTCCAATGATCCATCCCTATATCTGTATTCTCTCTTAAAACTAATGAGATTTGGGAGATAGAGAATATCTTAATCACATTAGCATCCCCAGCACCTAACAAATACCTGGCACATACCCACTAAATATTAAGTGAATAAATGAGAGAATAAATGAACGAGTTATGAGCATTTCTTGGAGTTGACAGCAAGTGGGTTTTAGCATGTAACTCCCTTACATTAAATTTATAAGAAAATTATTTTCCTAAGCCTTGCAAAATTCATTAGAAATAACTACTTATTTCATGGACCTTAGAGGTGAAATAATTCCCTTCCATCTCTCCTTTCCTTCTTCTATTTATCCAGTGTTTCTGGGTTTCTAAAGTAAATGTGCAAGGTTCCATGGGAAGCACTCCTAACTTACAAATCAGGACACTCAGGCCTAGGAATTAAGGGACAGGGTCTTTCCTAAGGTCATTCCGTCAATTCTAACATGAAAACTCAAGCCATAAACCATCCTTTTCCTCCTGTTGGATTAATCTGTGATCGCTCTTCCCAACCGCCCACTTTTTCCCTACATCTAATGAAACTATCGCAACCTGAAGCCTCACAGGAACAGAGGGAAGCAAACATCAGTGAATGAGAATTAGAAGCTTACTATGTGAAACTCCACTGAAAAGTGAGCCTTGTTTCCATAGTGGCAGATGGTCAGAGCAACTGGATAGAATCCTGTATAAGGAAGGGCTGGAGACAGACAGAAGGAGAGACTTCCCTTACTATTCTCCAACAGCAAAGTTCTGCCTCATCTCAGTCTCATGGAAGACAGTGTTTTTGCTGTTGCTGATTTTCTGATGCAAAAGATCTCCTAGCCTCATTAAGATTCTCTAACAGGGAAAGAAGACCAGAGATGAGGAAGACAGGGACATGGGGGTGACACTCAGACCAGAACAGCCCAGAATACCACGTGTTAACATGTGTGCCGCGTTTACAATGAGCCAGGCACAAAGCTACATGCTTTACAAGGATTGCCCTGTATCATCTTAGCAATCACCCAACGAAGTAGTAGCTATTCAGATCCCAACTTTTACAGGGAGGAAACTGAGTGAGGAGGGGTTAACTGACTTGCCCAAGAGTCACACAAATAAAAAGCTGCAAGCTGGGTGTGGGTCACATGCCTATAATCCCAGCATTCTGGAAGGCTGATGCAAGAAGATCACAAGTTTGAACCTAGCCTAAGACACTAGCAAGATCTTGTTTCAAAATTAAAAATAAAAAGTAGCTCAGTGCAAAGGCCTTGGGTTCAATCCCTAGAACAGCCCCCCACACACACACACAAAAAAAAAAAAAAAAAAAAAAAGAAAGAAAGAAAGAAAGAAAGAAAAGAAAAAAGAAAACTACAGGCTGGCCATGGTGGTGCACAACTGTAATCACAGCACTCAGGAGGCAGAGGCAGGAGGACTGCTGCAAGTTTGAGGCCTATCAGAGTTACATAGTGAGTTCAAGAACAGCCAAGGCTACATCATGAGACCTTGTCTCAGAAAATCAAAAAGAAGATGGCAGAAACAGAATTTAAACTTACTTTTTGATTTTTAGTCATTAAACTCCAAAAACACCCATAGCAAGCAAAGCGCCAGGGGCAGTCTGCTATGTGCCTTGTAAAGGAAGGAAATTACAGAAGGATGAGTAAGGAACATTTAAAAGAGCTTCTAGGAAAGGCCCAGTGGGAGAACTTCAGGTTAGACAGGAGACTTGGGATCAGTAAGTATAGCATAAGAGAGTGAAAGTATGCTGTTTATCTACACACACAGATAAAAAGTGTAAAAGAAAGGAAAAAGCTGAACAAAGTCACACAGTGACTTAAGTGTCAGATGGGAACCATAAACTTGGTCAAACATTTTCTCCACAGACCTAAAGTTGGAGGATCTTTGGTACCATTTCTCCTAACATGGCATGCATCCACTAAGTCATCTGGTACTTAATGAGTTAAGTGATTATAAATAGAGTACTTCACTAGGTACTGAATCTCAGGAAGCAGTCTCTCTGACTTGTAGAAACTTACCAACTATTGTTTACAGCTGAGTGACGACCACACAAACAAAGTCAAACAATAGTCACATTTTCTTCTAAAATACTCTAAGAAAATCAAATCAAGTTTGAAGGGACATCCCTGTCTGCTGATCAGCCTCTGTCTTCAGAGTCCACCAAATGAACCTGTGAGGTAGAAAACCTCAAATGGAGGGTTTCATTGAGAGGAAACTATCAATAGATGGGACTTCAGTTGGTCTAAGAACACTGCTCCAGAAACTGTATGCAAAATACTGATTACAAATATGGCTATTTTCCTGAGAACAACACCTAAAGCTTTTACTGGACTCTCAAAGAGGGTTAAGACTTACACACTTCTGCAGTCCTAGGAAATCAGATCAAAGTTCTCTGTAAGCTGTCTCTAAACTTCAGGTAGTTGGACACTCAATGTCTGATGATATGTCCCCAAGTATTTATGTGCTGATTGGCATGGTCTTCCCTTCATAACTCTTGGAGAGTTTCATGAAGCATCCTGTTGCACAAGGATTCTTAAATTGGTATCAGTAAACTTGAAATTATATGCAATCAATTTTGTATATTCAAGTATGTTTTGTATACGAGTGGTCCACATCTTTCATCAGACCTTAACTAAAGCTGCAGCATATATAAGATATGTACAAATCCATTCTATGTGTGAATTTGCCTGGATTTGGGACCTGTGTGTGTATATTGCTTGGGATTAAACCCCAGGTCTTGCACATCTGAGGCAAGCACATTACTACATCTATATCCCCAGCCCAGACCTCTATTCTGGTATGTTCAATTTACAAGTTCCAGGATTCCACAGAATAAAGACAGGTGATGAAAATTTCATTTTATTCTACCACTCAACCCATCCTAAAGTCTTCCTCATCAGACTTTGTATAAGCACTTAGAAGATGTTAACTAATCCATTCAAGCTTATATTGAAGGCCAGGCATGGGGCACACTCCCATAGTCCTTGCTACTCTACCACTTAAAAAGGTTTCAGCATAATTCATATCTACTCTAGGCAACATAGTAAGCTCTTGTCTCTTTAAAAAAAAGTAACAATCATTTTTTTTAAGGCTATATTTAAATTCTGGAATGGCTCAGAAGTCTAAGAGAATGAACTGCAGAACTAGTTAAGTTTCTAACTAGTTTGGGGTTACCATAAATAAAGACCAAGAAAACTCATAAATGTACACTGGACATCTGTGAAACTTCTGAATTTTTGTGTAAAATCTGTATGTGTGTCTTTCTCAGGATAAATTTCATCAGATGACCAAATTATAAGTCTAATCCTATGACCACTACCACCACCACCACCCCGCAAAGGACTGAGAACTTTAACTATCCCCCACTTAACCCAAAAAGTCCCAGTAATAGGTCTTAGGCCTCAGGAAAACTTGGGTGAGGCATTAAGGGTCCCTGGAAAAGGGTCACTGACCTTTGTACGGGGTACAATGTTGAGTTCTAGTTTTTGGTCCACCAGGCTGGCTCCTGCCTCTGAGAGATAGCCCTGGTTGAGGACAAGGCAGTCACGGCCAAAACAGCAGGGACAGCACAACTTCTGCAGCCACTTGGTCCACTTCGGATTAAGTTGCCCATATGGCTCTTCATTCTTGGGTTTGAAGACAGCAATGATCCTCTAAACACATGAAAAAGAAAATATTAGAGGTGAGTTGAGGGATCAAAAATGTAGCTTTGTGATAGACCATATGCATAGACGATGCAAGGCCCTTGGTTCAATCCCCAGTACCAAAAGCTTTTAAGAAGGTGAGTTGATTAAAGTGGTCACAGACCAAGTCAGCAGAAATCTAGAAGGAAATGAGAGTACAGGTCAACAACTTCTACATACAGTCAGACAAAGACTTTTCCTTAGCATATAAATACCAGCTCTGGCAAGCAACTAAAACCCAAAGGGCTGTGGCCTGACAAGATTCTATGCCTCATCATTCTTTCCTGGTGCTATGTTCTTCTTCCTTATCTCTCATCCTCAAGTAAGTATCTACTTCTAACTCTGTGCTTCAGACAAACAAGGCATACAGATTTGTGCATTTCTAAGAGCAAGATCCAAAAGTCAACTCAGTGGTACACCTTGAGGCCTGGGCAGCAATCTTAGGCCAACACAGTATTGCTTCTTGACCTCTCAAAAAGGTTATAAACATCATACTGTGTATCCAGGGCTCCAAAGTCATCTTTACCCTACAAAGTGAGAAATTAACTTATCACAGATTTTTACATGTATTCCTGTCCATTTAGTCTGTCTTTAAATGGTCTGCCAAAAAGTTGAATCACTAAATTCTAACTTCCAAGATTTACATATACATGCTGTTGCTCTAAAAAACATATGTAAATTTAGCACACCTATAATCCCAGCACTCTCAGAAGCTAAATCAGGAAAAGCATTGAGTCACGCCTGACTTAGCAAGTCCCCGTCTCAAAATAAAAAATAAAAGATGGGAGATGCTGCTCCTCAGTGTAAAGACCCTTTGGTTAATGCCCAGTACAGGGAGAGGAAAGCTTAAAAAAAGTATCACTTGAAAAGAAACAAACATAATAGTATGGAATGACAGAATAAAGTTAAGAACTTTATTCAAAAATAAATCATCAATGGGTGATAGCCTTTATTATTCTTCACTCCTATTTCCTGGTATTAACAAGGCATTGAAATAAAAAGTTTAGGAATGAACTGGGAAACAACCAGAAAAAAAAAAAAAATAACAAAAGGAAAAAGAATCTACTTTTGACTAAAATAGGGTTAAGTAATTCCGATAGGCAGAAAGCAGGACATGAGAGACCATAAAGATTAAATCCTTCTTTTCTTGCTGATGGTGACAATCTCCAGTGGTTCTTGAAAATATGGAATGACTAGAAATTACACTCTCCTTTCCTAAATGTTTTCTTCCACAATCCAGTCAGCCCACTAAGGCTGTTTTACATACATCTCATTTCCTCCAGTCCTCACACTGATATTTCAAAGGAAGCAAAACAAATATGCTATCTGAATGATTCATCTTCGTACCATATGATCATCCTTCTCCCTTCACTCTATTGCCAACTCAAGCTCATCTGAGTCATAAGATGTTTCCCTGAGGGTATCACTTCTTAAGCGGCAGGGTCACAACAGATAATATGTACCCACCTGCCTCCATTAGGCATATACTTATAGAAAGAATTGGCTAGGTCCAGTCTCAATTGGTCAATCTTCAGGCCCATTCCTTTAAAAAGTCCTACAAAGATTTGAGAGGGCAAGAAAAATACAGAACTTTCCTCCATGCTACGCAAAGAAGCAATTTATTCTTAAAGACAAACTTGTTTATTGGCAAAAGAACATATTCATATCCTAAGTCTTCATAATTACTTTCTTATCCAAAGTGGTTAGTAAGAGGCCTCAGTTGGTAGTCTCCTTTTTTAATTTTGCTTTGTTTTGATTTGGTTTTTGGGTTTTTGAGACAGGCTCTCACCATATAATTTAGACTGGTGTTGAACTCACGATGTAGCCCAGGCAGGCCTCAAACTTACAGAAATTTTCCTGCCTTAACCTCCCTAGCACTGTAATTACAGGTATATGCCACCAAGCTCAGCAGTTTTCTTTTTCTGTGTCCACTCATCCGAAACTCCAGCCTCTGAACAACAAAGCAGCAGCACCAGCAACAGGCTCATGACTCACAGGATAACTGGAGAGTCCACTGCAATTCTCGGGGTCCCCTATCAGGAAGCCACAGGACAGCCAGAAGCATGTCTCAGAACTCAACAGTTCAACTGGTGCATATTATGGAATTCAGCAAGCTGGTATGCCAAAAAGGGAGACCAAGACATTTCTGCTACAGTAAGCAGGGGCTAAAAAATATCAGGGCCGTGGCTCAAATAGTTCCACTTCAGGAAAGCAGATCTTGAAGGCCAAGATTGCAGTCAAACATCATTTATAGACTGACCTCCTGTACTTCTCAATTTCTTTACATTACAAGGAGAATCATCATTTCATCGACTCCCTAAAGGCATTAGAAATGATGGTTATCTCAGTCACATTAAAGAATACTGCATGAACTAGATAAATGAACTAGATAAATGAATAGGAATGTCGGAAGGATGGAGAAACAGAAGGACATTCAGAGAAACAGGCAGACCCATCAATGCCTTTTATGACTAAGTGTAGGACTCAGCTCAACCCAGTTCTGTTAATATTTGCTCAGGACGAAGTTTGCACAAGACAGTGTGCACGCATGCAGTGGGTTTCCCCACCAGAGACATAAAACAGCCTCTGGCCAAATTTTAGAAGTTAATATTCACTTTATGTAAACAACTATGTTATTGAATAATCAAGAATATTCTCCTTATTCATAAAAACCAAACTCAAAACCACTCAAGTTAGAAAGACACCTACCAGTATCCAGCTGAGAAAGAAAATGATGACCTAATTTTTCTCATTCTCTCTTTAAATTGACTGGCAATTCTTTTATTAAATCTAGGAGAACATTTTGGTTTGGTGCCAATATTTTAAAAACATTTCCCTTAACACCCACTTGCTAATCTTCCTGTTTCAAAAAAAGGGCCAAAGATGCCATGTGTGGTGGCACGTGCCTGTTAATCTCAGCATTAGGGAGGCTGAGGTAGGAGGACTGTTGCAAATTCCAGACCAATCTGGGCTACAAAATGAGCTCAAGGTCATCCTAAACTGCACAGCCTTGTCTCAAAAAGACAAAAAAAAAAAAAAGGCTAAAGCATAACAACTTTAGTAGTAGCAGTCCACAGTGTTGGAGATGAAAACAACAGCACAAGGCTACCCACTGGCTGGTGTCAGGATTTACAATCAATTACTGATTCTTAAGCATTTCTCCTGTCTAGTACTGATAAGGAGGAGGGGATTATGCTATGAAAAAAGGGTCCTCAAACTGGGGCGCAGTGGCATACTTGTAACCTCAGCTACCAGTTCAGGTCAGCTCTGAAGTTCGAGGCCAGCCTGGACAACACAGCAAGACCCTATTTTAAAGAAGAGAGGTGGTTTCTCCAGGAATCTATAATTTAAGAGACTGCAAGTATATCACTCATATTGCAAAGTGAAATATACAGAAGTGACCTTTAATAAATCTTTTTAAAGTTTCATAAAAGAAGTGGATGGTTCTCACACTTTTGATCTCAAGATTCCCTTAAAGTCTTAAAAATTATTAAGATTCCAAAAGAACTTTTGTTTCTGTGGGTAAAACCTATATTTGCTATATTCAAAATTAAAAGTGAAATGTTAAAACTACGTAATTCACTTAACAATACAAATAAATCTACTATATGTTAATATAAATCAAATATTCTAATCAAATTCTTTTATGAAAACTTTTCAGGAACATTTTATAAAAATTCACATTTTTATAAGTTGCTTTGATATCAGATTTCCTAAAGGACAAGAGAATTCTAGGTAGGCTCTTCGGCAGCTGAGCTAAACCCCCGGCCCCAGAACAAGAAAATTCTCACATCTTCCTTAGTATTCAGTCTGTTTCAAAATCACGTATCTATCATGTGATCTCTGGAAACCTCCACTCTATTAATAAGGAAATGAAAGTGAAATAAGCAAACAGACTCTTAAAGTTATCATGAAAATAATGTTTACTCGTAGACCCCCCAAAAGGAACTCCTAGAGGTCCCTGGGTCACCCTACAAGAAATGCTGCATCCTATGTTAGAGAATGGTGGGAAACAGCAGTCTCTGGTTAGCTACATGGATAGAGAACCCTTATTTACATGTTAACGCTTACAAAAAGGAATGTACTACCCCACATACATTAAACTCTGAGAGAAGATGGGGCCCGAATACTCAGAATACAGTGAAAGAGATTTTGACACTATTTATTTCCCCATCCCACTGCCACCCATCCAATCTCCTTACCCTTTATAACACGCAGCTCAACTGTTGGTGGATAAAGTATATTTAAAAGATTAAAAAATCACTGAGAAGAGGACAAGTTCATAGAATATGCGGGCCTTCTCCCCTCTAGTCCTGGAATTACAGAGCCTGGACACTCAGTTACACTCTTCAACTCCCCACCATCACGGCCTTTTTTTTTTTTTTTACAATTTGAGACAGAGTCTGGCTAAATCACTAAGTCACCCGGCTGGGCTCAAACTTGTAATTTTCCCTTCTCCCAAAGTTCTAGGATCACAGAACTATGTATAACCATGCCAGCCATGGGCAGTGTCCTTATAAACACTGCAATTGATATTATGATCCAAACAATTAGCGCTACTGAATGAAGTGCTGTTCTCCAAGATTATGAAAGAATCTTCTGAAAACTATACTACTTTTGCCTTGTTCAATGTCATATATCCAGGAAAGCCTAATCTAGAGGTCAACAGGAACATAATTTAAAAACAGAGCTAAACAAAAAACTGCAATTGAACTTTCACTAAGTGCCAGAACAATACCAGAGGCTTTCATATATGATTGATCCTATGGAAAATAGTTTATATAATTAGCTTATGAGTAAGGCTGCTAGCTAGGGAAAGGACTTGAGACAGAGTTAAGTGACTAGCCATATGGATAAGAATTAAAATAAAAATGGACAGTGAAGCAGGACTTATCCTCAAACAGTACAGAATACAGCCCCCACTCTCTTCTAGAGGGAGTTGCAGCCTCTCTCTGCTAAGCTCCTGAGTTATGAGAAAATTAAAACGCAAAAACCAGTATTTCTTTCAAAATCTGTTTCTGCAGTTAAAGGAAGTATTCAAATTGGTCATTTTAAATCTACAGAGCTACCAGTCATAGGTGGTCCCTAAACAATTCAGCAATTCCTATTCCTATGCTTCTCTATACAATATTTAGCTTTGGATTGGAGGCTATGTCGCCACCAATTCAAAACTCTTCCTGGAAACCAAGGAGCTATTCTTCTTATTTCCAATACCCCTAACCTATTTCCAAAATCCCCTAACCTCCTCTCTTGGTTCATGATTTCATTCCTCAAGTTTATGGAACCATGAGCTTGGTTCATACAGAAACATCATCTCATTTAATCCTCTTAAAACTAGTAGGTCACATGCTGTTGTATGATTCCTGCCAATATGAACAAGTGGTATTATTGACCACTTGACAGAGAAAATCCTAAAAAGAAAGAGAGAGACAGACAGAGAGAGAGAGAGAGAGAGAGAGAGAGAGAGAGAGAGAATCTGTAATCTGAACACAAAACGAATACAAAGATGGACATGAACAGGGGAAATGTGAGTGCATTTCACCATGACTTTTTTTTAAAGGTACTGAGGGACCTGGGCCAAGGGCTTCTGCACTGAACCACACATCCCGCCCTTTTTAATTTTATATTGTAAGACAACCTCACTAACCAGGCTGGTCTCGAACTATACACTTTTCTGCCTCAACCTCCCCAATAGTTGTGATTACAGTGTTGCACCACCATGCCTGGATTCTGCCATGACTTCTAATCTGACATTTTCCAGTTCCAGGTCTTCACTTGCTCATCCTGTGGCAGACACCATCATAAACTGGAAAATGGAATCAAGAATCTTTTGAACTAAGTTTCAGAAGTAGCTATCCCAGAGGGTGCCAGTTCTCCCAATCTGTTTCCCCCTCTTCTTTGGACACCAGATGTCTGACTTTTAGCAGGGCCAAATAACAGTTACGGTTCCCAAACTCTACTGCAGCTAACTTTTGGACATTGTGATACAGGTGGAAAAGTCTGGTGCAACATCTAGGAAAGGTCGTAAGGATGTAAACATAGTCTTCCTCTCCTTTCCTTCTTCTAACTGACTGAAAAACAGACAAGATGTCTATAGTTTGAGCAGCCATGTTGGAGAGCATGAAGTAGAAGCCACATATTAATGATGGCCAATAGTGGGTGAAAAGAGCTTGCATCCAAGAAAAACAAAAACACCACACCAGTCCTAAACAGACTTTTGACTTCCTTTACACGAAAGACAAACAAACCGTTTTCCAAGTCATTATTGTTTAAAAATATCTGATACATACAGTCAATTTTATTTCATTTTTATTTATTTATTTTTGTGCCAGGGATCGAACTCACGACCACAGGCTTGCCAGGCAGGCATTTATGCCATGCAGCTAAATTCCCAGCCTCCCGTTTTATTTTATTTTTGAGACAGGGCCTCACTATGTATAGTTCAGGCTGACCTCGAACTCTCTATACAAGACAGGTTGTCCTCCAACTCATGGTAGTATTCCTGCCTCAGTCTCCCAAGTGCTGAGATTACAGGCATCCACCACCACAACCAATATAGTAGCTAAAAACAGAACCCAGAAATTCAGATGACTGACAAACTCTGAAACAGCATAGTGCTGTGGTTAGGACCATAACCTCCAGAACCAATACACCTGGTTCTGTCACTGACTACCTGAAAGAGCCTGGACAAATGAGTCATATTGTGTGCATCAGTGTTGTCATCTATGAAGACAGTAGTAGTACCCACTTCTGAAAGTGGTTAAAAGGATTGAGTTACTATATGTAAAGCACTTGGCATATAGGAAGTGCTATGTAAGTATCTATTAAACAAACACATTTAAAACGCGTCAAAAAGAACAATACCAACTACAGAGTAAGTGTGTGGGCCATACTAATCCACACAGTTAGGACTGTGCTCGGTGGAAACAGAAATAAGTTTTGTTGCATTATCCATGTTTCAACTTCCCTCCTAACAAACAATGGGGAAAGTAAAATTTAGAGACCCGAATATTGAATATTACCAAAAACTGACATTCTCTGGGCATGTATTGAAGTGGTAGCACTTTAACCACCAGGGAGACTGAGAGATCTTGTTACTCTCACCCATGAGAGCACTGGCTCACTTCTCAACTGACCTGACACACTTCTAAGGCAGCCATAACAAAGTCATGAAAAACAAAGACAAAACCTCCCTCCTCCTCCTAAACCTATCAAAGATAATCTTAGTCCATTCTTATACTGGCCAACAAGCTAACTCACATCTTGATTAAATCTCATTCTGTTCTCAAAAAATATGAAAGCATCTGACTGACACTTAAGGTATAATACCTTTCACTACTTCTAGAAGTAAAGGTTCCCATTTGCACTTTAACTCCCTTAACAGTCTTGAAAAGAATAATTACCCTCGAACCTTTCTCTAACCCAAACTTAAACTCAAACTTCTCCAACTCAAACAGAGTTGACAGCAGAAATGCCCTCTGAGGCAAGAGTGGTGGTGCACACCTGTGATCCCAGCACTTGGAGGCTGAGGCAGGAGAATTAGTTCAACGCCAGCCTGGGTTACATGGTGAGTTCAATGACTGCCTAAAGTACATGGCAAGACACTGTTTCAAAAAACTAAAAAAAAAAAAAAAAAAAAAAAAAAAAAAAAAAAGAAAGAAAGAAAATGCTCTCTGGTTGTGTTTGGTTGATTTTTGCAGTACTGGGGCGTAAGCACTGGACCTTCTCACTGTGGTACATCTCCAGCCACACTTTGGTGACACCCATCGTTATAGTCTGCCGATAATACATTTTTCCTATGAATCTTTTCCACCACATCGGAAAACTCAATGAAGACTTCACCTTTAACTTGTTTTTGTTTTTTGAGTTAGGGTCTCGCAGTTCAGGCTGGCTTTGAACTCACTATGTAGCCTAAGAGTTGCCTCGAACTTGCTGCAATCCTCCTGCTTCAGCTTCCTGAGTGCTGGGACTTCAGGCAGGTGCCACCATGGCCGGCCAAGACCTCCTATTTGTATGAGCATTTGACCCACTGCTCTTACAATCATATCTCTAGTCTAACCTGGGTCAAATATCTTAAATCTGCATTTCTCAAAATCGGTCACTTCTCAGTTGCTTTTGTCATTCCATATCCCATCTTATCTTTATCTCCCTATATACACATTCAAGGGACAAAATAAATGTCCGCAAAACTCCACTTTAAGTGAAAAACAAAATGCTGATAGTGGGGGAGGTGGGTAAATGTAAGACAACGACAGCCTGAGCTTCCAAAATTCTGCGTTCTAGAGAACCACTGAAAATGCTTTGAACCTTTTCCCAGAAGCGAGCAATAAGCAGGACAGATGAAACTGTGAGCCCAACCTAAGCTATCACCAGGGTCTGTCAATAAAAGGCCAACACCTTGGCAGGAGACACCCCCCACAGGGGGCTGTAAATGAATCCACAGATGGGTCACCCACCCTCCTGAACAGTGATGCATGGCTTGGGTCTAAAAAGAGAAAACAGGCCAAAAGCCCCAAATCTGTAGGCCAATGACCAAAGGGTAATTCCAGTAGTTTAAAACTGAGATCTACCAGAAAGAAAGCAGCATGTGCCCGCGCCTCTCTGTCCGGAGGCAGACAGCCTTACCACACTGCTGGCCCCTGGCCTGTATCTAGTGAATTTCCTCTTTTCATTTTCCGTTTAAGACTACCCCACCAAAAAGGTTCTGATTTATTTCTTCACTTCGCAGAGCTTCCCCATCCCCAAATCCTGCTAGAGACCAGCCCTGTGAAGTTTCTCTCTTCTGCACCATGCAGTCCCTCTTCTCCCCATCCCGCGCCGGCTAGGCGCCCTGATCCCGTGCCCGCGCTCACCCCCTGAGGGTCCTTGACGAAGTAGCTTCCGCTGGAGCCTTGGTAGATGCGCTCCGGGAAGATGGAGCGCTCGATGGCCAGCTCTGCTTGCCGCACCATCGACTCGAACTCCGGATCCTCTGGAAACTCGTTCCGCTCGCGAGAGGCCTGTGCGGCGTGCACTGCTGCCGCGGCCTGGGCGGCCAGCGCTTGGGCCTGCGCCGCCACAGTGTGAGTCTGGCCCTGGGCCGCCGCGCCCCTGGCCCGGTCCAGCAGGGGCTGCCGCTCGCGGTCGTGGCCTGGAGAGCCCGGCGGAGAGGGGCCGCAGCCGGCCGCCACCGCCACGCGGACCGCGCCCCCCGGAACCTGCGGGAAGTGAGCGCCGGAACCCGACGGGAAGGTGTACTCCGGGGGTTGGGCCCGCTCGGGGGACACTAGTGGGCTAGTCTCGTCCATCCCTCAGGCCGCCGGCTCGCGGACCCGGCGAGCCACACAGCTGAGCTGGTGGCCGGAACCAATCCGCGGCTCCCCCCTCATCTTCTGCCCGGCCAATCAGGCCGCACGTCTCCTTGTCTCCGCCCCTAACCTGTCCTGTTTACTTGGCGACGAGTAGGCTCGGCCCCTCGCGAGCGAACAGTAGCCAATCAGAACCCTCTCTACACCTCCGCGTTTTTCTCCCGTCACCTTCTTTGAAGACTGCGCGTGCTCTAGAACTAACCCCGGGTCAGGCACGCCCTCTGCCTCTGACCGTCTCCGCTCCGCTCCGCCCCTAACTTCCAATTGGCTGACAGGGTTTGGGACTTCTGCAAAAGAGCATCATAACGATTAGTCTGTTAATTGAGCGCCTAATATGAGCTGGCTATGAAGCTGGAACAAAGCGCATCATTGTATCATTAACCTACTATGTTCTAAGTGTTGGAAAGACTGCAGTGAAGCAAAGAAACAACCTTCTGGATTGAAAAAAAAAAAAGCCCTCATGCAACATACATAGTAGCTGGCCCAACTGTTTAATGTTTGTTAATTGAGGAAACAGTCCCATGAGATGCAAAGTATCACCCAAGACTTTCATTCACCACTGTAAAAATTCAATATCTAAACACAGTAGGTGCTTAGTATATTTTCAATAATGGAGAAGAGTACAAAGATATAACTCTTCTCTCAAGCCGAGGACACAGCTTGCTGAGGCAGAATGGGAGAAAGTCAACAATGCTAGCTAAAAACTCCCTTATAGGGGCTCACCACTTTGGGGTAGGCAGGAGTGTCAACGAAGGCAGTGGGTGATACCTGTGCAATGAGTTGAGGTGTAAGTGAAACGTGTAAAGCATTGAGGAAAGGGGATGAAGAAATGTACATGAAGCAGAAGAGGATGCCAGGAAAAAGGAAGGTTAGAACTTGAGAATACTGACAACAACCTGCTTGACTGAGAAGCCAGGCACCTTAAAGAAATACTGGAATAAATAAGAATGGGTGGCATCTGAAGGAGGGTGCATAACTAGTCCAGATAATGAAAATGTGTGAAAATTTCTTTCTTTCTTTCTTTTTTGTTTTTTTGTAGATCTGAAGATGATTTCAGGGCCTCATACATGTGCTCCAACTAACACGACCTTCTAAAATGTAGGGCATAATAGTTAGAAACATGGGCTTGGAAATCAGAAACATTTGAGTTTGAATTTCAGCTCTACAATTGTTAAGAGTTACTTAATCTCTGTGAGCTATAAAATAGGAAGAACCCCTAACTCACTTGATTAAATAAAAATCTATATATAAAGCAACGTAAAGCAGGTAGCATAACACTTAATGCATAAAAAAATTCAACAAATGTTAGCATTTTATCATTGTCAAGGATTTTGTTTTGTTTTGTGAGACAGGCTCTCCCTATGTAGTCCAGGCTGGGCCTTGAAATCACTATGTAGTCTAGCCTAGCCTTAAACTTTTGGAGATCCTCCTGCCTCAGCCTCCTGAGTGCTGGGATTACAGGAATGCACCACCACTTCCAGCTAGGTTATTGTTAATTTTGTTGGTTTTGTGCGTAAAGTAACAAGAAGACTAGACGTGTGGGTTTTCACAAAAGATGACCAGCCACATGGTCAACAGTATTTCACAGTCACTTTTTCTGAAATCAAAATTATTGCCACAAATGGGAATATAAAACTGAAAGAAATGTTGTTTAGTTGCTTGTCTGGGGATGTCAAACTTTCTAACCAAATAAAGAATTTTAGGAAGAAGTCCACACTGCCTTTGTCTGAGATAGGGTCTCGCCGCTTAACCAGGTCAGTCTTCTGAGTGCTGGGATCACAGGTGTGCAGCACAATGCTGCTTTAGTTGTCCCTTTCAGTTACAATTCATGTATTCCTTTTTCCTATCTAATCATCAAGTAACTAAGTGGTGCCTTGCCTCTTCTGCCCTACAGGTCACAGCCACAGAGATGATATCTTTGATATCCTTCATAGTATGTATATTTAGCCTGTGAATTTCAAATTATGATCAATGAAAGATCCTAGATTTGGAATTCACCCTGAAATTCAGGGTTTTTTCTCTATTGGGAATTCTCTCAGAATTTAAGTCTGTATCTACACCTTAGAACTTTTATTTTCCTTTTACTGGAAAGAGCATCAATACATTGCCTATTACATGTGAAGAGGCAGAAACTACTAAATACTAAACGTGGCAGGTATAGTTTTCAGTGGATTAACTCATGTAACTGGCAGTATAATGGAAATTAAGGCCAAGAGATGTAAAATAACTTAACCAATAGTCATTCAACTGGTAACTGGTGGCGGTGTACTCAAGGCTTGGCAGATTGGTTTCAGGCTTTCAAAACTATAGTACAACTAGGCGTGGTAGTGCACACCTGTAATCTCAACACTCGGGAGACTGAGGCAGGAAGATCATTGTGAGTTAGAGGTTGACTTGGGCTACAAAGTAAGCTCAAGGCCAGCCTGAACTGAATAGCCAGATCCGGTCTCTAAAAGACAAAAAAAAACACTATAGTATATTTCTTCTTGTTAAATATTCCTATGAATGGGTCTCACAATCACCCCATTTCCCCAACCCCACTGATGACGTACTAAGTTTTTCTATTTCCAGACTCTCTAAACATCTGTCAGTATCAGTGCCAGATTAATGTTCCAAAATATTGTTTTCATAATAGCATTCCTTCAGCCACGCAACTATGTGTAGGTGCGTACACATGTATGGTGCTGGGGATTGAACCCCAGGGCCTTGCACATGCTAGGCAAGCTCTACCACTGATCTATATCTCCAGCCTTATTTATTTATTTAAAGATAGTCTTACTAAGTTACCTAGGCTCATCTCATACTTATCACCCTCCTACCTCAGCCTCCTGAATAGCTGGGATTATCCATATGCACAGCAAGGATTATATTTTATTGTTGTAAAACATACATAATTTGTCATTTTAGCTATTCATAAGTGTACAATTCACTAAGTATATCTATAATGTTGTAGAGCCACTCTATTCAAAACATTTTCATTATTCCCAAGCAATTTGTATCCATTAAGCATTAATTTCTTCCTCTTCTCTGTCCTCAGCCTCTGGTAGCCTCTCTTCCACTTTCTATCATGATCAATTTACCTATCCAAGAACTGCTTTTTTTTTTTGTCTTTTTAAGACAAGATTTCACTATGCAGTTGAGGTTGGCCAAGAACTCACTTTGTAAACCAGGCTGGCCTCAAACTCACAGTGATCCTTCTACTCCAGCTTCCTGGGTGCAGGGATACACCAGGAGTGCTGGTGCACGCCTGACTAGAAATTACATTTTGTATACCATATCATCTCCCTAATTTTCAGATCTCTCCAAAATTTGGCCTCATCAAATCTATTTGACCTATTTTTTCCATTCTAATATGATCTATTTCCTTGTCTGGCAAGCATGAGGTCCTGAGTTCAATTTTTTTTTTTTTTGTCTTTTTCGTTTTCCGTTTTTATCGGTACCAGGGATCGAACTCACGACTGCCTGCTTGCAAGGCAGGCGCTTATGCCGCTGAGCTAAATCCCCAGCCCCCTGAGTTCAATTTTTAAAAATCTATTTCCTTGACACCCCATTCTCTCAATGACTGCAATTATATCTGTGGTCAATACCAGACTGTTTAACATATCATCCCCACTGAGCACCAGATTTAATCTTACAGGTCTTCTGGTCCAATCTTATTTCACAGGCTAGAAAACTCAATAACTTGCTTTAAATCACACACAACTAGTGGCAAAGATGGGATTTGAGAACAGAATTCCTGTGTTTTAAAATAATTTGAGGGATGGAAATTTAGCTCAGTGGTATAGTGCCTGCCTGGCAAGTGTGAGGTCTTGAGTTTGATTCCTGGTACCCAAAAATAAATAAGATAAAGTAAAATTAAATTAAATAATTTGAGCCAGATGTGATGGCACATGCTTGTAATCTCAGCACTTGGGAGGCTGAGGTAAGAGGACTGTACTGAATTCAAGGCCGATGTGGAGAAATCCTAACTCAAAAAAAGACAAACAAACAAACAAACAAACAAAACCCTTTAAACTATCATTTATTTTACACTGAATTCTTAGACAAGAGAGCCTTAATCTCATCATCATCATCACTTCTACTTTTCAGATGAAGAAATCTAAATTCAGAAAAGCAATTTGCTTTGCTCGACACACTTATCTTAATAATAGAGCCTTAGATTATTCCACGTATATGGAGTAAGACAGTAAATCGCAGAAAATCAGCGAGCATGGGTTGTCAAACCTGACAGAACTAGCATCATGCTGCACCTATATAGTTCAGTAAACAAGCACGGATACATGGACCGGAAAACACAGCATCTGGAAAGATTTGTTTTAATTTTGGGACTGTATTTTAAACACAGATTATCTGGCTGGTGACAACACAAATCCCTATAATGAATACAAAAGTGTCTATCACCACAGTGCTTGGCCCAAGATTATGAAAGAGCAACTGCCCTTTATGTTGCCCATTATATATAACAAAACTGCACATTTAAAGCAGGATTTAAATTCTGTCGTAAAACTCAGCGGCGGGGCCAACTAACAACGGTAAGCCTCTTGAGCAAATAGGCACGGAGGCTTAAGAAGCAAGTTTGGTTTCGTTTGGGGTTAACTTTGCTGCTACGCAGCCTCTAGGTAGGTAAGACCTGCGTGGCCCCCTCTTTGGGGTTTGCACAGGTGGGGCCTCAGACTCAGACCCACCCGGCGCTCAGCTATTCAGCCAGGGCTCTGGAAACACTTAGCCCCGCGCAAAGATGGCGCATAGGCGGACTGACCCAATGGGGAATGGCGTTGCTCCCGGTTGCCTAGGTAACAGCCAATGAGAAGCGAGAACTGTGCCCTGTGAGGCCGTCCGAGATGGCTGCTTCCAGTGGGGCAAGTACTACTGGAGGTAGCCGAAGGAAGGTGGCAGGGAGAGCCGGGCGGAATAAAGGTCTCAGCCACTGGAGCTGCGAGTCTGGGCGTGACGACCGTCCCAAAAGGCGGAGCCCAGGTTGGCTAGCGGCGCGGATGGGAGGGGGCCGCGAGAGTTTGGTCAGCCAGGTAGGAACCGAGGAGCGGAGCAGATTACTTGGGAGATTGCGCCGACCCTGGGGCGGCCGGCCGTGGAGTCCTAAATCCTGGCCTTGAGCTCCCACCTGCGGGGTCAAGACCCAGGAGAGCCCAAGGCACCTGGGAATGGCAGTCGTATATGAGCCCAGAGTCTTTGGGGGCTGAAGAGCAGACACAGCAAAGAGAAGGAAATAGAGCTGGAATGCAAGAATCCCGTGAGATCGTGTTGTTTAGCAGAGGTCTAGGGCTTTGTCTGCTCTAAGGCCCGTCTGTACCACACTCGTGGTGGAGAGATGAGCCATGTACCGAGACTTGGGACTGGGATGCTTCAATTATTTGATGGGTGGCAGACCAGCAGTTTAGCATCTCTGAGCTGCTTAGGTACCAATAAGAATAACTCACTGTCTTAGAAGCCAGCTCAAGCATACTGCTTTTCTTGAACTAGAATTGTATTTGGACACTGTTACGCCCTACTTCCCATCCCTCCCAAGTCATTGTTTGTTTGTTTTTTTTTTAACCCGAGTTTCTGGTACCAGTGTTTTCTTCCCATTTTCTTCAATTTGACCTTTTCACTCTTATGAAACATGACCTTTATGTATTAACTATACATTTCTTTATTTTTCACATGAGAGAAAGGGTGAGGGTTAGATTTATAATTTTGTTTATTTATTTTGGTTTTTTGAGATTAGAGTATTGCAATGTAGCTCAGACTGGACTTGAACTTACTGTATACATTTATAATGTTTACTTTTTTTTTTTTTTTGGACCAGAGATCAAACTCGCAACTTCACACTTGCCAGGCAAGCACTTGCACCGCTGAGCTAAATCCTCAGCCCCTACATTTATAATTTTAAAGCCAGTTATATCCAGTTTGTTTGAACTCACTTTTATTTTTGTTTTGTTTTGTTTTTGAGATAGGGTCCCTCTGTTTAGCTCAGACTGGCCTTGAACTCGCAGCAATTCTCCTGCCACAGCCTCCAGGTGTTGGGACTACAGGCACGTGCTACCACGCCCTGCAAAACTGCTTTCTTTCTAATTGAAAGAACTTTAGCAAGAGAGTCATACCCTGGGAAGGGTACTTTAGGTAACAGTTTGAAGGCATATGTGAGGATTTAGGTGGCTACTTCTAAACAATAGTCTCTAACTGAAAATCTGTTACCCTTTATGTTTTTTTTTAATCCCCCTAATTTGGACATGTTACTGTGAATAAATAATAATTATAATAATAATTTTGATTTGTCAAAATTTTAAAAAGAGAAATGGAGTGAAAAAAATTCTCATTACTAGGCCAGAGATGTAGCTCAGTGGCACAAGCACCTGCCTGGCAAGTGCAAGGTCTGAGTTCAATTCACAATGTCAAAAAAGAAAAAGAAAAAAAATTCTCATTACTTTCCTGGAGTTCTATCTGGAACAGTCTGAGGCAGGGAAAGGGTCTGGTGTGCTGTGAAATAGTACATTGGCTTATATATAGACTAAATATTAGTTTTCCTTTTGCAGCTTATCTATCAAAAGTGCTGCAAGGGTGAATGTTTATTGAGAAGAATGAATCATCCTGGCTTGTGACTAGAATCCTTATGTATCTGTGTAACCTTAACAAGGCTACAGTTGCAGCTGCTTAATTGAGAAGTCTGGGTTTGCAATAAAAGCATCTAACACCAAGGTAAAAATAATCAAAGTTTAATAAACTGTTGATTTGCACACATACATATACACACATGATTACACAGAAAAAAGCAGAAGTACGAAAAAAATGTTACATCACCAAATTGGAAGAAGCACAAACTCCTGAAATCCAGTGCTGCGGAGTCCTGGGCATACGTTTCGGGGTCCCAGTGATTCTAGGCGGAGTGTCCACTCCACAGATGAAACTCCAAAATCCCCCTGCTAGTGAGACTCCTAAATAGCAGCAGAAACAAAAGTGACAGGGTCCCAACTGTGTGTGACCAGGGGCAGAATCTGCAGCCTCTAGCTGGCCAAGTACGTAAAGGCTGCAGACATTTTACCAATTAGGTAAGTAGAGAGAGAATGTCCTTGAGAGAGGGCCAGACTGTGAAGGGGTTCTGCTCATCTCAATATGTGCTGCCAGATATCCTGACAGTTAATCTTTAGAACAAAATCGTGGCACTGCTGTGAACAAGGCAGATCTTTTATACTTAACTTTAACCCTTGGGTCTGGAGCCTAACCTGTAGGCCATCTATTCTCTTTAAGATTATTTAAATACCTAGCACACACACCTGTCTGCATCCCCCTGTTAAACTGTTGAGATTGTCAGTGTTCCTCAGCACTGGCTATTCTTTATTAAAGTGGGTTTGTCTCAGTGACCATGGTTACAGATGGAATTCTATTTTGCACAGTGGATGTGTAGCAATTAACTACACATTCCTGTAATCCCAGCACTCTGGGAAGCTGAGGCAGGAGAATGGAAAATTAAAGAGTCCAGCCCCAGCTACTTAGTAAGACCCTGTCCCAAAGTAAATTTTAGAAGAGGGCTGATTATGCAGCTCAGTAGTAGAACACTTGCCTGTCATGAATGAGGACTTCAATCCCCAGTTCAATCTCCAGCACCACTAAAAAAGAAAGAAAGAAAGAAAGATAAAAAGGAATGGAAATTTGTATTATGACCTTTGAAAACAAATAGGAAAGAGTGGTGGCAGCGTTAGATTGAGAAATGGTGTTCCAATTAACTGTTGCTGTATAACAAGTTATCCCAAACTTTACATTTGTTCATTCGTTGTTCTGTTTTGTTTGTTGTTGGTTTTTTCTCAGTATTGGGAATTGAACCCAGGGCCTTCAGCTGAGTTATATCATCTGCTCCTTTTGTTTATTTTTTTGAGAGAGAGAATACTGCATAATTGTCCAGGCTGGACTTCAATTTATGACCCTGCTGTCTCAGCTTCACAAAGCATTGCAGTTACAGGCATACACCACCAGGCCAAGCTTTTATCACCTTTTATCATCTGACCTCAGAACACACACCATTTCTATCATGTTCTGTGGTGGAAGCAACCACAAGCCTGCTCACATTCAAGGGACAGGAATTAGGCAGTGGCATGGTCAGATAGTAGGACATGTATAGCCAGAGATACTGTTGCAAACATTTTTGGAAATATAATACTCTACATTTGATCATAGGAGGATAACTCTTCAAGTTTCATTAGCTTCTTTAAAACTTTTAGAGTACAGACCCCATAAGCTGATGATATACCAAAAAGATGACTAAGTCCACAGCTTGACGGCCTGGTTAGCACTTTGCCCATAGATAATCCTCAAATTAGAAAAACACTGTCTTATCTATGGTGATGCCACCCTGAATGTGCCTGATCTCGTCTGATCTTGGAAGCTAAGCAGGGTTGGTCATGGTTAGTACTTGGATGGTAGAAACATTGTCTTTTATGTACCTCCTACTGATGTTTCCAGCGTGAGATGAGATGCCACTCTCAAAGTTTTATGTAGTCTTCAGAAAAATTTGTAATCTTCCTGTGTAAAGAATAACTTTGTGTTTTGGAATGATTGTCAATCTAAGATTGGTAGAAGATACAGGCTTTTCAGTTCCAACAGACATATGTCAAAGGGATGAAATATTTTCGATTTTTACCTCTTTGTGCTGTCACTGGTTTCTAAGAGCTAAAGATGATCTATAGGTATCAAAATGCTTAGCTGGACTGGAAAGAGTTTTCTTCTGCAGCTCTGATGGAAAACTTTCTCTCCTCTCATTAATGTTGTATTGGCACTGGAGTCGTGTTGACCTCTACCCCAGCACATTCTACTGCTGAGCCTATGATAAGAGGGTTGTAAACCTGAAACTGAAAGCTGACTTTCTGGGACACTGATGGAACATAGAGGGTGTAGCAGGTACCTACATCATCTCTCTGAGAAAATATTCCCCAGAAGTTAGAGGGGCTTATCGTACAACAAGCATATGGTTTCTATCTAGGAATATCGTATATGATATGAAGGGTCCTAGACATGGAGCTGCTGACTAATAATTAGAAAAACGAAAAAGTCCCATAGGAATGACCCCTAAAGGTGTCTCAAAGAGCCTCCCTACAGTTGACCTTTATTATAAGACTAGAAGTTAATGTTTATCTATGTTGGAATGAGAATGCAAGAATTCTCCAGATTCAGCTGTCCTCACGTCTGAAATGAGAGCTTTTAGAGTCAGGACCAGGGCTGAGGGGACGTGACTGACCCTGCTTCAGGTCAGGCTGTTTCACATCAGGTCATTTGCAGGCATCATGTCAAAAATGGCCAATGTTAGAACTTTCTGTAGGGTATTGGTAAACAACAGAAATGTGGTGACTAAACTTTGTTTTTCCTCTACTACTTAGTATGTACCTCATTAGTCAAAATTGCTGAATAGTTGTTTCAAAATGTTATTGGAATTGTGGTGATATCATTTTTACACTGAGCAAAGACTTGAGAAGTTTCCAGTGAAGTAAGTAATATATGAGTTTAGGTGTCTCTTTTTGAAAAAAGGAAACATTTTTCTTCTGTCTTTTTGAGACAGGGTTCATTATGCAGTTCAGACTGGCCTTGAACTCACTTTGTAGCCCAGGGCATCTTCAAACTTGCAGCAATCCTCTTGCCTCAGCCTATCAAGTGCTAGGATTATAGCCATGTGCCACCAATCTCGGCAAGAAACCCACATTTAGTGGACAGAGCGTGGTGACATTCTTGATACATTCCTGTATGTTATTTAGCCCACCTGCTGTCTCTGAAATAGGTTATTACTTCTGCTTTACAGACGTGGAGACAGTGCTCACTTCAGCAGCACATATGCTATAGATGAAGAAATGGCTTTAGGGACATTAGGTGACTTGCCCATGGTTACACCATGAACCAGGATTTGAACTGGAGTTTTTCAGCTGTCAGGCTCCACAACTCCACTCTGTTGTATGAGGAGTCAGCAGAGGATAAGATAAGCTAGAGTTTAAAGAGCTTGGGCTATGGAGGCTGGCTGCCGGCCTTCTGATAAGAGCAGAGTTAGCAAGTTTGTTTATCCTCTTTGTACTTCAGTGTCCTCACCTATAAAGAAATGACAGTGCCCACTTCATCACGAGATGAAATTAGATAGATGTACACAATCAGAGCCTGTACCTGTTAATAGTGGTATTTGGGATCACTTCTCTGAGTAGGCTCAGTTGATTGTAGAGGATTGTGTCATCTGAATTGGGGTATAAACACTCGGCGCTGTCTGCAACCACAGGTGTTTGGTTTGGTTTGGTTTGGTTTGGTTTGGTTTGGTTTGGTTTGGTTTGGTTTGGTTTGAGACAGGGTCTCACTATGCAGTTCAGGCTGGCCTTGAACTCACTGTGTAGCTCAGGCTGACCTCGAACTCATTCATGGCAGTCCTGCCTCAACCTCCCAGGTGCTGAGATTACAGGTGTGTGCCACCATGTCCGGCCCAGCACCACAGTTTAGAGAAAACAAATATAATGCATGTGTTGTTTTAGCTGAACACTTGTTTTAGAGCATCATGTTTGTATGAGATATGCCAGATCCTCCTTGTCCTATGAGGCCAGGAAGCTTGGTATTTAGGTCTTTGTCTCGTGCACCAGCTCTGGCCCCTGGGCCCTGAAGAAAAGGTGCATTTGTTACATTGGACTTGGTCAGGGGCCTGCAGCTCTAGGGTAATTATTAATCATGAGGAAACTTTCAATGGTGATTTGTCACACAGAGTTTTCACACAGTATTTCTATTTAGCAAAACTGTAGTTCATAGACATTCAGATGGGAATCTAATAGTGTCATATAAACTGCAGATTCCCTGGCTCCAACTGTACAAGAGCCGATGGAGTAACTGTGAATTCAGCCCCAGGAATCTGCATAATCATCTTTCAAGAAAATGGTGTATTACTTAGATCTGGAAAAAGATGAAGGGGTGAATGAAAAGATATTTGTAGATTTGTTTTTAAATGGGATTATATTTTTTAGCCTGTCAAGTGATTATCTCTGTTAATATTTGATTACATTTTAATTATCTTTGCTCCTTTCTTATACGGTTTTGTTTTATTGGTTTGGTTTGGTTTGATTGCGATCAGGTCTCACTATGTAATTCGGACTGGCCTTCAAGCAACTATGTAGACCAGGTTGCCCTCGAACTCACAGAGCAATCCTCCTGCCTCAGCCTCCCCAAGTGCTAGGATTACAGGAGTGCACCACCATGCCCTCCCTTCCTATAGGATATTCTCAAATATATTCTTTTACCATCTAGCCAGTTCCCAAATGTTATTGCTATGTTTTTCCTATGATACATTTGTCATAAGCATTCCTTCTGCTCCTATTGCACAGTCCCGAGATTGCCTCCTCATATGCGCATATCTCAGTTAGCTTTTGTTAGGTAGTGACACACCACTTTAACACATAGTGGCTTTAAACAAACACCATTTATTTATCCTGCAAGGCTGTGAGGTGTTAGTTTGGTACCAGGGATCAAAACTCATGACTTCGCACTTGTCAGGCATGCGCTTGGACTGTTGAGCTGAATCCCCAGCTCTTGTGAGGTATTGGTTTGGCACTGGGCACGGAAGGACAGTTCTCCTGCCTGAGTTCATTTCATCTGCAGCCAGCTGGGTAGCTGCTCCATCTGGCCTCTCATCATCCCGCAAGCGAGGCTGGGCTCATTCACGTGGGGCACAGGAAGCCCAAGTGTAGCAAACCTCTCTTCTTATCACCTTTGCTAACAGTGACTTCCATGGCCAGCCCTGATCCAGTGGGTAAAGGAATAAACTGCCTTTCAGGGAGAGGATCTACCATGTCACATTGCAAGGGTGTGACCAGAGGGAGAATAACTACCTCTATTACAGAATTATCACATCTCCTCCTGTGAGCTTCGCTGACCAGGTTCCTACTGCTCCAGCCACTTCTGCTTCCTGTTGCCCCCTTTATTTTCCTTAAACAATATTCCCTAAACATCATGTTGTTCCCTTTTCACAACACCCAAAGGCTTCCTTCCCCTAGCCCATCCCTTAGCCAAAAGAAACTCCTAGGTGTCAGAGACTTCTGTGGCTGGCTGGACCTAACAGTAGAGGCTATAGTACAGGAGAACAGAAGTAGCCATAGATGAGGAGGCTTGTTTGCTAACCCCAGCTTGGTCACCAACAGAATGGGGGGGGGTTGTAGTACTAGGGATTGAACCCACAGCCTTCACACTGAGCCTTATATATCCCCAGCTCTGTCCCCTGCCCCCGACACACACACACCTCTTTTTTTATGAAACAAGGGTTTGCTAAATTGCTCATGCTGGGCTTAAACTTGTGATCCTCTTGCTTCAGCCTCCCAGAGGGCTGGGAATATAGACATGCACTGCCATGCCCACCACCGTCATACATTTAACCATTGTGCATTTCTGTTTATTCATCTGCACAAATATGTGGGGTTGTTTTCAGATTTATGGTGTTGCCTGAGTATACCTATTACTCCGTAGATAAGCTCTCACTGTGGTCATACCAGACTTCTGGTTTTGCCACTGGACATCCCTTGTTTACAATGCTCTTTGTGCTTTCACTCCCGTGTGTTTTCAATCTAGCATTACTTTTTGCTTTTTTTCACTCCTTGTTTTAAATACTGCCCATCCTTTATCCTTGTTCATTTCTGCCATCCCAGTGATTTATACTCACTTTATCTGTGGTATAAATCAGTGTTTCAATTGCTGATTTTATCAGATTTAACCTCTTTGGGGAAAGAGATTGTATTTTATATATCAGCTAAACTCATAGTTGGTTAAGCCTTCATTTCCATCCCGGGTTATAGAAAATAGCATCACACTGAAAACTTTTAAGATGAATAGAAGGATAAGAGTGCGTGGGCAGAGGTGGTGGTGGTTGTTGGAAAGGAAGGTGTTTTATCACACGTACTCAAAGCAGGCTGGTGGCCTTTTGGGTGAATCTACAAATCGTTTTGCAGTTATCTACAATCGTTTGTGTTTTTTGCAGTCCATTCCTCCAACCATCCTGTGACCCTGGTTCTCTTCTGTTTATTTCTTACAGTTTTCATCCTTTTCTTCTGTAAGCTGTCACCATGACCTTAACAAAAGGGTCCTTCACCTACTCCAGTGGGGAGGAATATCGTGGCGAGTGGAAGGAGGGTGAGAAGGCTCTTTGGGGTACCCAGCAATGAACGCCTCATTTTACTAAAGGAAATATGTTAGGAGAGGTAGCCAGCTTTGTGAAGCTTCATTTCCCACTCCAGGACTCTACATAGTGCCTTTCCTCTTATTCTGTTATTAAATAAAGTAACGGGAAAATGCTGTTGTTAATCCAGCCTCCAAAAATGAGCTAAATCTTTCCAGCTCTAGACTTGTACTCTTTTAACATTATTTCATCCTTTAGTAATGTTTGAGAATTTCTTTTTTTGTTTTGTTTTTTGCTTTTTTTTTTTTTTTTGTCTTTTTCGTTTTTATCGGTACCAGGGATCGAACTCACGACTGCCTGCTTGCAAGGCAGGTGCTTATGCCACTGAGCTAAATTCCCAGCCCCTGAGAATTTCTTAAATAAATGCTAAGGTACCCAGTAGAGCAAAATGAATTCTTTTATTAGAGTGCAGAATTCCTTGTAATACCTTGGTCACAGTGAATCTTAAGAAGTTAAGAATGACTGGGAAGTAAAGGCAAACCCTCAAGAGCAAATGACATTCATGACATTTGGTTTCCTGTGACAGCTCATTCTATTTGGAAGTATTCAGAGGAATAATAAAATTTTTCCTGAAACTGTGCAAGAAGAAATTTAATGGTACTCACTTTAGAAAAATAGTCTGACCACTTTAAAGTGACCTGGGGCCAGTGGTATTAATCCAGGAGCTGCCCCAAGGACACTGGACTTCTCTGCACTGGCACAGGTGCCCCCTTCATATTAGGTCCCTGCAGCTGGTAAACTCTTGAGCTGTGACAAGTTGTACATTTGTGACTTTTCTTCCTTTCGTCCTAAGCTTTTTCTCCTACCTACAAACACCTACCATCCCCTCAATATGGTTTTCTAGAAGAAAGACATCCTGTTGTCCTGCCAGCCAGTCTCTGTCCACCAAGGAACTTTCTCACTCTGTGGAAAGGACATGATTGCTCCCCGAGCTTATTGCTCATGTTTCTGGTCAGCTTAGTGAGTAAACACAGCCGTGCTGATGGAACAGAGCTCAAGGCAGTGTTGCCACTCGGGCTGTTTGGTTTGCCACATAGCCTCATGATGCTTAGGGGTACTGTTATTTTTTTCTCAGAGCCCTGGGATCTTAAGAAAGTTAGTTAGTTTTACCTTTCATCAATTTCCCAAATCTTTTTTTTTTTTTTTTTTTTGAGACATGGTCTTGTTTTGTAGTTCAGATTGGCCTTGAACTTACTGTGCATCTCAGGCTGACATTGAACTTGCAGCGATCTTCCTGCCTCAGCCTCCCAAGTGCCCACTTCCCCTTTTGTTTAATGGAAATGATAATAGTGCTGTTCTAACCTCATATGGTTGTCATAAAGATTAAATAAAATGACAAAAAGTACTCAAAAGAGTGGCTGAAAGGGCACTATAAACTAGCTAGTGTCATTTTACTTTATTTATTTATCTGGTGAACCAGAAATCAAACTAAGGACCCAGTGCTTGCCAGGTAGGCAGTGTGCCACTGAGCTGTATCCCTGGCCTTACTTTATTTTTAAATTTTATTGATTGACTGATTGATTGTGTGGTACTGGTGATTGAGCCCAGGAGCCCACTACACCTCCAGCCCCTAACGTGTTATGTTATCATTCATACTTGGAGAGACCTGTTCCAAATCTGATGAATGTGACTTACAATGGGAGGTGCCAGGATTCAAATTTTATTAGTGCCTGGCTGCCCTACTAATGCCATCGCTTCTCTTTTTTGGTCAGAGTGATAGAAAATGTGGGTTGATAGGCAAGTGTAAAAGGACCTTGAAGCAACTGTCCTTCTCTTTGCTCAGGCCGCAGACACGGTTTTGGTCAACTGATGTTTGCAGATGGTGGCACCTACCTGGGTCATTTTGAGAATGGACTTTTTAATGGCTTTGGGGTACTAACCTTCTCAGATGGCTCAAGGTAAGTATTAATTTATTCCTTTCTCTATCCTTAAAGTAGGGAAGCTTTGATATAAAGATGGGACATTGGTGAATATCTGGTCAACCCTGAGCTTCTCTGGGCCGTGCAGAAAGCAGACAAGGAGTAAGAAGTTTATTAATTACCTTTTAAACAGATGTAAATTTTTTTTTTTTGTCTTTTTCTTTTTTATCGGCACCAGGGATCCAACTCACGACTGCCTGCTTGCAAGGCAGGCGCTTATGCCGCTGAGCTAAATCCCCAGCCCCAGATGTAAAATTTGAAATGTAAGCAAGTAAATGAACTTCCACCAACTTCCATTCACTTAAATTCTTTTCTTGAGACAAGGGCCTTGAATACTCCATATTCTGATTTTGTTCTGCTGGTTGGGAATGAAGTGGATAGGTTGGGAAGCTCTGAGCTAAGCAGAGTCAGCTTTGCTCCATGGCATTATTAACCAACACATGCTGTCAGCTGCTCGACTCAGTCGACTAGGACAGCTTACTTGCCCAGAAGAGGCTAACATTTTGGTGTTTCTGCAGGTATGAAGGGGAGTTTGCCCAGGGCAAATTTAATGGCGTTGGAGTCTTCATTCGACATGACAACATGACCTTTGAGGGTGAATTTAAAAATGGCAGAGTAGATGGTTTTGGTAAGTTGCAGCCTAAAAGGATGGGTGATAGTTGAACATAATATGGGTGGGAAAATGTCATTTAGCTTTAATTCTTCAATAGATGTCCACCAGTCTACAGTGATCATGCCTGAATCCACTGAACTCACTAAGTACTCCTGAGTAAAACAATGTGTTTTTCCCTTTAGCCTCTACACATTTAGTTCATCTCTGAGACACTGATCCTTTGTCATGTTTTACGTGTCTTCCTGAAAGGCCTGCTCACTTTCCCGGACGGTTCTCATGGGATACCCCGTAACGAAGGCCTCTTTGAGAACAACAAGCTACTGCGGCGTGAGAAGTGCTCTGCAGTGGTCCAGCGGGCCCAAAGTGCTTCCAAGTCAGCCAGAGATCTGACGGCCTGATAGGGCCCTGGGATCATTGGGAACAGTGTCCTGTAAATCTAGCACTCCTAGTGTTCACTGGAAGGGAACAAATGAACCAGACCTGAGGTGAAATGAGAAGACAATCACATTGGAGCAGAGCCTAAGATGTGCTCCTTCACCTGCCAGTCAAGAATTCCATCACAGAAAGGTGCTGAGGAGTTTGACCCAAAGACCATGCAGCAGTTGGTAACAGCTCTGTCGTTCCTAGACCCCAACATGTGGAGGACGGAGGAGCCACCTTTTCTGATTTGTTTTTCCTTGTTCCTAAAAATTCAGCTTCTTCAGTATAGACCTGCTTCAGCCTTCACTCTGTTTGCTGCCACGTAATTCAGAATCTCTTCATTTTGCCTCCATTTGGGGCAGCTGATCCTCACTGCAACTTAGAGCTAATGCCCTGTGCTCTCCTGGAGAAGTAAAAAGATGGGGTGGCTTAGACAGTGCAGGAGTCCTGTGAGAGACAAGGCTTTCTTTACACTACCCGCTTGTTCACCAGTGGATCCTGGCTCCAGGCTCCCACTTCATGTGCTCAGACTGCTCTTCACCTCTGTGGGCCCGTACAGGACTGGGTAATAGTGCTATTTTCTTCCCCCTTGACTTCACAAGCCATTGCCCCTAACCTGAGTTATGGCAGAGAATCCAATCTTCCTGTCATGTTTGTGCCTCTCTTCTTTCTTAAACATCAGACAGGATCCCTCTATGGGATAGTCAAGGGGGAAGGGGCCCATATCCAAACCACTTCACCTCCTGTAGACACCTGAATCCCACAGAAGGCTATACCAATAGTCGTTTCCCAGAGGCTCCGTAGATGAGACTTACCCAACCCCTTGGTTGTAGGTGCACATGGACTCATCCTACAGCTATGTGAACTAAAAGTATTGGCTCCTCACAATTGGGCACGGTGACTCTTTCACTACAGTCGCGGCCCTCGGGGCTGGGTCAGATCCCGGCAGGCAGAATCCCAGCACAGTTCATCATGAGGTGTCTGGAACTCGAACACGCCCCTCAGCACACATCCTCACACCAAATCTCCCTCAGCAGCAGACCGTGTGGAAATTATAGCCATGTGCCTCTATCTAGTCTTTGATGTGTACTGTAGAAACAGTTATAAGAATAAACAAGTCACTATAGCTGCCTCTTCATGGTTTTCATGACTTTTTTGCCCAGTATCCTGATTGTCAGCCCATTTGATGTTACAAGTGTTCATCAAAGTGGGGCTCGGAGCTGACACTGACGCAGACACCTTCCTACTGCATAATGTCCTCTGATTCCTAGAACCACTGCAGAATAGAAAGCATAATTTCTCTTTTAAATCACACAGGCCCAGGAAACTCAGACTAGTGAATGGCAGAGCCCAGTGGGGTCTGTATCCTAGTCTTTCCACCGGACCCCTCTCACCCTGAGTGTCACTGAAATTGTTTTTGCCAGTCCTGCTGATGACGTGAGGAAGTCAGCGCCTGTCTTGGGTTTTTCTTTTCTGTAGTAGTAGAACATCACCCCCATGCAGCCCATTTGCAGCGTGATACTACTCAGTCTTCGTTCTGGCCTCAGGAGGAAGATGTGTTATATCTATATTATAGATGATGCTCAGAGAAATTAGATTGCTTCTCCAGTGTTCCAAAGATAAGAAGGGGCAGATCCTAAACTTTAAACCCAGGTTTTGAAGCCTAGAGGTCAAGCTCTTAACCAGTGCACTAACCAGTACACTGACCAGGCTCCCTGGCCTTAACTTTCCCTCGGACTTAGCTTTGGTTCTCCACAGAGCCCAACTTCTCTGGAAGGTGCTTGTGAGAGGCCAGTGGCCAGGTCCCAGCCTTTCGTGCCATCAGATTCCCAGTTTCAGTTGCAGATTACCTTTTATAGTCTCCTCTATCCTAAACAAGGATTTTTTTCACCCCTTTTTACACCCCCACCCCCACCCACCCCAAGTAATGGGGATTTAACCAGAGGCTTTGTGGTGAGCTATACCCCGGGCCTTTTTTTTTTTTAAAATAAGGCCTTGCTGAACTGTCTACCCTGAGGTTGAATTTGCCTCAGCTCCCAGAGTGCTGGGATTACAGGTGTGCACCACATGCCCAATTTGTACTTTTTTATTGTTTTTTGTTTTACTATTCCAAGCTGAACTTAAATTTGCTATGTAGGCCAGGTTGTCCTTAAATTCATAGCTGTCCTCTTCAGCCTCCCTAGTGCTGGGATTACCAACAAGTCCAGTTTACCTGTTATTAAATTTGTATTTTTTAAACTTTTTTGTTTGTTGTTTTTTTTTTGGAGACAGGGTGTTACTATATAGTTCCAATTGGCTTTGAATTCACGTGTAATCCAAACTGGCCTTGAATTTATGGTAATCCTCCTGCCTCAGTCTCCCAAGTGCTGGGATAACTTTTCTTTTAATGAATAACATTTTTAAAAATTATCTGTTTTTCAGCCACTGGCCACATATTATCACTGAAAAGAGTTAAACATTTTGGAGAAAGCAGCCTCTAACTCATGTGCTAAGTATGGCATGGTTTCACCTCTTTATAGTTTCCGATTTGAAACTGTGAACCTTTTGCCAGGCCCCCACTAATCTGGCCATTTGTTCAGTATTGTTAGGGCCTCTCTCAGCCCCTCAGAGCTGGAAAGAGGCAAACCACGAGGGCTCCATTACCTATAAGAGTATTCTCAGTATCTGGCCAGGAAACCTGGTACAAAGCCACACTAGTTTTATTTGTTAAACTTTATTATAGTGACAACATGGTTATTTTTAATAATAAGCAGAGTGCTTACAGATATGAAGATGGCTCTGTCTCGTGCCAAGACCCCTTCCTTAGTGTTGCAGAGTGGGCCAGTCCAATTAGTCTTCCAGAATGTGTGTTTATCCAGCAGGTGTCATTATTTACCAGTTTAACAGCCATGAAGCTGTCTGTGCACTTGATGGTGAGTAAACAAGACGGAATGAAAACAGATTTAGGAGGGGCATAGTGACTGGAATGCAGTTTGGGGTCTTCCAAAGCCCAGCGACATTCTCCCAATCAGGTTTCCTAGCCCGCTGCATCCTCTGGAAACAGTCAGAACCTGCATTTTTAGTAATAACCCTGACTCAGAAGGCTAATAATCATCCCTTCAGTGTACAGTTCCCTGTGACCCCACCGTTCTCTCCTCTTCCCCTCTGCTCTCCGTTTTCTGGGCCCGGGATAGAGAATAGCATACACAGTACAGAGGCAGGTCAGGGATTCCTCCTGCCCAGTCCGCTGGTCTTTAGAGACTCGGCATATCTAGGAGAGAAATAGGGGGAGACGGGGAGGTTGCACGGGGGTGCCTAGTAGGGGTGAAGCGGGAAAGGAGCTCCTGGCCCATCCCCCACTCTTCTTCACTCTGCAGGATGCAGGGGCAAGGAGAGACAGAGGGCTCCAGCCCGGCGTTCCCAGGGCGCCTTCAGATCCAGCCATTGCTGCTGAAGTCCAAGCGCAGTGCCTCCTCTTCAGCGGGGCTCAGCCCCTGCAGTGGGGCACGGCAGGGTCCCCCATAGTAGCCGAACCAGTCCATGGCTTTCTTCAGCCCTGGGATTCCGAAGCGCCGGGTCACCTAAAAAGCAAGGCCTGTGATAAGAGACGGCAGAAACCCCTGCTTATACCTACCCAGGTCCCAGACATCTGTCACTTACAGAAATCTGGGGTTTCTACTTCCACACCCCGTGAAAGAACTCTACCAAATCTGTAGCGCCCAGGATAGAATGAAATCCAGATTTACGGACCAGCAAGCAGGTCAGTAACGGTAAAGAACAAAATGTGAACTGAGGAAGGAACATGCGTGCGTCCTTGTTTTCAGGAGGAAAAATCCACTCCAACAGGAAATAGAGCGATTTTGCCATCAGGCCAGGGTGAAAGGGAGAAAGTTGTGGGTACTACAGCACCAAGTCTTTAGCCGGGCTCCCCGGAGCCTCTGCAGGACACTGCAAACTGGGAGACAGGAGCAGAGGTCTCTGGTGACCTCAGGCACGGCCCTTACCTCCCTGGCATCAGGGTCCCTCCCTGACCTGTTTAAACACTCTCCTTGGAAGAGCTGCATCACTGTCCAAATAAGTCTGGCTGTTTAACTGTGTGTTGTGTCATTACTTAAGCTAGTTTTCTTGCCAAAAAAGTGAGGGGATCAGACAACATGACATGTAAAATCTCGGCAAGTACAATGGAAGACCTAAAGCCACTAAAATTACATGTAGGATTTTACAGAATAAATGAAGGACCAGGTTCCTTTGTTTTTGGTACAGCAGCTGGTTATTTCATAGTGATCCAAAGTGTTGACGAGTATTTGGCTCTAAAAACTAGGAAAAAATCATTACTTAGTAAAGTGTAATTTTGAGAGAAGGCTAAACCTTAGAAATAGGACTTTATGAAGGGTAGAAATAATGAGGTAGCTTGGAGTAGGAAGTAGACTGAAAATCAGTAATGAACGACTAGAAACTATTCACTACTAGAGGCCATTAGGCTTTTTAAAACACTGATTGTTAAAATGTTTGGTTTTATTAGTATATGTTTACAGTACATAGTAATTGCATTCACATGGGAGGGAGTGAGCACATTACACAACTCATCTGAATTCTGTTTACTCCCCTTCCCCTTCCCTTGTCCCTTTCCTCCATCTCTTGTTCCCCTTCCACCAGTAAGCTCCAGCTTCATTCCTGGACTGGGTGTAAGTCATTACTTCTGAATCTCCTCCCTCACACGATATTCTAACACTTCGGCCTTTTTACCCCAGATCTCTAAGTTGGAAAGACCCATGGACGGGAAGGAAACCAAGTGGTACCTAGAGAAAAGCTGTGCCCACTGCAGGTTTCTGAACATCACTGGTACACCTCTCCCAGACCCTGAATGTTTTGGTGGTAAAGCCCAGAAAGTCCTAAATATAGCTGGAGGCTGGCTGGGTGGGAATCTGGAGGAAGAACATTGTGTTCAACAGGGCAGGGCATCAGAGTGACATCAAGTGGCTCTCGGGGTGTCTGAGCCTGAGCCCGGGCAGCAGCAAGGTGTTCCAGGCATTCCTGAGCGTGTGCCCACCCGGAGCTGGCACAGGAGGGCAAGCAAGGCATGCAGAGAGAGGCAGCATGGGGTAAAGCACAAGAGAGCTAAGACAGCAGGGAGGTTTCCTGTCCTCCCAGAAACAGCCCAAGCTGCTTGCCTATAAAATAGGGTTATAAAAGGCCAGGCATGGTGGCACACGTCTGTAATTCCAGCACTCAAGAGGCTGAGGCAGGAGGATTGCTGTGAGTTCAGGGTCTGGGAGAGGTGTACCAGTGATGTTTAGAAACCTGCAGTGGGCACAGCTTTTCTCTAGGTACCACTTGGTTTCCTTCCCTTCCATGGGTCTTTCCAACTTAGAGATCTGGGGTAAAAAGGCCGAAGTGTTAGAATATCGTGTGAGGGAGTAGATTCAGAAGTAATGACTTACACCCTGTGAGTTCAAGGCAAGCAGGGGCTACAAAGTGAGTTTAAGGCCAGCCTGAACTGCATAGAGAACCCTGCCTCAAAAAGACAGAGAGAGAGAGGCAAAAGTACACCAACCCATAGAGACCTCAAAAGAATCAGGTGAGGAAAACACCTCTAGCATTACACCAGTCCCTAGGGCTCTAAAAGCACCACCTCCTCTTGTCCTGCTGGGATATAGGTCCTGGGACCTTCTCCTTCACAGGTGGATGGAAACGGGGGAGCCAAGGCCCTGCCCTGTTAAATGGCCAGTGTTCAAAACCTCTTGTGCCCGTGGACTTAGCTGAAAGGCCCTCAATTCAGCAAGTTCTTACACGCTATTTATAGTGTCTAATCCCAGAAGATTCATGCTTCCCCTGCAGCTGTCCTTTCTCTAAAGCTGAGCTAATCTGCCCCTTTGAGATAGGATACAAGCTGTGAGGGGGCCCTAGTGCCCACCCCACCACTTTATCCAGACAAAGCACCATAGAAGAGCATCTGCATTGTTTATCCTGGGTCTGTGATGAAGCTAGCAGGTACTTGTCTTAGATCCACAATTTAAGGAGATTTTTTTAAAAACCGTTAATAATCAAGATAAAGAATGTCAATGCAATGTTTTTAAAATCAAAATTAATGTGAACAAACTGGACATAGTGGCTGTAATCCCATCACTTGGGAGGCTGAGGTGGGAGAATTGCCATAAATTCAAAACCAGCCTGGGATACGTTGTGAGTTCTAGGACATCCTGAACTATATAATGAGACCCTCTCTCTCTCTCTCTCACACACACACACACACACACACACACACACACACACAAACACACACACACAAAGATTAATGCAAGCAAATCCACGATGAACAATTTTTAAAACATCATTCAACAGAGTCCCACCCTACCTTATTACAGCCTGAGTCAACAGTTAACATGTGTATCCCTACATATGTGGCTTTTTGCATTTTTAAAAAATTCTTCCTAGATGTATATTTGTATATTTTGGGGAAAAAATATTTTAAATGAGTTTGCTACCATTAAAGCCAAGAAAGTAAATTAATATAGATAATGTTTTGAGTATATATAAAAGCCTTAAACCTAAAATAATACTGAAGTTTTTTGTTGTTGTGAGTGTTTTGTTTTTGTAGGACTGGGGATTGAGCATAGAGCCTTCACACTGAGCCATATCCCCAACCCTTTTAAAAACTTTCGTTTTGGGGGCCGGGGATTTAGCTCAGTGGCATAAGCACTTGCCTGACAAGCACAGTTTGATCCCCATGAGAGAGAGAGAGAAAGAGCCGGACATGGTATCATACACCTGTACTCCAAGCACTTGGGAGGCTGAGTCATAGCAAGACCCTGTCTCAAAAAAACAACAAAAAAAAAAAAAAGGAAGAGACCAATATTCCTCATGAATGCAAAGCACAAAAATCATTAATAAAACATTAGCAAATAAAATTCAGCAACCCATCAAAAGAATGACATGCCATGACTAATGAAATTTTTCCAGGAAAGCAAATATGTGTCAAATACTTGAAAATTAATATAATCCACCATATTAACAAGGTAAAGAAGAAAGCCACATGATCATATCTATCAATACAGAAAAACATTTGACAAAATTCAACACCAATTTGTAACTTTTAAAACTTCAGAATCTAAGAACAGATTGCTCAACTTGATAAAAAGCATTTACAAAACTAAAAGCTAGAAATAGACGTATGATATGATTGCCTATATAGGAACCCCAAGAAATATATAAAAAAGAACTACAATGAGTAAGTCAGTTCAGTAAAGACAGGATGTAAGACAGACATGCAAAAAAAAAAAAAATCAGTTGTGATCCAGGTATGGTAGGCAGAAGCAGGTGGATCTTAAATTCAAATCCAACCTGGACTAAACAGCAACACTGTCTCAAAAAAGAATCAATTGAGTGTTAAATACTAGCAATGGTAGTTAGGGGATTTCATATGGATAATGAAATTAAAAGTATAATCAATCACCCAAAAAACATGAACTCTTTAGGTATACATTTCTCAAACAGATATTTACCAAAAACTACAAAATACTGAAGAAATTTTTCTAAAAAGTGATCTAAATAAATAGACCTTCCCTGAGCAAGGGTTGGAAGAGGACATAGCAAAGATGTCAATCAACTCTATACCAGTTGAACACAGTTCCTATTAAAGTCCAGCAAAATATTTGTGTACAGAAAGATTATTCTGAAATGTATATGGAAGGCAAGAAATTAGATCAACTAACAATTTTGAGGGAAAAGAAATTTTTCTTTTAAGACTTTTATGTTACTAAAACAATCAAGTCTGTGGCATTGTGGAGGAATATATATACAGATCAATGAAAAGAAAAGTGAATTCAGAAATAGGTCCACAAAACTATGTCCCACACATTTTTGACAAAGGTGCAAAAGAAAGACAGCTTTTTCAACAAATGTTGATAGGCACACATCTAAAAAATGACAAAAGTATTACACTTTATATAAAAATTAACTCAAGATGGATAACAAGTGTGCAGAATACAAAACTATAAAACTTTAAGGAAAAATGTAAATTTTCATAATCTAGTGCTAAGCAAAGAATTGTTAGATTTGATACTAAAAGCATCATTCATAAAGAAAATAATGATAACCCAGGTGTTGTGGCTAATGTTGTAATCTTAGCACTGTCAGCTGAGACAGGAGGATCATTGCAAGTTCAAGATCAGCCTGGGCTACAATGAGCTCAATGCCAGCCTGAACTGTATAACGAGACCTGATCTCAAAAAGATAAACACATAAATAAATTAATTAATAATAATGATGGGGCCAGAGGGATTAGTTCAGCAGCGTAAGCACCTGCCCTGCAAGTGCAAGGTCATGAGTTCAATTTCCAATACTAAAAACAATAATAATAATAATAATAAACTGAACTTCATCAAAGCTTGAAACTTTTGCTTGGTAAAGAGAATAAAAAGATAAATGTGGACCAGGAAAAAATATAAATCACATATCCTACAAAGTACTAGTATTGAGAAGATATGAAGAACTTTATTTTTTTTAGATTTTTTCGACAGGGTCTTGCTCTAATTCAGGCTGGTCTTGAACTCACTATGTAGCCCAGGCTGGCTTCACACTCATACTGATCTTCTTGCCTAGCTTCCCAAGTGCTAGGCATTTGCCACCATGCCTGGTTGAAGAACTTTCAAAATTCAGCATTAAAAAAGCAACCCAATTAGAAAATGGTCAAGGGAAAGAGTAGCCCATTGAAGCTGTTCCTCACAGTGTAGCTCAGTTGTAAAATACAAGTTTAACTTGTGCAAGGTCATGGGGTGGATCCCCCAACACCAAAAGAAAGAAAACAGAGAAAGAAAGAAGAATCACCCAATGTGGTGGCACATTCCTGTAAACATAGCACTCAAGAGGCTGAGGCAGGAGGATCACTGAGTTTGGGGCCAGCCTGAGCTACCGAGTGAGTTCAAGGCCAGCCTGAACTGCAGAGTGAAACCCTGTCTCCAAAAAAATAAGAAGAATCAGGAGGAGGAGGAGGAGGAGGAGAAGGAGGAGAAAGAAGGGAGGGAGGGAGGGAGGGGGGGAGAGAGAGAGAGAGAGAGAGAGAGAGAGAGGAAGAAGAGGAAGAAGGAGGAGGAGGAGGAGGAGGAGGAGGAGGAGGAGGAGGAGGAGGAGGAGGAGGAGAAGGAGAAGGAGAAGGAGAAGGAGAAGGAGAAGGAGAAGGAGAAGGAGAAGGAGAAGGAGAAGGAGAAGGAGAAGGAGAAGGAGAAGGAGAAGGAGAAGGAGAAGGAGAAGGAGAAGGAGAAGAGAATGGTCCTGAATTAGAGGCCAGAAGTTTTCTGAAGCTGTTGGTTTCAAGGTGTTATCTTTCTGTCGTCTGTTGGCCATTTAAGAACTTTAAAATGCAATGGTCAATTCATTAGAAAGAAACAACCTCCCCACCGCCCCGGCTTCATGAGCTCCCCACCGCAGCCCAGAGGAGAGAAATCCACAGGCCAGGGTCCCACCACCACCAGGGAATATCAATAAGCAGCTACTCAGCACCTCTCCGCCACTGGGGAAAGCTTGGATCAGAGTAACCCAATTACCTAGCCCAATTCTCTGCACTGGGGACGGGCAGCCAATGCAGGAAACGCCTTGGACTCAGCAACCCAGGAAAATGTGAGAGGAAGGAGCAGAGTGCAATCTCAGATCCCCAGCCCATGCAGAACAAGTCCAGAGACACAGACACAAAAGCAATTAGGAGTAACAGGCCTGAAATTTCTGAAACAATAGCAACTGAAGTAAGGAGATGTTGCTTACACTGTTTAATGTATCATCTGACTATGTCTGTATTCTGAGCATCTGTTTAGAGGACAACAATGTGTATTACAGTCACTGTGGTTGATTTCCTACTGTCCTGTTTTTGAAATTCAATATCATTCCCATTGTTTTATTTTATTGTTTTGTTTTATTCTCTTTAAAATAGAAATAAAAGAAAGAAAAAATGGGCAGGAGACTTAGAAAGATATTTGAGAGAAGAGGATGTGACAAATTAACACATTAAAAATCTGTTCAATATTAGCCATCAGGGAAATGCAAATTTAAATCACAATGAATTATTACTATATACCTGTCAAAATGGCTACAATTTTTTAAAAAAGGAATAGCACAAAATGCTGGTAGGGATATAGACACTGAATCATATATATGTTTACATCGGTGTAAATATAGAATGGTACATCCACTCTGGAAAAGAAATTCAGCAGTTTCTTAAAAAGTTAAACATCCTGGGTGTGGTGCAGCCTGCCTGTAATCCCAGTACCTGGGAGGCAGGGGCAGGAGCTGGAGGTCAGTCTGGGCTACATAGTGAGTTCAAGACCAGCCTGAACTACACAGGAAGACCTCTCTCAAAAAGCTAAACATGCAGCACCATACTACCCATAATTACACTGCTAGTATTCATCCCAGGAAAAGCATAGTCACACAAAAACTGTACATAAATATTCATGGCAGGGGTTTCTTATTGTTGTTCTTTGTATTTGTTTTTTGTTTTTTCATACCAGGGATCCAACTTAGGACCTTGCTCTTGCCAGGCAGGTGCTGTGTTGCTAAGCTATATCCCTGGCCATGGCAGCTTTCAATAGCCAAAGATGGGAAGGAACCCAGCTCCACTTCAATGGGTAAGTGGTAAACAGGTGTGTAGCAGTCCGTGGACTATTACTGAGTAACTGAAAGGAATCAATTATTTTTGGTACTGGGAATTGCACTCACAACCTCACACTTGTCAGCCAGGCACTGTGCCACTGAGCTGTATCCCTGGCAAGAGTTACAATTGGTCATACAACCTATATCAATTTCTGGAGGATTATGCCGAGTGAAAACAAGCAAATCCCCAAAAGTTACATATGTTTCCAGATAGTATAGTCTTGAACTGACCAAATTATAAAAATGGTGAACACATTTGGATTACCAGGAGTTCAGGTGGTGGAAATAGGGCTGAGTAGGTGTGGTTAGAGGAGGATAACATGAAGGATCTTATGGTGATGACAGTAACATATATTTTGACTATATTGTAGGATATAGTTATCCTATATCCTATCCAATATAGTAAAAATATTCCATAGATGTACTGTATTAAATGCTACCACTGGGGGAAATTAATAAATTAATCACAACTACATATGAATCTACAATTTATTTCCAGACAACAAATATAATATATATTTTTTGGTCTGTTTGCCTCAGACTTCAAAATGGCTTTTTAGTTTGTTTGTTTGGTACTGGGGATCAAACTCAGGACCTCGGGCTTGCAAGGCAGGAGCTTAAGCCACTGAGCTAAATCCCCAGCCCTAAAATGGCTTTAACTCAGGTATGGTGGTACATACTTGCCATCTGGCACTCAGGAGTGTGAGACAGGATGATTGTTGCGAATTTGAGGCCAGCCTGGGCTGCATAGTGAACTCTGTCTCAAAAAGACAAAAAAAAAAAAAAAAAAAGAAGGAAAGAAAAGGAAGGAAAGCAGGAAGGGAGGGAGGGATGTAGGGAGGGAGGGGCTCTGCTTTGAAAAGGATTCCAGTTGCTTTTGCTCTCTTTTGTCTTCCCTGTTCCAGATTGGGGATGAGACCCAGGCCTCACACCCGACCACAGGCACGGTACTACTGAGTTGTATCCCCAGTCAGCATTCTGTCTTCTTGTCCTTGACTTGCCCAACACAGAACTGAAGTCATGGTTTGACTGCAGCATAGATTATCTGAAGAAACAGCTGTGCTGGAAAAGCGGGCCCTGAGTATCTTCAGCCTCCAATGTCTCCTAATTGTTGTGATTTTCAGAATCTGGCTCCTGGAGAGCTGATTTAAAAGGCCCACGGTTCCCTCTCACTAGGCAGTCATCTCTGAGTCCTGTTTTAGGATTGCTGCCTATGTCACCATCACTTGTTTCAGTGCAAAAAGGCCAGTGCTTTATTCCCCCAAGGATTCTAATTCATACCTAAACTGGAGGAACAAACAACTGAGCTACACTTTATTTGCAGCCAGGGTTTTCCCGGGGAGGTACAAAGAGCTCCTCTTTGAACTGTCTCAAAAAGACAAAAAAAAAAAAAAAAAAAGAAAGAAAGAAAGAAAGAAAAGGAAGGAAGCAGGTGCGCTGAGATGCACTCTAAGAGAACTTTGTGAAAGGGGAGAAGGCACAGTGCAGGCCCACCAGCCCAGGCTCCCACTCCTGCGCAGGCACAGAGCCCCTCCCCAGATGCCCGGGGGAGCTCACCGCAGTGTTAGGCTCGATGAGGCGGAGCTGCAGCTTGCGGGCTTCCTCCCACTGCCCAGTGAGGCAGAGTCGCTCTAGCTGGCACACCTGGGCTCCCAGCACGTTGGCCAGGCCACACACGCCCCCCACAGCTCCTGCCCAAAATAAAATACAGAGAATTAGCCAGAGCCACTTCCCACAGACAATCCCAAACCCTGGTACCTGAACCTCTTCATCCTGGGACATAGGATGTGAATTTCTGTACCACTGTTGGCCACGGCAAAGCCATGCTCTGTGAACCCACGCCCACACTTCCAGAGAGAAAAACATGCTTACTTGTTCAAAATAGAATCTCCTGGGCCACATGGTCTGTGAAGAGCAGGGACATGAGGCCAAACGGCCTCCTCTACCCTTCCAGACAAAGGTCCTGCCTGCCCGACATCTCCATGTTTTTCCAGCAGCCCCCTGACTTATTAGTTCTGGAAGGGTCTGGAGTAACTGTGAGCTTGTGCTCTCCTGAAACCTTTTCCCCTAGGGGAATTCACCCCGAGACAGTGATAGGGGTAGCAGTGAGGAAGAGGAGTGGAGAGAGCTCTGGGCACCAGATCAGAGACTGGGCTATTCCTCCTACTGGCTGCATCACATTGGACAAGTCCCAGGCTTGCATGTCCCCTGTTCCCCATCTGAGTAGTGAAAATGTGTTGGTTGTAAACTTGGAAACCTCAGGTGTCTCTGCCAGCCTTTGAGTGTGACTCCAAGAGTAGTTGGAGTGACCGTAAGTACAGTGGCCTTGGGGCTGGAAAGAGAGTGGACAATTTGGGATGAGCAAACAGGGCTCGGTTTATAGAACACCTACCATGCAGCAGGCACTGTGGCACACACAGGACTGGTGCACTCTGATCCTCATAGTGCCTCTTCAGGCTCAGAGAGGCCGTGTGCATTGCCCCATGTGACTCAGCGGGTAAATGGGGAAACAGATTCCAATTCAGATAGCCCCATCTCCAGAGCCTGTGCTCTTCCCATCCACCCCACTCTAAAAGAGGGGGAAAGGGGTCCCAGTGTTTTTTTCCTGCACTTTAGAGACTGCAACATGGCAAAAAGGGTATGCACAAAGAACTATGTACAAGGCAAAGTCTACAGGGAACACATGAACTAGTGTTGTCCTCTGAGATATAGTAAGTTGCCAACTTTCAAATGAGTTCTGCTCAGGGAGAATGTTCGTAAATCAGATCCATGAATAATCTGATGAAGGGAGGTTTACACAGCACACCTGTGACTCTTACACAGTGTGCCTGTGAGCCTCACACAGTACCCCTGTGAGCCTCACCCAGCACCCTTGTGAGCCTGACGCAGTGTGCCTGTGAGCCTCACGAAGTACCCCTGTGAGCCTCACCCAGTACCCCTGTGAGCCTCACCCAGTACCCCTCTGATCCTTACACAGTACACCTGTGAGCCTCACACAGTGCCCCTGTGAGCCTCATGCAGTGTCCCTGTGAGCCTCACACAGTGTGCCTGTGAGTCTTACACAGTATCTGGGAAAGTTTACCACTTGACTATTTTAAGTCAGAGACTTACTATAAAAGTCACTGGAAGCTAAAGTCCCTGAGGTTTTGGCTGAAGGGAGCAGATGCTGCCCTCCATTTTCCTCCCCCAGGGTTCAAATACCACTTGCACCCACGGACCTTGACCCAAAATAGGTGAGAGCAGCTGGTATAAGTGACATTCCTAGGATCCCTGGAGTGGAATAGAATTTGATCAAGGCAACTGAAGGTCCCAGGCCCAGACCTGCAGGTCTAACAGTGCATTCTAGATTGGGATTCGAGGTAAAGTAGGGTACAATTCTGACCTTGAGGGGAGGCCTCAAGATCTTTTTCCCTCGAGACCAAGTCTCACCATGTATCTCAGATTGCCCTTAAATTCTCTGTGTAGCCCAGACTATATAACAATCTTCGTGCTTAGCCTTCCATGTGTTGAGATTACAGACATGTGCCATCCACCTGGCCTAGAGGAGCTACACTTTTTCGCCCATAGTACTGGGAATTTAGCTCAGGGCCTTCACACTGTACTACATCCCCATCTACTTTTTGAAACAAAGTTTCATTAAGTCATTAAGTCTCCCAGGTAGGATCAAATTTGCAATATTTCTGCCTCAGTCAGAGGCATGTGCTGGATCACAGGTATGCACTCCCACCTCAGCTTGGAGGAGCTAAATTTTCATCTAACATGAACTTGGGGCTTAGAATAACCTGAAAACATTCCTACTACAGTTCATGAATTGTACATGGCCACACTCCTGACAACAAGGTTATTCACGAGTACCCAGTGTCAGGCAAGAAAGCAGGTGGGCAATTTTCTAGCTGTTCACATTCTGCAGACCTGGCCTTTCCAATCTCTCCCAATAAACCCAGCTGGCAGGGTGTATCTTGGCCACCCATGACAGTGGGAAGGGAGTTAGGTAACCTACCCAAGGCATAGCTGGCCAGCAAGAAGCCAGCAGATCCAGCCAGTACCCCAAAATCCTGATGCCTCGTCTTGTGAACAATCAGCGCGATTCTCGTCACCTGAAACAGCAAACATGCTGTGAGAGCCTGGCCCAGAGTCAGCCATTGGCCTGAACCGACAGCCCAGTTCCCAGGGACAGGGTCTCAAGTTCAGACAAAGCCCCAGAGAGCCTGCTCCACAGAGAGAAGCCAGGACCAACCCTGGTCCCAGAGCTACTCTGAAGCAGGTAACTAACACACTGGGGTCCAGAGGAGGAGGAGGAGGAGGAGGAGGAGGAGGAGGAAGGCATCCCAGCCTGGGAGCAGCTGCCACTCACATCGCCACCACTGTCCTTCATGCCCACAATATTTGGGTGTTGAGCAAGTGTGACCACTGCATCCACAGGCAGGTCCAGTCCTGTGTTGGCTGGGACGCTGTACAGCACCACAGGAATTGGAGAGAGATCAGCAACCTGAGGGGCACAGAGAGAAAGGAGGAGATGGCAGTCACCCCAGACCCTCAGAGCTGCAGGCATGGCCCCAGCAGGTCACGCGCCGCTGTCTGAACAGTTCTGAACCTGACCTGCCAGTGCTGTAGAAACTGACTGCAGCTACTGTAGAATGGTGGAGAATATCTACTGAGTACTCTCTACAAAATCCGTTGTGCTCCAGATCTCATTTAAACCTCAAGAACCATCATCCTCCCATTTTAGAAGGGAAGGAAACAGTGACACAGTGGTCCAGTTTTATACCACTAGTGTACGGTAGCTGCTCTTCACTGGAAGTGGGCTCACCACTCCACCCCTAGCTTCTCTCATCTCCTCTCGCTCCCAGGCCTCTGACTGCGCCCCACCCCGTATCCACCTTGCTGTAGTGGTGAATGAGAGCAGCGCTGTTCATGCGGCCGCGGTAGTAGAAAGGAGTCACCACCATGGCAGCATCAGCCCCGGCCTGCGCCATGCTGACAGTCATCTCCACGGTGGCTTGAGTGGCTTCAGGAGGAAGAGCAGGGGGAAGTGTCATTGTGAGCCAAATCTTTGGGGTGAGCAAAGGGAGCCTCAGAGAGTCCCAAGAAAGGCAGAACAAGCAGACAGAACCCAACCCCAGAGCTGAGGAGCCTGGACCCACAGCCCAGCCGATCCCGAGCCCAGGCATTCAGGCCTCACACTCGCAGCCGGAGCCTGCTAACAGGAGCTTGTCCTTGGGCACGACCTGGCGCACTCGGCTCACCACCTCCAGTCGCTCGCCGCTGGTCAGGAAGGGGAACTCTCCAGTGGAGCCTTGGACCACGAAGCCTGCAACAGAGGGCCCATCTCAGAGACTGATGCCCTCCTACCAGGACATGGGTTTACACTCACCGCATTTCTACCTCCCCATCACAGCTTTCCACAGCTTTCTTCCTCAGCCCTGTCTTCATACAGGCAGAACGTTTTTACCAGGTGTATGACAGTCTCCTTAATAGTTTTTCTTTGTGAAAAAATTTCCCCCCAGTACTGGGAGTTAAACTCAAGGCCTCACCCATGCTAGGCAAATGCTCTACCACTGAGCTACATCCCCAGCCTTTTTATTTTATAAGGCAGGATTGGCTAGGTTGCCCAGGCTAGCCTTGAACTTGCCATCCTCCTGCCTCAACCTCCCCAGTCATGGAGACTACAGCCACGTGCCACCATGGTGAGCTGTTTTTGTGTGATGAAACATTTTAACCATATCAAAAAGAATAGTCGGTGAAATCATCCACAACTGGGTACCCAGTACTTATGGCAAGCCTAATCCTGATCACCTGTCTCTTTCCTCTCCTTATCCTGAGTCAGGGATTTATGGTTTCCATTCCTGTCTTCATATGCTTACGGGTCCATGAACATACACAAACTTTGGTAATTTTAAACTTTGTAGAAGTAGAACAAGCCTCACATAACTTTCTGCAGTTCTATGTTTTCATTTCATGTCATGTTTTGAGCTTTGTCCACACAGCACATGTAGCTATGACTCATTCATTTTAATCACTGTATATCGTTTGATTATATGGTTAGACCACAATTCATTTTTCATTCTATTGTGGAGAGCGCTTGGAATATTTGCTTCTTTTGGCTGCTGAAAACAGTGCAAAAACAATTTTTGCATACATCCAAGAATTTCTCTAGTATTTGCCAGGTGTGTAGTTGCTGTGCCGTGTCTTTGTGAATTCTCACAGGCACCACGCTTCCAAGCCAGCGTATACAGTAGCAGCAGCAGAGGCCATCTGATAGGGTTTATCCATGCCAACTCTTCGGACTGTCAGAACTATTTTTTGCCAGTTTTCTGCATAAAAATAGATATCTCATTGTTTTATTTTGAATTATTTGTGGAACTTCCAACATTTTATTTCTGAGACCCAAAGAATTTATATTCTTTTTTTTTTTTTTTTTTTTTTGTCGTTTTCATTTTTATTGGTACCGGGGATCGAACTCACGACCGCCTGCTTGCAAGGCAGGTGCTTATGCTGCTGAGCTAAATGCCCAGCCCTAGAATTTATATTCTTCAGCTGAGCCCAAAAGAATGTTAGAATTACTTCCTGAGTTGTTCTATTTAACTTCTTTTTCTGCTCTCTGCTCTATTCCAATTTTTATAAAACTGAAGTAGTGGGGCTGGGGATTTAGCTCAGCGGCATAAGCACCTGCCTTGCAAGCAGGCAGTCGTGAGTTCGATCCCTGGTACCGATAAAAAGGAAAAAGACAAAAAAAAAAAAAAACAACACTGAAGTAGTTTGCAAATACTCGCACAATCAGATTAATTAAATATAAAGATGTTTGGGAGAAGAAAAAGAGAAAAGAAAACTGGGCATACAAAATCCCTGCCACATGGTTATGAGAGATGAGCCAGGAATATGATGTGGAGTTTCCCAGAATTTGAAGCTAAAATGGAAATGTGGTCAGCTAACAGATATGTAGAACCTAAAAGATAAAAGGAAAGCAGCTGCCCTGGCACAGACCAAGAGAAATTGTTCCTGTGAGTCACTCCTAAGGGGACACAGTGTGATATAGACTCAGCTACATACCACGAGCCATGCTGTTACCACATCAAGTAGATTCTGCTGAGTGGGTTGCCAGGTTATCACTCATAGCTAGCCATTTTCCCCCTCTCTTTCTTTCAAGTGTTTTGCCTTAATAATATAGCAAGCAGCGTCGTGAGGCAAAGAGCTTCTGGGTTCCACTGGATCACGTCCTGAGGATTAGCTCCTTCATGTCAGGCTGGAAGCTGAAGGGGAAGAGGCTTCTGTGTGTTTCTACAGCAGACCTCAGAGCCTTCCCAGAAAAGGTTGAGGGCAATGATCTGGCCAGGATCAGACCAGTACCCTTGACCAAGGAGTTAGAGGTCAAACTCTTGCTAATTCTCTATACCAAAGCCAAAGCCATCTGCCACCCTGGAGTAGGGTGGACTTATGCCACAGTCCCTGACCCAGCTGCAGACATTCCCAAGTCACCTTGCATCCAGTGGTCAGTTCCAGAGGCTCCTGAGTCCCACAGATGGACCTGACCTCAAAGCAGGACCGAAGGATACGGCATTTGGGAGGTAGCAGCAGGCCCTGTACTCAAGGCTCCCATAGCAAGGCCCTCTCTCCTGTCCCTGGAAGGTCTGACCCCCAGGCTGAGGCAGAGAGGGGGGTACTCTAGGCTAGAACCTGGTACTTAATAATGTCAACTGTCATGAAGTCAGGAGAAGGTTCCAAGCCTTAAATGGGGAATAGCTGGTGCTGAAGGGGACCCTGGGGGAGGCCCTAACTCCTCCAGCCCCAGCTGAAAGATGATGCACTCTCATTTTGGAAGCTACTCTCATGCTGGCTACTCCAGAAAGCCAGGGTGGCTTGAGCAGGTCAGTGGGTGATGTACAAACATGATTCTACTATAATCAAAAGGAATCAGTTGTCCTTCATAACGAGTATCCCTCAGCTACAGTTCATCATCATTATTGCCTCTTCCAAGAAGTCTTCCAAGGATTTATCTACTAGACCTCTCTACTCTGACTTCCATTTCCTGTTCCCTGTACTTCTTGTTACCTCCTCGCATACTCAGAGGTCCTCAGAACCCTTCCATCCCATCCCCAACCCACTCCTCTGTAAGATTAGGCAAAATTTCTCCACCTGGCCTTTCTGTAAAATGACAAATTAGATCACATGGTCTCCAAAGTTGTCCCTGGCTCTAGATTCCACAATCACTTTTCTTCTGGCTTTTCCCTCTTCCCTTGGTCTGTCTCTTAATATTTTCTTTCCATCAGAACTGTCAGGGCTGGGAATAGAGCTCAGTGACAGTGTGCTAGCATAAAGGAGGCCTTGGGTCCCATCCCTGGGGCCACATGAAGAACAAACTTGTCAGTGTCCGCCCCCCCCCACGCCCACACACAGGGCCACTGACCTGAATCTGCATATTTGTCTATGCTGTCCCTTTCTGCCTGGCCTCCAGTGGAAGCTTTCGACAGGTATGAGAACACAGCCCTGCTCCTCTGGGCTCCACAGCATTTTCATCCAGTGTAGACCAGGCTAGGTATATGTTGACAATGTGTTGTATGAAAGAAATACTGTTGTACTTGAGAGGCTGAGACAAGAGAGTCACCAGAGTTCAAGATCCCCCTAAAATACATAGTTAGTTCAAGACCAGCCTGGACTACATAGCAAGACTCTATCTCAAAAAAAAAAAGACAACAAAAACATTGTCACAAATCTGGCCTGGAGCAGAACACTTTTTGCATAATGTAATTCCTAACCTCCCTCAGGGAAGAAATTTGCATTCCCAATAAAATGCTTAAGCAATTTTCTATTTTTTTCTTTTATTTATTTGTGTGTGTGTGTGTTTAACTTTAATAATAAAAAGGGTACAGGATAGAAAATTGATGTTTTACTTACATTGCATAACAAGCTTACCAAACATGGAAAATAAATTATAAAACAAACCACTTTACTTATTGTTTCTATAACTTTTTAAGTTCTCTTTCTGTCTCTTGAATTAGGCTGAGGTATAGTATACCGACAAATATAGTAAGGGGCAAACAAGAATAGTACCAAAGTAATAGATATCCAAAACCAAATACCATGGAAGGAAAAAAAACCAAACCATACAGTAGCCATTTCTCAGGTTACAACAGCAGGAGAGATGACTTCTAAATCATCGTCATTTTAGTGGTCTTTGTCAGCTTTGCCATGTTAACTTCTTAACACCATTCTTCATTTGTAAAATTCATGTCAAAAAAAGGAAAGGGGCTGGAGAAAGTCAGTTCATTCCAGTAAATTACCTCTCCAGTTCTCATGCACATGCCCATCAGCACAAAACTGGGAAGTAACACCTAAGACTAGGAGATTTGGTTTGAAGTTATAAAGCAAATTAAAATGGAAAAACACAAGAAAATAGAAGCAGTGGGGCTGATATGATGAATATTAATAGCTTGGAGCCTTGCTCTAGAAAGTCAGCCACCTTCCCCTTTGACTCAGGCCAGAATCTAGGGGCTCTTAACTGCTCTTAGCATTCAGTGTAACAGTGATCCAATTGTCTACTTTCTGATTAAAAAAAAAAAAATGTAGAGTGTATACTTGAGTTGCCTGCCTGGAGACCATTTTACTTACAGCCTAACTGTAATAAAACTTTAACATGTGCTCATAGTCTGAAAATGTTTTAGCTTTAACTTTGGAACTACTTTTAGACCTAAAGAAAAGTTGCAAAAATAAAATTTCTGTACATTCCTCATCAACATTTAACCTATTGTAAATGATCAAAACCAAAGAATTACCATGGATGTAATCAGATGCCAAGCTTTACCACTGTCTTTTTTGTCTAATGTAACATTCTTCCTGTGTAATTGATCCTATTTTTCCCAAATTTTTTATGAAGTATTTTAAATGTATAAATATATAAATTGAAATTTATATAGTCACTATAGTCACACCAGTAATGTTCCAAAAATTCAAATACCCCAAACCATGCTCAAAATCAATTTGTTTGGGTTTTTTATGGATTTATTCACACTTTGCAATGATTTGGGGGATCTGGGGTTTGAAAGACCAAGACTGGAAACTACCAGCAATTCTATAATAGATGCAAATGTTTAGGAATGTCTGTCTGCTGGGGATTTAGCTCAGTGGCACAGCGCCTGCTTGGCAAACATAAGGTCGTGGGTTTAATTCCTAGTACCAAAGAAATGTCTATGTCAGAGTCACTTTGAGTTAGGGCCTTGTAGTAGCTGTAACTAGTGATTCATAGTAGAGGTGGCAGTCTGGGGATGGGTCACCACTTGCCGCCAAAACACCTTCTTAGGATCCAGGAAAAGGAAATAGTGAAGAATCCTAGGCAGAAGAATTGTCGGAATGTGTGCAAAAAGGGCAAAGATAAACACGAGAGGCGGAGTGACCTGGTGTAAGCAATGGGAGGGAATTGGGGAACTCCATGGGCTTTGGAGTCAGGCGAAGCTATGATCTGCTCCCAGAAATAGCCTATCTTGGGCAAATTATGCCCCTGACCTCAGTAGCCTCATTTGTGAAATGGATATCACTTAACACTTAACACAGGACAGGGTATTATATAGTTTTAAAAACATTTTTTCTTTTTTTTTTTCTTTTAAAAGTCAAAACAGAAAAAGGATAGAAATAATACGTAATTTCCAAAAAAAAAAAAACCCAGTAAGAAACCAACACTAGATAATATATTGCATATTGCTATCTTAGAAGTAGTTGTTCAGGTAACAAAACCTAGGCATAAAAAGTGATCAATCAATCAAACAATGACAGCACAAAATATATGGAACACTTCACAGATTTGGATGTCATCCCTGCTCAGGAGCCATGCTAATCTGCTTTGTATGGTTCCAATTTTAGTATATGTGCTGCCAAAGCAAGACTTAAAAACATTTTTTAGAGTGTATCTTTTTAAAAAGCTCTCAAAAAAAAAAAAAAAAAAAAAAAGGAAGCTTCCAGTAACACTAGTAACACATAGCAGCAGCAGTGGCTGCAATCCCAACCTCAACAGCTGTGGATGCAGAGAACGGAGGCTCCGCCATGGATCCCAGGGATCCCAGGGGCCCCTGGGAAGCAGGCAGGGCAGGGAGAGAGATACAGCATGGGACATCATGGATTTGAGATGGCCTCAAGAGAACAGGTCCAAGTCCCCCCTGACTTCCTTATTCTACTCTGAAAACCTGTTCCTTAACCCTCTCCCCCAGTACCTGGCTGCTTCTTGCTTCCCTGGCAGCAGCAGGTGGTGGGTTGAGGGCTCCTGCAGGTGTCTCTCCCCAGCACCTGAGACTAAGTAGGGTGGGGAGAAGAGAAATGCGAGGTCAGAAGGGGCCATTTCATGGAGCCTGCAGATCAAGCACAGTGAAAAGACCCTGAGCCAAGACCCACATGCACTCAACTACTAGAGCAGTAACACTCTCCCTTCTCCCCTCCCAGGCCCAGGCTAGCCACAGAGCCCCTGGACTCAGAGTGAGGGAATACAAGGCTTTATTGGCCCATTCCAGACGTTGGGCATCAGTTTGGGGCGCTTGGCTGCTCCAGGGTCTGCCTCGTCTGTCTCCTCTCAGTGGGTCTCCAGGGCCTCAGGATTTGTCACAGCTGGTGCCTTCCCTCCAGCTCTTCCTCCAGCAGGGTCCATCCTCTGTGGAAGAGTCTACTCATGACCCCTGGGAAAGGGCCTGAGGAAGGAAGGATTCTGGCAACAGAGTCTCACCCTGGGCCGCACGAGTTTCCCCACAGAAGAGAAAACAGGCCTGCTTGTGTGGGCCAGCCCTGCTAGGGGGAGGGAGGTATGCTTCAGCAGCTTCAAGAATTAAACATCTGGCTGCTGCGGCTGGGCAGACTATGGCCCTGATGGCTCAGGTGCCCTGGGTGATTCTGCTGGCTCTGGTGGCCTGGATGAGTCTGGTGGCTTGGGTGGCTCATCTGACTCTGGTGGCTTTGGTGGCCTGTCTGGCTGGGATGACTCTGATGGCTCTGCTGGCCATAGAAAGTGCGTGTGTGGTTGGCACCAGCCACGATGTTTTCCCGCTGGGTGATAAAACTCCTTTTCAGCTTCATCTCCACCTCTTCTAGGGCCTTCAGCTCCTCTGGGCTGATGTCCCTGGAATCCAGGTGGCCTGAGCGCTGGTAAGCAGTGGCTCTCTGTAGCATGGAGTTAGCTACATGCTGCCCTTTGGTGTCAATGTCCTTGACGCAAGCAGTCACATCAGCCCATGTGGCCTCATGCATGGATGAGGGCTTTTCAGACTCCTTTTGGGTCTCTTTGGTCACGCTGGACCCAGACGTCTTCTGCCTGCTGGTGACAGATTCCTGGTGCAGACCTGTGCCCCACTGCCCATGCCTGGAGGTGACGGTCTCCACTTGGACTGTGGTGCTGGCTTTCCCATTTCCTCTCTCAGGCTGGTTGGCACTGCTGCTGGTGTAGGCATGGTTGTCAGAAGCCAGTTTCTCCTTCGACAGGCAGCTAAAGTGAGATTTGATCCAGTTTCCCTTTGCTTTGTGGGATTCTGGTGACTCAACTTGTGCAGACCCAGAGGTTATCTTATTTCTCTTCCTCTGAGCCCACAGCATGAGACCTCCACCTCCTAGCAAGAGGATGGTTCCCAGCACCACCTTGCATGGCGGTTGCTGGATGAACTCTAAGAAAGTCTCCAGGACCCTACGCTAGGCAGGCAGAGCGCACTGAGAGTCAGGGAGCCAGATGTTATGGCTCATGCTTGAAAGGGCAAGCTGTCCAAGTATGTCTGACCCCCAGGCCATTGCTGCATCTTCCCTGGCTTCCTCTGTTGCCTCAGCAATGAGCCCTATTGTGAGGAAGACAGTTGGGGGTGGGGTGAGGGGAGGCCACGCAGCCCTCAGCTCTAGCCTGGCAGTCACTGCCTCAGGCCTACATCTTGCCTCCCTGGCAGAGCACTGTCCTCAAGGTCAGTGGAAAACAGTTTCTCCCATCCTGATTTCCCTTTGGCTTTTGCTACTCGTCCTTATCTTCCAGTCTTTGGTTTTTCTTCCTCCCCCTTTGGCAACCCCAAGGGCAAGAGGATGCTGGGCCAGGCCGGCCCTGGCTGGGATGGCTTCCACTCTTGGCCTCCTGAGACTGGTATCTTCCTCCATCCAGGCACATGTCTGCCACCAGTTCAGCATATTCTACCCCACTTGTAACCTTCAGCCCATTACAGGACAGAGCCCAGAAGGAAAAGGGCTCAGGAAGGAGTCAGGTCTGGAGAAGCATGAAGTTATGGGAAGCATGGAAAGAGGCAAGCAGTGGACTGAAAAGCAGAGCAGATACAACAGAAGATTTCACGAGGTCCACGGTCTCTAGTGCCATTCCAGAGTGGTGTCTGCTGCCTCTTGCCTTGGTGGTGCATCTGCAAATTCAAAATGCACCTCATGGCAATGAGCACACAGTGCAGGGTGTGAGAAGGTAGCCGTACAGCTGGGCTTTCTCTGGGGGCTTGCATAAGCCTGAGTAATTCCCATGCATCTCAGCGAAAATATATGCCTGGCCTGCTCTACTTTTACCCTGAAGTCATCTAATATATTTTAAAAATGAAGCCAGGCATGGTAGTACATGCCTGTAATCCTAACACTTGGCAGGCTGAGGCAGGAGGATCACTACAAGTTCAAGGCCAGCCTGGGCTACATAGTGAGTTCAAGGCCAGCCTGGACTGCATAGTGAGACCCTGTCTCAAATAAATAAATAAATGCCAAAATAGGCTTTAAAAGTTGTGACATTTGAAACAAAACATCTCCTGTAACAGTAATGATTTTATTACCAGTAGATACAAAAACATTTGATCTTTAAAAAGAAATCATGGTCTATTCTTCATAGAAGTTGAACACTAGTTTAAATTTTTATGGACAACATCTCCTCTGTCTTGCTTGACTAGCTCTGTGGTTGTCTGCTACCTTCAGTAGGAAACAACAATTCAAAGTCCACCTCTGAGGTTATTTACAGGTCAGCTCAGGGCTGTTTATAGTTATAACCTTTTTTGGTTTGTTTTCTGAGCCAGGGTCTCACTAGGGATTCCAGGGTAGCCTCGAACTGGCCATGCAGCCCATGATACCTCAAACACACAATCCTCTTGCTTCAGCCTCAAAAGTGGTGGGATTAAGGTTTCTGGTTTCTGGTTATAACTTTTATTCAAGTACAAATTAACAGTGATTTTTTAAAAAGATTAAAAAGAGAGCTACACAGTTCCAGGCAGAAGCTTCCATAAGGCTCTGTGTTCACTCGTTTAGGTTCCCACCACTTCTTTAGAGGATTTTTTAAAATTTTTACTTCAATTACACATGCTTGCAGTACATAACAATTACATCCCTAAGAGAGCTAATATACATGCATAGCACATCTGAATTCCCTTTACTTCTCCTTCCCTCCCTCTTTCCAAGACATGTTCTTGTAGACACTTCTCAATACAAAATGTGACCACTGGACCTGTGGCCCCTGAGTATAGGCTGTAAGGTCCACTCTAGAACTGGATGAGAGGAATAGACTACAGAGCTGACATAGTTTGTGTCCACAGAGGGCCCATGGCAGGATGCCTGGCTCTGTGTCGTCTGTGGCTAGTACCCTGAAGACTCAGCTTGCTATTCAAAAATGAGGGAACCAGACAGGCAGGTTACATAATTTTTCAAGTCACTCTACCTGGCCAGCCAGGAGCCTTATCCAGATCCATGTCCAGGTCCTGGGCTATGTGTCCCACAAGACTACTTCCCTGATGTGTGGCTGAGAGAGGGATCAGACAAGTCAGAGACTCTGTGCCGAATCCCCAAAGCTGTACTCTGGAGCCCACCATGCCCACAGCGGAGAGGACTCACAGGATGGAAAGGAGAGAATCTAGAGAAGAGTCTCAGGGTTTCTAGGAATGCTCTGGGTGGCAGGCAGGTGCCAGAGACAAAATTTTCACACACAGTTCCTGACCCAGTGTATCCTGGGAGCTCAAACCTGAATCAGTCTTCTTTTTCTTTGCTTCAGGGAACCAGCCTCATCTAAACTGTAGGCCCTGTGAATAATCCATGGCAGACGTTACTCAGAGGGGACTTCCCTGCTCACTCTGAGTCTGCACAGGGACCTCACTGTCCCTGGGCAAGGGTCACATCATTTTTAGATTGAGGCTCAGTTGCACCACTGGTCACTGTCATGAAGTTGCTATGCCACATCACCAATCGCTCTGCTGTTTTAATTCTTATCACTATGGGAACCAATGCCGTCTCATGTACAGCACTCTATAACTCAGTGTGCTCTCGCTTGCAGCCTCTGATTTATCTCCCAGCCATTTCACAGTGTAACCCTTATTACTCCCATGCCTCAGATGAAGAAATTGAGGTTTAGAGAGATGATTCCACCCTAAGTCAGTGAAAGAGCTGTGATCAGACACCAGAGTCCACCATCTTAACTGCTACCCTGTACCATTAAAGTCACAGCCACATCATCCCAGAACTGGAAACACCAAATAATATTGTTGAGGTAGCTGGGTCCAGTGACTCAGCGGGGTGAGAGTCAGCAAGCAGAAAGAAACAATGTGAGCCATACCACCAGAGCCAGCTCAGATCTCAGCCCAGCGTGCTGGTCAGTCAGTGGTCTTGGACAGTGGCCCAGGCTCCCCTCCATGAGGTGGTACTATCAAGCACTGCTCATGGACTGCCTGGATTGCCATTTCCTGCTACCTTCATGCATTGCACCTGTGGCTGTGTGGCACGTCGGTGTCCCTGGCCTCAGCAAGGGAGAGGCCCATGTATAAAGAAGGAAATGAATCAGAGGAGCCAGTACGAGGACAAATTCTGCCAAGAAAAACCTTGTCCCAGAAGAAAGCATGCAAATGAGGCTTGGAGGATAGGGAGCCGAATGCTGGCTGCACAGCCACACGTGACTTCCTCTGATGCAGTCACACCAGCAGGAAGCCCTGCACACAAGGCTACAGCACCATTTTCCAGTGTGATCCCATAATAACTTTGGGAGCTCAGAAGGCACATTAGCCCATTGCAGCTGGTTAAACAAACAGAGACAGAAGAGTCTGGTCTGAGGTGCCAGCACCTGCGTGTCTTGCCTAGCCTCTGGTTCCCCTCCCACAGGGGACAGGCCTGCTTACCTCGAAAGGGAAAGGTACCCAGTTTGTGCAGGTTCTCCTCCAGTTTCCCATAATCCACCTCTGCGTTGGCAGTGAAGGGGGTGGTCACCGGGGGGTAGATGCCTGTGATGTTCACCTTCTTCCTCTCTCCCGAGGCCCAGCCCCTCGTGTTCCTAGACAAGCTCTTTCTCAGCCCCTGTCTCACAGAGGCCAACATTCGGGGACCCAGCATATCTCAGGCAGCCTGGGGCCTAGCTGGCTTATGTCCCCAGGTGAGGCTGAGTTTGAATTCCTTTCTATCCCGTTAATGATCAACGCATCTAGTTAAAAATTTGTAGTCTCCCAGACTTGTAAGCACTGGGGAGGCCTCAGCTGGGTGCTCCCAGGGTCACAAGCAAGACATACAGGCTCCAAAGAGCCCTTTTTCCTCTGGCATGCAGTTGAAGAAATGCCACAAGCCCATGTCCCTCTTGCTAGACCCAGGGATAGTTTCTGGGTGCCAACACTAAAGCACTTCTCTAGTCCAGCCTGGGCCCTCCTCCCACAATTCCCAGCCACAAACAAAGCTAGAGCCCTATCAGTTTCTAGGCTGCCCGGCGGCTGGGCGCGCAGCTGGCCTGGCCCTGTCCTGCAGGAAGGAGGGACTGCACAGGGAACAAGAAGCTACTTGTGAGACATGGCTGCTTCACATCCCTGCCAGGCTCCTCCTGCCAGAGCGGCCAAGAGTGAGGCTTGGGTTGGCTATACACAGCTCCACAGGACAGCAGTCATGGTGTGTGTGTGTGTGTGTGTGTGTGAATGTTACCAGGCTGACATGTGCAATGACCATACCTGGAACCTAGGATTTGGGAAGGTATAACAACACGGGGTGGCAGAGAAGAGACAAGGCCACAGTAGAGAAAGCAGCAGGGGTGGCTCAGAGAGGCCAAAGGGCTCCAAGCTGCTTTGTCCCCAAACCCACCTTTGCCCAGTCTTTGTTCCTATAAATTTTCAAACACAAATAGAAACAGACACCACACATAGCAAAAACAACTTTTATTTTGCTCTTCTGTGGGTATTTGGGATTGTACAGTGGAGTAGCTAGGTCCTCAGCTCAGGGGGGCATTCTAGGACCCTCCCTGGTTGCACACAGGAGGGAATGGGTGTCTGGTTGGGCAGAAGCAGGCATTTACTGGGCTAGAACTTGCTGGGGGGTCTCACATCCACTCTCAGTCCCCTCTAGCCCGTTCTGCTCTGTCCCTGGATCAGGATGCTCCAGGGCATGCCGAGTGTCAGCCTGCCACAGCTGGACCAGGTCTATGGGGGTCTTTCCCTCCTGGAGGAACCACAAGGAGATCTGGTCACAGTTCTGAAGCCTGCTAGACTAGAAGGTGCCCTCAGCCACACCAGTGGATCTCAGCTGGCCATGGGTGAAGACGTTCTGGTGGTCACAACTAGGATGCAGGTGCTACTGGTATCTGGTGAGTAGTAGCTTAGACGTTCTACAAGGCTCAGGACATTGTCCCCACGAGAACTGTCCACTCCTAAATGTCCACAGTGCTGAGGCTGAGAGACACTTTCTCCATATCTTTCTGCTTTTCCCAGTATTCCTTTAGCTCACACCCCTCCTTTTTTTTTTTTTTTTTTTTTTTTTTTTTTTTTTTTTTTTGTATCTGGAATCAAACTCAGGATCTCATATTTGCCAGGTAGGTGCTGTGTCACTGAACTAAATCCCTGGCCCCATCCTTAGCCCTTCTTGAGTTGGGAGTGGGAGGGTTTTCCGTGCCCCTTTCTTTTGTGACTTCTCTGCACCTCACAAAAGAACCTGAATAAGGGAACCTCAGAAACCCTGAGCATGCAAACCAAGTGTGCTAGGAACAGTCATGCAAACCAAGTGCTTAGATGACTCCTCAGTTCTGTCCCTCTCTGATCTCTGCCACCCATGGGCCTACCAGTGAGGATCCCCAACCTAGTCAAGTGTGCTAGAAAGGCACTGCACTTAGCTGTTTCTCTGGATTTTACTCTGGACACACACACACACACACACACACACACACACACACGCACACACACACACATGCACACGCGTGGGTGTGGCAGGAACAGTGTTAATGGAAGAGGACAACTTGTGTAATATGCTGATGGGCAGACACAGTGACACATGTGCTTACCAGGTTCTTGGCCATCATGTCAGCCCCATGAAGGAGCAGCAGTTTGATGATTTTGTAGCGGTTGAGCCTCACGGCATCATGCAAGGCACTGTCTCCTTCCTAGAGCCAGAGTAGCACTCAACACAGCCTCTGGGGACAGTAGGTGGGGCGCAGGGTGACAGGAGGTGGGCTAGTGACCCTGCTCAGGAACCACTGTCCTGAGGGTTCCAAAGGAAAGTGCCACTTGCCTGTGGCAGCCGGCAATCTGCCCACACAACCACGGTGTGGCTGGGCAGGGAGCAGGGGGGTGAGAGGAGCACTCACTCTGTCTCTGGCATTGATATCCAAGCCCAGGGATAGAAAGTGTTCCACAATTTCCACGTGCCCTGTGCGGACTGCCACGTGCAGAGGGGTGCTCAGCAGCTGTGGGACACAGGCAGAAATGACTGACTAAGGGCTCTGGACCATGGTGCCTCTGGGATGGGGGACTCTTGTAATATTTTTTGTTTTTGTTTTTGGCTTTTTTGAGACAAGGTCTCACTATGTAGTACAGGCTGGCCTTGAACTCACTATATAGTCCAAGCTGGCCTCAACCTACAAGCAATCTTCCTGCCTCAGCCTCCCAAGTGCTGGGGTTATGGGCATGCAGCACTATGTCTGGGCTTTTTTTTTTTGGACAGGGTTTCACCATGTATTCCAGGCTGGCCTTGAACTCATCATATAGGCCAGGCTGACTTGGAATGCACAACAACCCTCCTACCTCCATTTCTCAAGCCCTGGGATCACAGGTGTACGCCACCATGGCCTGGCCTGTTCTAACTCCATCTTAATCTCTCCCCTAAACCCTGTTTCCAAGACCTGAGCGCCAGAGGGGTTGGCCATTGTACAACTTTCCACTGTCCTATCCAATGGTCTAACTCTAAAGCTTTAACTGTCACCTCCTCTGGCAGCTTTCTCATTCTCCTCTCACTCTGCTGTAGGCAACAGTTCACTCTTCATTTATTTATTTACTTATTATTTTGTGGTGCTGGGGATTGAAGCCAGGGCCTTGCACATGCTAGGGTAGTACTCTGCCACAAGTCCAATTCTAGTCCACTCTTGTTTGAATCTATTATAGTAGATTCTGCTTATTGCAAGATGACATGTGATGACCTGACAGAATGTACAAGCATTAGCTTTATATTGACTATATACATTGTTCCATATCGCTTTACCAAGAATCCTGCAAGACATTTACAGAAAAAAAACAGACGCAGAGGCTAAATGACTTCATCAGGATTATATATGCAGGAACAGAAGAATAATGGATTAATAAATGAACAGATGGATACACGATAAATAGCTGGATGGATGATTGGTGAGGGGGTAAATAGACAATGAAGGTTTTCATGGATGAACAAATCCCGCATCAAAAGTGGTCCCCAAACCCACAAGAGAGTCGGTCTTTTGTTGTCCTTTCTCCTCCGCACTTTCTGCTCCCACTCCCAGATGTTAGTTGCTTCAGGGTTTATGCTGCTCTACAAATACTCTAGAACCCTAACCAGCTTGCTGCCTTCTACCACTTGAGCCCAGCTGCCCTTTGTCCCCTGCCCTTCTCCCTGCAGTAACCCCAGTATCTACTATATTTGAGCGCTGCTGCCTACCTTGTCTCTCACATTGGTATCTGCTCCTCGGCTTTGCAGGAGTTTGACCACCTCTAGGTGGCCTCCGCGACAGGCCCAGTGCATGGCTGTGCAGTCCAGCTGGAAGGGAAGCACGGGGCCTAACGTAGAGTTGTAGGAAAGCAAGTGCCCTGGGGAAAAGGACTCAGCCAAGAGGACACAGGGACATTCAGGGAAAAGTCCTGGGAACAGGCAGAGGCACTCCTGGGCCCAGGCAGTAGAACAGAACAGGCAGCAACACTAGTGGTCCATGCCAGTGATGGGGGAGGCTCAGGAGGCAGATGGAGCTTGCCCAGGGTCACACAGCCCAGTAGAACTGGGTCCTGGCCCTGAGGCCCAGATTGGCAGGGAGAGGGAGTCTAACAGCCCACCTCCTCCTCCCCACTCAATACCTGTCCACTTGCTCACCCGATCCTGGAAGTCCACGGTGGCCCCACTTCCCAGAAGCTTCTCCAGGATCTCCACGTGGCCCTCCAGGGAAGCCCGGTGCAGTGCTGTCCGATGGAACTGTCCCAAGTGAGGCTGTCAGAATCTGGCCTCTGACCCCAGGCCTGAGCCCATCTTCACACCAAGTTGAAGCACAGGCTTTGCCCCAACTTCATTCTGATCCCTGTGCAGCTTCCCCACCAGCACGTCACCCTGGCTGCACAGGCTAGTCCCTCTACTGGGCATGTCTGCTTTGCCTTCATTTCTATGAGTACTTAATAGCTGCTACTCTTTCAAGATGCAACTCATGTCCACCATTTCCTTGGAATCTCTAGGCCAGAATTGGCCTGGGGACCCAGATGACCCTAGACTCTAACAGCATTTGAAGGCAAAGTGAGACTCTTGGACACTATTTCCCGTGAGTGCTGAGCACCAAGCCAGGATGAGGTGGTCACACTGATCACTGGTTCAATGAGGGACTGAACCTCTCCCCTTTTCAGGGCAGCACTTTCTGCTTAGAACTCGGGACTGAATCGCTGAATTGCTCCGTTAGGGTTGTGGGGTGTGTTTTTCTACTTGCTAATCACCTGGTTATGGCTGATCTCCACTTACTCTCAACCTTTTCTTTTTCTTTTCTTTTCTTTTTCTTTTTTTTTTTTTTAGCTCCCCGTACTAAATAGGTAGAAGGCAAAGAGGTTAAGACCCTGAAGGCTAAAGAACAGAAAGGCCAGTAGTCAAAGTCCACAATAATGCAGGCTGGGAGCAGGTGACCATTGCTGTATTTAATTTCAGGACAAGAAAGCAAGAGAGCAAACAGGCAGCTTAGGGAAAACAGAAAGGACAATGGGTGACGGAAACATTTTAAAAATAGATGGTAAAAAAGAGGTGATGGGGCCGGGGACTTAGCTCAGTGGCATAAGCACCTGCCTGGTGAGTGTGTGGTCGGGAGTTCAATACCCAGTACAAAGAAAAGAAAAAAAGTGGGGTGGTGCAGATGGTTGCACACTGTAAATGTAGTTACAGCCACAGAGTTCTACACTTGCGATGGTTAAAATGACATATTTCACGTCACATTTTACCACAACAGAACAAAAATGAGTTGAGGGTGCAGCTTGGTGGTTGGGTGGTTGCCTAATAAGCTTGAGGCCTTGTGTTCAGTCACCAGCACAAACACAAAAGAGACTTAAAGACAGCATAATATTATATCATGAGAAACAAAAATATATCCCAGGGTTTGCTTTATAGGTTTTGCATTCATTTAACAAATATTTATTGAGAGGTTAACATTCCATTAATTATAGCACATTGTGGGAAATGTTGGTCATATAACA